GGTTAATAGGTCGCTCTGTTTTGTATCTCTACGCTTTATTCGTATCCGCATCAGAGTGCATCACATGCCCGAGCAAACGTGCGCTCGATATATATATTGGTCTTGTTGTGCAACTCCCTGGGGGATTTTAGTTCCACGTTAAGCTCGCAAATTCCGTCGAACTTGGAGGAGGCGAGCTTCTCGGGCCTCGAAGAGGCTTTTCTTTGAATATTTAATATTTGCTTCTCATGTCTTCTCCATCTGCATTTGGTCTTTAGTGTTATCTTAATTTCTATGAGCAATGTATTAATTATGTAACTTGCGCAATTGGAGACGGATGTCTTCTTTATATTCATAATATTTTTATTATTATTATTATTTGCTTATTGGCGGTGGGAATTTTGATAGAATTTGCAGATTCGAAAAAGTGGAAAGGAAGGAATTGTCAGGGCAGAGATAAAAGTATATGCGTTCGATTGCCTCGATTAATATCTCTTGTTGTACGAAATGATTCAGAGCGTCTCTTTACTTTCGAGTTCGTATCAAACGTTCAAACTCGTCAAACGTTAAATTAGAAATATGCACAATATAAATAATTTCGCGCGATTGGTAGTACACGATGCATCACTCCTCCCGGCGTCCTGCTCCTTCCGTCCTGATTTCCGATTCAGCACCCTACTTCCGGCTGCTTCGTTACAGTCCTCCGGATATTCGCTCGTAATACCGACATTGACACTGACACTTCCGTCGATACGATTCGGCCGGGCGAACGCGTGTTAATTACCGCAATGCCAACGAGAGTCCGCTTGAATATTTCAAGAGCCGACGAGATCTTTTAATCAGTCGACAAAAATTTCACCAACACGCCGACACACTCGCACATTCACGTAACGTAAGTTCGGAAGTCACGGAAAAACACGTAACGTGCGTGAAGAGCAAAATAATGTACAAATAAAGGACTACGGCGTCCCATGTCAATCGCCGAGCGTCCTTCCGTTGCTCCTTCCACCGAACGATTATCGAACAATCGACACATCCAAAACACGCCGGACCTTCAAGGTCGGATTTAGCCTCGAGCATGGTTTTTCTTAGTTAGACCGAGGACGTCGATTTATATATCAGGACGCGCACGTGCATCCGCACGCGAGTGGTTCTCATTGCCGTGTCAGGTGATTGCAATACTTCGTACTTGGCTCTTGAGGCATTTAATCGGACTCTCGGGGCTTTAATAAGCACGTGTTTCACCGACAAAACGTATCTACGCGAGTGTTGGTGTCAGTGCCAGTGCCAGTGCCAGTCGCAGTTCCAGTTCCACGTGTGGGTGTCCGGAGGGCCACGGCGGAGCAGCGGGCAGCAGGGTGTTGGGTCAAGAAGTCAGGAAGCGGGCATTAAGATGTGGACAGCAACACAACGTGCATCTCCAAGTATGTCAAATCGTTTGTTATACAGGAGGTTCCGACTGATCTTACCGGGAATAGAGAGATCTCCGAGTCGAAGTTCACATCGGCATTCGTGATCCTTCGTCGTTTGACAAGTGATTATAATTCGTGCGTCTTTGATTATTCATTGATCGGTGCCTGTAATTGTTTCGTACGACAAGAAAGATCAGCCCCTCTTCCTGATCAGTTCTTTAAAGAGTTCTTTTAAGTCCCATCGAAACTCTCGACGCCAAAGAGAAAAAAAGATTATGAAGATAAAAATTGGTTGTTTTTCACATTACTTACTTGTTTACTCACATTAATTAATTTAATTTAATATCTGCGTCGCGTCACGTACTCTGTATCTGCGGTTGAACAGGTTGCATAATTAATGCATTGTTTATCGAGATTAAAGAGAAAGAGAGAGATAATGATGATCGAGTATTAAATAATCCCGAAAGTCCTTCTTTAAGGACAATTCAGCATGCAGAAAACGAGAGTACGTAACTGTGCTCGCAGCATCAAGGTTAGACATTAGTTTGCATAGTGTTATGGCTCTTCCAGTTCGACGGGATTTGCAGGGTTAACGTGGAACCAAAATTTCGACTCGAACCGCGCGACAAACGTATCCTCGATATTCAGACTATTAACTGCAAACGCGCGCTCGTTACAACGATCGTCCTCTCGATTTTATCGGCTTTTTCGATATCCCGTTTGTTTTGAGATATGACGCGCGTATACGCGCGCGTGCGTGTGCGTGTGTATTCGGAGGTCGCGAAAGACCTCGGGAAAAGAGGTCGTCGATCTCGAACCGCTTCCTTAGAATCGTGCCACTTGGCGGCCGCGCCGCGTAATTACGCCCGACGTCGATTAGCGGTTAATAGGCCGGCATTTTAATCGTTGGACTCGCGCTGGCGCAACTAGACCGCCGGGCTTTACTTAATTATTTATGTAACAGCAATGAAACGCGTCGGGCAGAGAGAAGAAACGCCGGTAACGGTCTCGCGCCACTTTAATTGAGCGCGCCTTACGAAGTTGCGGCGATAAGTAAAGTCAGATATTACTGCTGCTCGCGTTCGACGACGAGTCGCGCGCGGAGAGCGTCCGCTGCAACTCGCAACTGGGACTGGCCTTGCTAATATATTGAAAAATACGCGGGATGCAGGTCGGTACCGTTAGGCCGGGGATTCTCTAAAATTACGCGTGTGTGTGTGTATACTCATGCATCCACACGCGCTCGCACGCACACACACACATATTTGCGCACGTAACAGTGAACATTAAAAATTCCGCAAGAACGGCACTTGAAATAACGCTCGTCACGATTCGCTCACGCGCTCGCGCATAGAAAGTTTTACGAGTCTCGTCGAGATAAAACGTGGCGTCCGATCGACCGATCGCATCGAAAGTTCGCCGAGCGAATTCGAGCGATCGAGTAATTAAAGAGAGAGAGAGGGGGAGAGAGAGAAAGAGAAGCAGAGCCTATAATTTGCGCGAGGAACACACGAAAGTGGCCCGGGGAGAGAAATCAGCTACGCGGCGAGAAATTTTCGGCGAGGCGCGCAGCCTCTCGTTCGGTGGCATCAACAACCCTGGATTTTTTTCATGCGACGCAAAGGACACGCGAGTGGATGATCGAGACGGTGAGGCTGAGGAAAAAGCGTGAGACGCGTCCACACGGCCGCTGGACCATGTTTCTCCTCCTCTCTCTTGACGCCGAGAGCGTGACGGCGCGAAGGTGGAAGGAGCGACTGAGAGAGAGCGAGAGGTGCTCGGAGGAACAGGTAGTAACGGTACCGCGGCTTCAGACCATCTTGCTTTCGCGCTTACGTGTCGTTAACATCGGTAATTAATATACGTGTATGTATATGCGATCACACTCGCCGTACACGACTGCGTGCGCGCGCACCTCGTGTTTACACGGAAATAGCAAAACGCGTCGGTCACGTTTCATCGAATCGGAAAGGTGTATAGACGTTAATCGCTGATGTCTCCATTGCAATTGCGCGCTGCGGGCCTCACCTTGTGCACTTCTGAGTGTTCCCGAAGTCCGTCAAGTGGCATGAGATTTCCACTTGTTAGTCGGGTTATCGTCGTTTGCTCGACACTCCTGTCGGCTGGGTCAGCCAGCCCGAAGGTCGCGACCGTTGGAATTTACCGATTAAACATGTCGACCTGTCAATCCTCCGTTAGATCGACGCGAACTCTGACGAGATTTCAAGGGGGACTCTGTGTGCGTAATACGTAAAATAATTCCTTTATTCTCGGTTATTGAGTTAGAGGTTCGCTTTTGCCATATATGTATGTATGTGTGTGTGTATGAGTGTGTGTGTGTGTGTGTGTGTGTGTGTGTGTGTGTGTGTGAGCGTGTGTGTGAGACTTACAACAAATTCTGATGCATTTCTTTCCGTGATCGCACGGAGCTCTCTTCCTAAAAATTTGACGGAGCACATGCGCGCTTTTCTGTTTCTCGGAGAAATTTCCAAGATACAAAAGATCCTACTCTTTGTTACGTCGCTTGTTGAAGTGTACAGTCGACGGCAAAGGAGGTGCGAAGCGTTTCTTTTCGATGGGTTTGTAAACAGACGAAAATCGCGGCACGATCACGCGTTTTTCACCTATCTCGAAACTCGTCAAATTGAGAAGCATCGTCACTGACTGTACAATCATATACACGCGCCTTGCGCTGTGTTTTCTTCTACTTATCTAATTTATATATATATATATTTATCCACGTGACGAGAGAGCAACGATGTCGATACGATAATAAGTAACAACATTATTTCACAAATTATAGTAACTTCGCGTTGTCGTAAACGTTCGCTCGATCGTCTTAATTATTCGCAGTTGTTATTACTTTGGGTACAATTTACTTCGAGCGCTGCCGCATATTTTGAGATTTCGTAAAAATACAGTTAAAAAATAACGTTCTTTTCGATGTCTCGCGTATTTACTTTTCAAATATACATATATTATATATATATATATATATATCTCTCTCTCTACGGTGCGTAAAATCTAGCTTACGCACCAGAGTCGTTATTGTCTACGCAGCCGAGTCTCAAAAAGAACTAGGAACGTAAGTGAGATTTCTTTTCTCGCGTCAGCAACGACCTATGAAGCCTCACCGATTCACATTATTTGTGAATTGCTCATGACCGTGCCGACAATATCGATAAATACAGTAGCCGATTGTCACACTACCTTATATATGTACAGTTCGCTTTATTTTCGCCGCGTCACGTTCTAATGGCGGATCATCCGCCATTCAAGTTACTTAATACTTGAAGAGTTTAATCTCTCTCGTTCCGACCAGGTAGATCTCAAGAGTGTAAACAGATGCAACCAATAATCTCTCTGTAATCGCCTACAACTAACTCCTACAGTCACAGTTCAGCTATTTATAGTCACTTCGTTAATTGATTGGTTAATTCGTTAATATCTCGGTGATACGGCTATACATCGATATGTACACGTGATTGTTACATTGTGCGGGCGGCAAATAATAATGTCGAGTAATTTCCCATCGTGCGTGACGTCCGCGCGCGGGAGCATCGATAAAATGAATATGAAGGTAAACGAAACACACAAAACACACAGAAAATTATTGCGAAACAATTTTATTCGAATAAAATAAATGTTCAGTAAATAAAGTAAATAAACCAACATCCAGTAAATAATTCGCCCGTCTGTGACGAGCGTTAATTAACGGGAAAACCACAAAGGAAACCATAATGGAAAGAAAAACATACATAACCTCCGTTTAACATACAGCTGAGAATATATTTCCCGCATGGAATATATAACGCCCAATCAAGCGTGTAACCGTAAAACAAGCTGGCAATTAAATAAAACGAAAGCGCGAAGAACAGCTTATTGTCACATAAAAAAACTTCGTACGTTGATGTCAGGGAAATAGAATAATAATATGATGCGTGTGCTACACTCTAATTATATCGGACGAAACTAATCTTCCGTTAGATTCGACCGTATCACGGATTTAAGCTCTAGTTATTGCTTTGTATACACGTGTTTCAAGAAGAAAGGAATCCATAATGGGCGGCTATCTGCTCGCCGGCAGATAAAAGTTAGCGATTATCGACTATATATAATTATTATACGTTTGCGTATCTGCGATCGCGTCCTAAAAGGGGACGGCCGGTTTCTCGCCGGTATATATAATTACATATAAATGTATATGCATATATACGTGTATATATTCCTCGGTGGATTATGTATTCGATATTGCTGGCGGGGGAGCCACTTATCACCCGACAGATGAAAGCTCATTCGTTGATATTGCGGTTTCCAACCGCCCGTGTCCGCGACCTCGTTCACTCGCAATGACGTCCCGACGATGCGATTACGATGAAAGAAGAATCCACTTTTCAACAACGCGCATCATTCGAGACTTTTCTCGAGCTTTCACTCTCAGACCGTCGCGTCGGCCACGGCAAGGCCCGAGCCGATCCCGAAAGTAGACGTTTACTTTATTACGCGATATACCCGCGAATTTCCCACCGGTTTTCATCATCTCTCAACCCTCAATTTTATCCCCGTTACTTAAAACCTGCCGGTCGATACAACAGAATGCAACTTGATTAAATCGCGGCCTACGTTAAAACAGCATCTACATCAACGATCCCCGTACCTCGATATTGTCGCGTCCTCGGCGACGAGTGATTTTAGCGAAAGGCGTAACGAGGAGAAGGTCGCAAATTCGCTCGGGCGTGTCAGTTGGAGACAACCGGCATGTAGAACTTGTGCTTCGGCGTGTCTCTAGTGTGCTTGAAGGGCGCCTGTTTGGCCTCTAAGAGAGCCGCCGGGCATGGCCCGCGGTGCCTGGGTGCATACTCCTTCTTGTACATGCTGGTGGCGACGGTGCCGCCGTCGCCCAGGTTAATATGCGACACGTTGCTCTGCCGCTGAACCCTCTCGACTCTCTGAGTGCTCGAGAAGTTACCGTAATTCTTGGCCTCGCTCTGCGAGTAGAACTTCCCTCCGACGGTGAGGTTGTCCTGCCGGACGATCCTCTGCGGCCGTTCATAGCTGGACGCAGCCCAAGGATTCGCGTCCTTGGTGCTGCGGTGCAGCGAGGTCAGGCTGCGCCGGTCGCTGCTCTGGCTCGAATTGCTGATGAACTGGCCGCTCTCGGCCAGATTCGAGATGCTCTTGCGTTGATCCGCCGCCGTGGACGAGATGGTGTGCAGTGCCTCGGTGGACGAAGCAGCGCCGCGTCGGTGAAGTACCGCGTTGCTCATGTCCGCCGATGAGGAGGATATCACGTTCTTCCGGTGATGGCTGACTCTCGTGGCCGAGTCCACCTGCGACCGCTCCGCGCTCGTACCCTGGCCGTTGATCGCTTGGCGGAATTCCGGGCTGCTCGACTGCGAGGTCGTGTGGTGGTATCGCGTCTGACTGGAGTGCGTGTGTTGTTCATGCTGTTGCTTCGCCGAAGACCTCGCTATGGTCTGCCGACTCTCCATGTGTTGCGTGTTCACGTAATCGCGTTTGCTCGCTTCCTGCTGCTGGCGCTCGACGTGCTGCTGATGCGTTTGCTGGCGATGATGGTGCTCGCCGTGCGTGGCGTCGCTCATGTAGCGAGACGCGTTGTCCTCCCGGAGGATCTGCCCGCGGTGACTCTGCGCCTCCGTCACGGACTTGTCCTCAGCCGCCGTCCGGCGGCTCTGCGACCGTGAATGCTGCTCGCTCGTCTTCCGCGAGTCCATGTGAGCGTCAGTATGTTGGATCGCGCGGCGCTCGGCCGCGTGAGTCTGTTGCTGGTGGCTGATAGTCTGAGTATTGCTGCTGACTCTCTGATCGGCCTGAGCGGAAGTCCGTCTCGTGGTCGTCACGACCATCCCGTCCGCGAGTGTCTCCCGCGACTCCACGGTTTTCTTACTGTCGGACTCTATCTTGCTCATCTTCGCGGCGATGTCCTTCCCTGCGCGCTTCGTGTACGTGTTGTAGTTACGTTGGTTCGTCGTGGTCATCGTGGCGGTGTCGTCGCCGAGCATGATGGACGACTCCATGTGCCTGCGGTGGTTCAGCGGCTTACCAGCGGGAGACATTTCTCGCCTCGACGGTGTGTACGTGTCCTTGGTGGTCGTCTTGGTCTCCATAGCGCCGCTGCTAATTCTCAGGTTGTCCTCGTGAGACTTGATGTCCGCGCGTTCACCGCGCATCACCGTGTAGCTCGATTTGTGCGACGTCGTGCCCTCGAAGTCACCCGTCATCCTCAGATTATCCTCCCTCCTCACGACCTCGGTCCTCTCCGCTCTCTTGGCGATGAAGTCATCGCGCGCTCGCCCGGTGAAGTCGCCTTCCGGCTTCAGATTATCCGCGTGACGTATCGGCGAGCGTCGTTCACTCGGTCTGATCTTCTGCGGAGTTGCGCGCTCGAAATCGCCCTCCGGCTTCAGGTTATCCGGATGTCTGATAGGCGTCCTCCTCTCGCCAGGACCGATCGCTGTCTTCTGGGGCATTTCGAAGTCTCCCTCTGGACGCAGGTTGTCCGGGTGTTTCCTTGTCGGAACACGCTCGCCGATGACGTGCACGTAGTCGTCCTTGCGACGCACGTCGATGAACTCGCCCTCCATCCTGAGGTTGTCCTCACGCTTCACCATGTCCACTCTCTCCACCTTCGTGACTCTCTTGTAGTCGTCTCTTGAACGACGGACGTCCATTTGTCCCTCCATACGCAGGTGGTCCTCGTGCCGACGCACTTCTACGCGTTCTCCGTTCACATGCTTGTAATCGTCCTTCGAAGAGGGTGACACTTCCATCTCGCCCTCGGGACGAAGGTTGTCCTGCGGTCTCTTGACCGGCACGCGATCCCCTTTCTTCGGGGTGAAGTCGTCTTTGGGCAGTATGTAGAAGTCTCCCTCGGGATGCAGATTGTCCTCGTGCTTGATCGGAGTCCTCCGCTCGGCCGGCTCCACCTTCTTCGGCGTGCGTCTCGCGAATTCGCCCTCGGGACGAAGATTGTCCTTCGGTTTCTTTACGTCTGCCCGATCACCCTTGAGCGGTGTGTCCTTCTTCGGCCTGCCGATGAAATCGCCCTCCGGGTGAAGGTTATCGGGATGCTTGATGGGCGATCGCCGTTCACCAGGGCCGACGGGCGACTTTATCGGTCTCTCGAAGTCACCCTCGGGTCTCAGATTGTCTCGCGGCTTCTTCACGGCGGCTCGGTCACCCTTGATGGGCGCGAGCTCCTTCGGTCGTTGCACAAAGTCACCTTCCGGCTTCAAGTTGTCGGGGTGTTTGATGGGAGATCTTCTTTCCGCGGGTCCGACCGGCGATTTCTCTGGTCGCTCGAAGTCACCCTCGGGACGAAGGTTATCCTCGCGTCTGATGATCTCGCTACGCTCACCACGGGTGGCGCGGTAATCATCCCGCCGCCGAATGTCAACGAACTCGCCCTCGACTCTCAAGTTGTCCTCGTGGTGGACAACGTCCACCCGCTCGCGTTTGGTCGTGGTGACGTAATCGTCGCGAGATCGGTAGAGGTCTATGTCGCCTTCCATCTTCAGGTTATCCCGATGCACCACGATTTCCGTCCTCTCCCCTTTGGTCGGCTTGTAATCGTCCTTGGGTTTCCCTACGAACTCGCCCTCCGGCTTCAGGTTGTCCTTGGGCTTCTTCTGAACCGGCCGGTCGACACGCTTGGGAACGAAGTAGTCGTCCTTCGGTCGGCCGACAAACTCGCCCTCCGGATGCAGGTTGTCTTCGTGTCGGATGGGCGTGCGTCGCTCAGCCGGTCCGATCGGTGACTTCTGAGGCCTCTCGAACTCGCCTTCCGGTCGTAAGTTGTCCTTCGGTCTAGTCACGTCCGCCCGTTCGCCCTTGAGCGGCGTCTCTTTCTTCGGACGAGACGCGAATTCACCCTCGGGCCGCAGGTTATCGGGATGTTTGATCGGAGAACGTCTCTCCGCCGGGCCGATCGGAGCCTTCTCGGGTCTCTCGAAGCCCCCTTCAGGCCTGAGATTATCCGCGGGTCTCTTAACGTCCGCTCTATCTCCTCTCTTCGGCGCCTCTTCTTTAGGCTTGCCCGCGAATTCGCCTTCCGGCTTCAAGTTATCCGCGTGCTTGATCGGAGTTCTCCTCTCCGCCGGGCCAACCGCTTTCTTCTCCGGCCTCTCGAAGTCACCTTCCGGCCGCAGATTATCCTGCGGCTTTTTGACATCGGCTCGCTCGCCACGCTGAGGAGCGTCTTCACGCGGACGACCGACGAAGTCGCCTTCTGGTTTCAAGTTATCTGGATGTTTGATCGGAGTCCTCTTCTCGGCTGGCTTAATCTTCTTCGGCTGCGGCCGCTCGAAGTCGCCTTCTGGCTTGAGATTATCCGTCGGCTTCTTCACTCGAGGTCTCTCTGCTGGATGGAATTCCTCGTGCTTTGGACGCTCAAAGTCACCTTCCGGCCTCAAGTTATCCGGATGTTTGATCGGAGAACGTCGCTCGGCGGGCCCGATCGGTGCTTTTTCTGGTCTTTCAAAGTCGCCCTCAGGCTTGAGGTTATCTTTAGGCTTCTTCACGTCAGCTCTGTCACCTCTCTTCGGCGCCTCTTCCTTCGGTCTAATGACGAACTCACCCTCTGGTTTCAGGTTATCGTGCGGTTTCTTCACGACCGGTCTCTCCGCTGGCTTGAATTCTTCAGGCCTCGGTCTTTCGAACTCACCCTCCGGTTTCAAATTATCGGTGTGTTTAATCGGAGAACGTCTCTCCGCCGGGCCGACGGCTTTCTTTTCCGGCCTCTCGAAGTCGCCTTCCGGCCGCAGATTATCCTTCGGTTTCTTCACGTCAGCTCTCTCGCCCTTTTTAGGCGCTTCTTCTTTCGGTCGACGTACGAAGTCGCCTTCCGGTCTCAAATTATCTTCCGGCTTCTTCATCTCGGCTCTCTCGGCCTTCTTGGGCGAGTAATCGTCCTTCGGCCGACCTTCGAACGGACCTTCCGGTCTCAAATTGTCGTGATGTTTCACTATGTCCACGCGTTCGCCCTTGACGACTTTGTAATCGTCTCGTGTTCTCGTATCGATGAACTCACCCTCCATACGTAGATTGTCTTGGTACCGCGTGATCTCGCTTCTCTCGCGTATCAGGAAATCAGTGTATTCGTCTCTGGATCTGTACGTCTCGATGTCTCCCTCCATACGCAGATTATCAGTACGCTTAACGATATCAACGCGTTCACCACGCACCGGTCGGTAGTCATCCTTCGGCCTGCCTTCGAACGGTCCTTCCGGTCTCAGATTATCCTCCGGTCTCTTAACGTCCGCGCGATCACCTTTGGTAGGTGTGAAATCTTCCTTCGGTCTGCCGACGAACTCACCCTCCGGTTTCAGGTTATCCGGATGTTTCACCGGTGTTCGTTTCTCGGCTGGAGCGTATTTTTCCGGACGGGGTCTCTCAAACTCGCCTTCCGGTTTCAGATTGTCCACTGGCTTCTTCACTTCTGGCCTTTCAGCCGGACGAAAAGCTTCCTGGTCAGGTCGTTCGAATTCGCCCTCGGGTTTCAAGTTATCCGGATGTTTAATCGGCGTACGTCTCTCCGCTGGACCAACAGGCGCCTTTTCCGGTCTCTCGAAGTCGCCTTCGGGACGCAGATTGTCTTTGGGTTTCTTCACGTCAGCTCGATCGCCTTTCTTGGGCGCTTCTTCTTTCGGTCTCGAGACGAAATCACCTTCGGGCTTCAAGTTGTCGTGCGGTCTCTTCACGACTGGCCTCTCGGCAGGCTTGAATTCTTCAGGCTTGGGTCTCTCAAACTCACCCTCCGGTTTCAGGTTGTCCGCATGTTTAATAGGAGAACGTCTTTCTGCTGGACCGATAGGTTTCTTCTCTGGTCTCTCAAAATCGCCTTCCGGACGTAAATTGTCCTGTGGCTTCTTCACATCAGCTCTCTCGCCCTTTTTAGGCGCTTCTTCCTTAGGTCGACGTACAAACTCGCCTTCTGGTCTCAAATTATCTTCTGGTTTCTTGAGCTCGGGTCTCTCGGCTTTCTTGGGCGAGTAATCGTCCTTCGGTCGACCTTCGAACGGACCTTCCGGTCTCAAATTGTCGTGATGTTTTACCACCTCCGCGCGTTCGCCTTTAACGACCTTGTAGTCATCTCGTGTCCTCGTATCGATGAATTCGCCCTCCATACGCAAATTGTCTTCATATCTCGTGATCTCGCTCCTTTCACGTGTCAGAAAATCGGTGTATTCGTCTCTGGATCTGTACGTCTCGATGTCTCCCTCCATACGCAGATTATCAGTACGTTTAACGATGTCAACGCGTTCTCCACGCACCGGTCGGTAGTCATCCTTCGGTCTGCCTTCGAACGGTCCTTCCGGTCTCAGATTATCCTCCGGTCTCTTAACGTCCGCGCGATCACCTTTGGTAGGTGTGAAATCTTCCTTCGGTCTGCCGACGAACTCACCCTCCGGTTTCAGATTATCCGGATGTTTCACCGGTGTTCGTTTCTCGGCTGGAGCGTATTTTTCCGGACGGGGTCTTTCAAACTCGCCTTCTGGTTTGAGATTATCTACTGGCTTTTTCACTTCTGGCCTTTCAGCCGGACGATAAGCTTTCTGATCAGGTCGTTCGAATTCGCCCTCGGGTTTCAAGTTATCAGGATGTTTAATCGGTGTACGTCTCTCCGCTGGACCAATAGGCGCTTTCTCCGGTCTCTCGAAGTCGCCTTCGGGACGTAGATTATCCTCCGGACGTTTCACTTCGGGACGTTCGGCTCGCTTGGGCGAGTAGTCGTCCTTCGGACGTCCTTCAAATGGACCCTCCGGTCTTAAGTTGTCTTCCGGTCGTTTAACATCCGCACGTTCTCCTCTGGTTGGCTTATAGTCGTCCTTCGGACGTCCTTCGAAGGGACCTTCTGGGCGTAAGTTGTCTTCCGGGCGCTTCACCTCGGGACGTTCAGCACGTTTGGGCAAGTAATCGTCTTTCGGACGTCCTTCGAAAGATCCTTCCGGTCTTAGGTTATCTTCTGGTCGCTTAACATCCGCGCGATCACCTTTGGTGGGCGTAATCTCCTTGGGTTTGCCAATAAATTCTCCTTCTGATTTGAGATTATCGGGATGTTTCACGGGCGTTCGTTTTTCGGCTGGAGAGTATTTTTCCGGGCGGGGTCTTTCAAATTCACCTTCCGGTTTCAAATTGTCCACTGGCTTCTTCACTTCTGACCTTTCAGCCGGACGGTAACCTTCCTGATCAGGTCGCTCGAATTCGCCCTCGGGCTTCAAGTTATCCGGATGTCTAATCGGAGTACGTCTTTCTGCTGGGCCAACAGGCGCCTTCTCCGGTCTCTCAAAGTCACCTTCGGGACGTAGGTTATCCTCCGGACGTTTCACTTCGGGACGTTCGGCTCGCTTGGGCGAGTAGTCGTCCTTCGGACGTCCTTCGAATGGTCCTTCCGGTCTTAAGTTGTCTTCCGGTCGCCTAACATCCGCGCGGTCTCCCCTGGTTGGCTTATAGTCGTCTTTCGGACGTCCTTCGAAGGGACCCTCGGGTCGTAAGTTGTCTTCCGGGCGCTTCACCTCGGGACGTTCAGCACGTTTGGGCAAGTAATCGTCTTTTGGGCGTCCTTCGAAGGGTCCCTCGGGTCTCAAGTTATCTTCCGGACGCCGGACGTCCGCGCGGTCTCCTTTAGTTGGCTTGAAGTCATCCTTGGGCCGTCCTTCGAATGGCCCTTCCGGTTTTAAATTATCCTGTGGTTTCTTCACTTCTGGACGCTCCGCTCGTTTAGGGCTATAATCGTCCTTGGGCCGTCCTTCGAAAGGTCCTCCTGGTTTCAAATTATCCTCCGGTCTCTTGACATCAGCGCGTTCTCCTTTAGTCGGTCTGTAATCGTCCTTCGGCTTTCCTATGAAAGCGCCTTCTGGACGAAGGTTATCGTCATGTTTAATGGGTGTTCTACGCTCAGCCGGTCGGAAAGGCTCAACTTCCTTATCTGGAAATTCTCCAATCGGGAACAGGTTATCGGGATGACGCACGATGGAAGCTCTATCGCCAGGACCATAAGGTATCAATTGCGGTCTTTCGAAATCGCCTTCGGGATACAAATTATCCGGATGTCTAATCGGTGTACGTCTCTCACCGGGCGTATATTGATCTTTCGGCCGATCTATAAAGTCGCCCTCAGGTCGTAAATTATCCTTCGGTCGTTTCGCTTCCGGACGGTCTGCCTTTTTCGGGGAGAAATCATCCTTAGGACGTCCTTCGAATGGTCCTTCCGGTCTTAAGTTATCTTCAGGGCGTTTGACATCAGCACGTTCGCCACGAGTTGGCTTGTAATCATCCTTAGGTCGGCCTTCGAAGGGTCCTTCAGGGCGTAAGTTGTCCTCAGGCCGTTTCACTTCAGGACGTTCTCCGCGTTTAGGTGAATAATCATCCTTAGGACGTCCCTCGAATGGTCCTTCGGGTCTCAAATTATCTTCAGGACGTTTAACGTCAGCGCGCTCGCCTCTAGTTGGCTTGTAATCATCCTTAGGTCGGCCTTCGAACGTTCCTTCAGGGCGTAAATTGTCCTCAGGCCGCTTCATCTCAGGACGTTCTCCGCGTTTAGGTGAATAATCATCCTTAGGACGTCCCTCGAATGGTCCTTCGGGTCTCAAATTATCTTCAGGACGTTTAACGTCAGCGCGCTCACCTCTAGTTGGCTTATAATCATCCTTAGGTCGCCCTTCGAATGGTCCTTCGGGTCTCAAATTATCCTCGGGACGTTTAACGTCGGCTCGCTCTCCTCTCGTAGGCCTATAATCATCCTTAGGTCGCCCTTCGAATGGTCCTTCGGGTCTCAAATTATCCTCGGGACGTTTGACATCAGCACGCTCACCCCGAGTCGGCTTGTAATCGTCCTTAGGTCGGCCTTCGAAGGGTCCTTCTGGTCTTAGGTTATCCTCGGGACGTTTAACATCGGCTCGCTCTCCTCTCGTAGGCCTGTAATCATCCCTAGGTCGCCCTTCGAATGGTCCTTCGGGTCTCAAATTATCCTTGGGACGTTTGACATCAGCACGCTCACCCCGAGTCGGTTTGTAATCGTCCTTAGGTCGGCCTTCGAAGGGTCCTTCTGGTCTTAGGTTATCCTCGGGACGTTTAACATCGGCTCGCTCTCCTCTCGTAGGCCTGTAATCATCCTTAGGTCGCCCTTCGAATGATCCTTCGGGTCTCAAATTATCCTTGGGACGTTTGACATCAGCACGCTCACCCCGAGTCGGCTTGTAATCGTCCTTAGGTCGGCCTTCGAAGGGTCCTTCTGGTCTTAGGTTATCCTCGGGACGTTTAACGTCGGCTCGCTCTCCTCTCGTAGGCCTGTAATCATCCTTAGGTCGTCCTTCGAATGGTCCTTCGGGTCTCAAATTATCCTCGGGACGTTTGACATCAGCACGCTCACCCCAAGTCGGTTTGTAATCGTCCTTAGGTCGGCCTTCGAAGGGTCCTTCTGGTCTTAGGTTATCCTCGGGACGTTTAACGTCGGCGCGCTCTCCTCTTGTAGGCCTGTAATCATCCTTAGGTCGCCCTTCGAATGGTCCTTCGGGTTTTAAATTATCCTTCGGTTTCTGAGCTTCCGGCCTGCGCGACAATATCGGTGCAACATAATCATCCTTGGTATGAGGCAATGCCTCAAAGGGTCCCTCGGATCTCAGGTTATCAGCCCTTCTAACCACAGTGGTACTTCTGTAATCCGTCTGGTCGAAGGTTCGATATTGCTCCTGGGTGGTGGTGGTGCTGTCCACGACGTCGGTCTTGCTGTAAAACCGGTCGGTCTCTTCGGGATATTTCGGTCGCCACTGAGGTTCGCGTTCGACGACATGCGTCTGGAAGTCCTCCTTGATGTGAGAAGTACCCTGCGACACAAATTTCAAGGACGATAAGTGAACAAGAAGAGTACGTAGAGCAACAATTATCATATACGATCCGCGCGAACACCAACACACTCTACCAACCGTGAATTCACCCTCTCCCACGGTGAGGTTATCCGTTCGCTTGATGATCTCGGCGCGTTGAATGCTGCGATGATCCACATACTGAGATCGCGTGGTCGTCTCGTCGATGAAGTCACCTTCTACCTTCGTGTAAGTGTTGCGGCGGATCGGGCTCGGTCGTTCGCCGGGCGCCCCGGTGAAGACCAGCTCGGTCGTCGTGGTAGCTGCAAAACGACACGCACACACTCCTTTCATCTCCGTACCTTTTTACGAGAGGTCTGTTCTACCTCAGGAACTTGAGTTGCAAACGTCTCGCGGACGCGAACGAGTATCTACCGACGCGCGAACGAAGCGATTCGCGGGACTTACTGTCGAGTTCCCCTTCGAATTTCAAGGTGTCCCGCGGCTTCGTGACCGGCGCACGTTCGCCATACTTGGGCGCTTCCTCCCGAGGTCTGCCGACGAATTCGCCCTCCGGCTTTAGATTGTCCTGCGGCTTCCTCACAGGTGCTCTCTCGCCCCTCGTGGGCGCCTCCTGCTTCGGTCTGCCGACGAATTCACCCTCGGGCTTGAGGTGATCCTGCGGCTTCCTGACGGGCGCCCTCTCACCCTTGGTAGCCACGTAATCGGTCCGCCTCTCCCCGATAAATTCGCCGCCCGTATGCAGTTGGTCCTCATGATAGTACCTCGTCTGCCTTTCCACGTGTTTCTCGTCGTATTCCTGCCGGTAGGAGCTCACCGCGTGCACCGACTCGTCGCGCGATATATCCAGGTGCTCTTCGGGGAAGTTGTGCGGGCAACGGTGACGCCTGTAAATCATCGCGGTACGTTAGAATTCCGAGGGCCGCGGCACGCTTACATCGGCAGCATGCGTACGTGCGGAGAAAGAAGATCGTCTGAGTTCACGCGACAAGGAACAAGCTTGATGCATTCCGTTCGAAGAAGGTGCTTCCTCCGGAGGAGGACTTGCTCGGCTCTTTTCAGCGGAATTCGGCTCGAGCAGAAGCAGAAGTTCCGGGTCTTTCGATCAAAATACACTTGGCTCGTTGTTGTCACGCTGACTCGAACGATCTTTCCTTTCCTGTCGGGGGAGGGGAGATCTGTTCTCGCGGCGCGGCGGAAATCCCACCGCAGACTTGAAGGTGTACGCGAAGGGACGCGAATCCTCGCGAGCTTAAAAAGCCTGGCCGATTGTGTCGCGACCATCGATGTTCTTCGTTGCTCTTACAGCTGATATTTACAGCCGCGCGACGCACATGCAGGCAAAACGCAGTGCAATCTGCGACAAAAACCTACATCGGATTCGCGTAATTGCGGCCTCCTCGCACTCTAGCCACTTATTGTCACGCGACCACCTGCGCCGTTATAGGCGCCATTGCTTTTTAACGAGACTCATTAATTTGCAGACGGTGCGGTCGGCTCGCTCGATGCACATCGTTCTCAAGAGTGCCATATTCAATTAGCCGTGATACATTACGTGTTACTAATTAATAAAGACAGTCTCTTGAGCATGCGCTCTCCTAAGACCTACCGCGGTAACAAGGCCGGCGAGGCACGAAGATCTTCGACGGTAACGTTCAACAGGGTAACACAAAGGTAGGCAAGTGGATAAAGTGGGTTGAATGTGTTCGATTGAACGGACCGATTCAATTGAACAAACGCGCAGTGTTCGTCGTGCGACGAACTTGAGGAATATCGAGTCCACGCACGCGCAGTTTGTCAGGGAACGGTCTCATTAGTCAAAGCCGGCGACGCAACGTGCGTATTAACGACGCGCGTTCTCACGTAAGGCGAATCGTTGCACCGCTGCGCGCCCGAGATAATTGGGCGTCTCGATTACCGGTGCGCCAATTAAGTTCTTGCACAAGGATCCTGCGTGCTCAGGATCGACAGTTTTTCGCGATACCCTCGCGCACAAATGGAGAAGCAGCCGCGAGATATTCTATAGAACGACGTCCCCTTCGACGTGAACTCTCGTCGACATTAATCAACGAAAAGCCGCTCGGCTTTCCTTTACGAGCGGCCGCCGTAGATGGCGGGAGAGAAGAAACGGCGGGCCGCTCTTGCCAATATTTCATGCAGAGCGATTCGACGTACTCGGAGAGAGAGAAAGAGAGGGAGGGAGGGAGGGAGGGAGGGAGGGAGGGAGAGAGAGAGAGAGAGAGCGATTTCGTACACGACATTCTACTTCCACGCTATCCGTCGTATATCGAGTGACATCGAAATCCAGTCAATGGCTGTGTTCAGCAGAACAAAGTGATCAGTGAGCGTTTAGTGATTACTGTCTGTGACTGGAGCATTCTTTTGGATTCTTCATAGATCTAGAAGTATTTATCAATCAGGAGCGAGAATCACTAAGCGCTCACTGAACGCAGCCAATGGCTACGTTCGGAAGAACAAAATGATCAGCCACTGTCATTCCCCGTCCCTCCCGGCTTCGAATATTGCCGAAAGGCGATGCCGTAACAGTCGGGCTCGCCGGGGACGAGGTGACGGGGACTGATTGGGTACTTTCGATCGGCTCCAGAATAGAGTTTCCAATCCCGGATACAATTTAAGATCCCGGGATTTCGGGATTTTTTGGATTCCATCCCGGGATCCTGGGACTAGTCCCGGGATTATATATATGTAAAGAAAGAAACAAGGAATATTTACAAATAATAGAATTATTTTATTTATAGAACGTTCACAGTCGTTTATGAACATTATGACAAACAAAAAGTAAAATTTCAGTAAAAATTAAAACAACTTACATTAATGATGGCATAAAAACCGTTACAATTAAAAATTAAAGTTTTTGTAATAAAAATAAAAATAATTGTTTCTTCCTTTTCACATTTGAAAAAGCGACTTTAAAAATAATAAAACAAATTTTGTTAAAAAATATCTGATCGAGGATCCCGGATTCAAGTCTGTGTTGCGCTGAGTTTATCCGCGAAATTTAAAATAAAAAACTCCCTTAATATTTAAAACAAATAAAAATAATACATGGAATTAAATTTAAAAAATAAATACACACTTCTCTAGCAAATGCTCCAAAACAAAGTAATAAATAAAGGTGTGTCGGATTTACTCGCTCACACATAATACGCAGGCGTGCGACGATAGCTACCGAAGGTCGCGGATATGTAAAAGTAAGTCAGAGAAACGTGACGCGTCCGCCTGCAAAAAATGCCGGATCCGTTCCCCGGCTCCTGCGCGCCTTGAGGAACCTTGAGAGAAATTGGCGCCTGAAAAATGTTCAATGCGGCTTACGCTGATCTTACGTTCCGCATAATCCGCTATTCCACATAAGCCCGTGTAATCCCACACAATTCCCACATAATCCCGTTTCATATAATCAGTCGCCGTCATCCCCCGTGCGATTGGCGGCGAGGATCCTTCGCGGCCGATGATGCGTCCGAGCGCGCAATTAGCGAAGCTGTACCGTAAATTCGCCGGCGACCCGCCGGCCGTCGCGTCAAGTCGCGTCAAGTCACGGCTCGCGGCTCGCTCGGATAAGGAAGGAATCGCGCGATGATTTGCGATCGGGCCGACCACGACTCGCCGTAAAAGGATCCGTCTCGCGACCTACTTTTCGCGCACGCATACGTAATGCGTGTCCAAGAGCAGAAAGTCGCCATGTCGTCGCGATACCTCGGCGAAGCCTCGGCGGTAAAATTTCTTCTCACTGATGCCGAGTGAAACGGAGGGGCGGGTGCGTGAATGAATCAGCGAGCCGAAACCCGCCGGCAAGTTTCAGGCGCTTGGACGGACTCGCGCTTAGCCGAGGCCGAGCCCGAGCCAGGATTTTGCGACGCATGCTCGCGAGCAGAACGTGAAAGGTGGCCTCGAGTACGATCTTGCCGCGAATTTGCGTCTCGGCGAGTTTTCCGATCTCGTGAATAGTGTTCGGAAGTAGGTCAGCCTAGCTCATCTCAGACGAGAACGTGCTGATAAGGCGAGTCGCGCGAATCAAGCTCGCGCTAACTACACCTCGACATTATTGTCGACATCCTGCGACATCCCCGTCCGTTCCGCCGCGCGATACGAACGTCGCGACGCGACGCGCTCACGGGAGGCAATATCCTGCGACAGGGATCGCGGCCTCCGCCGTCACGCGAGTGTCTCGATATAGAGGAAGCCGTTCTCGGGTGACTGGCGTTCATTTCGCGTGCGACTTACCCGCAGGTACAAAGCTCGCAGATGCATTGTTCCTTCAGAGGGATCTTGGAGAGTATATCGGGTATCGGGCGCACGTCGTCTTCGTCGAGCGAGTCTGGAGTTTGATCCCCTCGTCGCGGCTTCTCGGCTCGCTCGGGCTTCCGAGACTTATCCGCGGGTCGGCTGGGCCTACCCGCGGCTGGCCTCTCTGGCTCCGTGGGTCTGGTGGGCCCGGCCGGCTGCTCGTCGGGCCTCCTGGCCGCTAAGGGCCTCTCCTCGGGCCGGCTCGGCTTGCCGGCCGCCGGTTGCGGTTTCCTGCTCGGCGACGTGTAATCCCGCAGCTTCTCCGGCGACTTGGGCCGTGCCTCGGAAGGCCTGCGGGATAATTAGCGTCGTGTAGCGCGCTAAGTAACAAGTAACAGCGTGCAACTTTGTAGGAAGTGTTCGCTTTTATCTAGATCGAATTGTACGGGTAATAAGTAGAGATGTGCTAATCAAGAATTTTTATCGTCTCTCATTTTTTAAATTCGAATTCGCATCGAGTCGAATCTATGAAATTTCACTCGAATTCGAATCGAATCGAAGCATTAAAAAATTTCACGTGACCATTAAACATGCAAATAATGATGGAAGATTTTAATATGAAAGGGAATATTGATCTTCTAATATCATCTTAAAGTAAAGTATTTAAATGTATTTAAATATATTTAGATAATTAAAATAATTTATAATTAAATTATTAACTATTATAAGTTAAGTTAATTATAAATTAAGGCTTCAAACATACAGGCCGAGATGGTCCGTTTTGTAGCTGATGCACGCAAACGATAATGTATTTGATTCCTATTCGATTCGAACTCGAATAGTTCGCGCATCTCTAGTAATAAGTCGGCTGAACTGGCCTGGCACCAACTAGTCTCTAACTACTATTTAAATATGTAAATTGTTGCAATATGTAAAATATCAGGATATCCGTTTGCGGCTACGGCTGAGATTGCATCCGCGATTCGTCTCGAACAGTCAGCCGAGAGCTCTGAGAGAAATTTACATGTTTCACGTCTTACCTCTGCCTAGGCTGATTCTCTTAAATCATCCACGCGCAATACTCTGGTTGTGATCATCGCTGTGTTTGCCCGAGGCAAAGCGCCGGCGATTTTTCGTAGCGAGTCACACCTCGCTGACTCGTTTCACTCACCTGCCGTGTTCCGCCGGTCGTTGGGGACTTCTCTCGCGCTCTCGCGGCGGAGATCGGCTGGGTTTCCCAGCGGCGGGGATTGGCTTCGGTCGGTCGTCTTCCCTGAGCCCGGGTATTCCGCGAGGGTAGCCAGGCCGCTCCGGCGACGGCTTCCTCGTGGAATCCACCGGAGTCTGGGGCGCGTGGCCGGTGACGATGTCGAATCGGGTGTCGTCGACGACATCCCGCGCTACCATGCTAGTCACCTGCTCTTTGTCGATAAATTCCTTCGTTGACTCGCTGACATCTCTCTGGAACGAGCAAGTGCGACGACATGCGTGAATTAACCGGCGCGGAGAACAAGCGAAAGCGGCCGGCCGAGTCCGAGGCGGCCGGCCGTCGCAACGCGATCGTCGGATTCGATATCTCTCGCGACGGTCAACAGCCGCGGCAATAATCTCTCGTTACGTTCATTATTTTCACAACAACGTTTTCACGCCGCGGCACGGTGTGCGAACGGCACGGAGTTAATTGTCACACAGACCGTAACGTCGGTCGCATTATCATGCGCTGAATTATACGTCGTTATGCAAATTACGGATATTCAGAATTCTATTGTGTCACAACGGTAAACTGCACTCTCTGTTCTACGCTCAAGTGGCACAATCGAGCCTCCACATGCGGCGTTATATAGATCGCTAAGAAAGAGCATCGCTCAATATATTTTATAAATCCATATAGCCACTTGTGCGCTCGTTAGCAACCGCGGACTGTAACCATCGCCACCTCTCGCTCGTCGGGGATTTTGCCTAATGTCAATGTTGCACGATCGTCCGGCGCGGCGCGGCGAAGCAAGGACGAGAGAGAGAGAGAGAGAGAGAGAGAGAGAATGAGTGAGAAGAAAACGCTATAAAGATTTACGAGTCTATCGGCAGGCTAATCTCGCTCGTAAACGCCTCGATGATAGCACGTTGCGCGGCGACTTAGAGGCGTGTAATAACGACTCCGTTTTTCCGCGGGCGTTCATTACGAGTTTCAAACGCGCTGCATAATGAGCGCCGCGGGCACTGCGAGATTAGGAGCGCCGCGAGTGCTTAGTTCGACGGAATGCAGGTAACGCGAGATCGGCGCACATATGGCTTTTATGCGCACGCTTACAGCGTATCGTGTAACGTGCTCGCCGAACCGTCGAACCGCACTTTAGCGATATATAGTTTCGTCGTCGGCGGGATCGCCGTCGTCGTTTCTGGAAACAGGTAGACAGGCGGGCCGTAGACAGTACTATCGATGGCAAAGGATTTACACAGAGAGAGAGAGAGAGAGAGAGAGAGAGAGAGAGAGAGAGAGAGAGAGAGAAAGGGAGGAGGATCCGTTTCCACAAGACAGGTCGTTGGAAAATTACGAATCGTTTCTCCGCCGAATCGGTCGGCGCTTTCACCGAAATCTACTCGGTCCATTCTCTCTCTTTCTCTCTCTCTCTCTCTCTCTCTCTCTCTCTCTCTCTCTCGCCGTCTGCTTGCCGCTCTGCCGCCTGCGATTATCGACTCCCGATCGATCCGGCGATGTCGCGACGTTGGAGTTGCACCTCGGCGTAACCCGACGTGTTACACGCCTACGCACAGCAGCGTGACGCGACGCAGTGCGTGCGCGGCGAATCGGCTGAAAAATTTTACACCCGTCTATCCTCGCTTCGTTGAGTCTGCTCATTAAACTTCGTAAGCGCGCTCGCGCTCACCGGCCAAGTTGACCGGCGCGGTGACTCGATAACGAAGCAAATAACGCTCGCGCCGACGCTATTAGCCGAATCCGCTCCGCTCCGTTTTTAACATCTGGGAGTGACTCGCGTCATAAAGCACACTGCAGACAGGAGTTTCGGCATTTAATTAGCAGTTTAAGCGGCCCGAGCCTCTCTAAGCTGATTGCCCCCTTCTTCTTCGCGATATCGGCTCGCGCGAGTCGCTCGTAATGAAGCTCGTTTGTGCGAGCAAACTTGCTCGCCGCGAATTTTCGCGCCCCCGCGCGCTCGCAGCTCCGGCAGCGTTTTGTGCGCTTTTGTACGGGGGAGGGGGAAGGGGGGGGGAGGGGAGACGAAAAAAGGAGCGAAGAGGACGAAACGTGCCGCGGTGTGCCGCGCATGCTGGTGCCCGCGATGTTGTTTTACTCGAGATTTCACCCGTCGAAGGCGCACGACGTTGCAGCGGGACGCGACCCCGCGTGTGAGCGCCGTTAATAAAATATCACATTTATCGATGTCGTAATACCCGACACGGAGAGACATTGCGCGCGCCTGCGTCGTCATAAAATAATAATACGGATTCGACGGAGAGAACGCGATCACGCGCGTTCGCGTACGTCGTATCATCGTGTCTCGATGCAAGTAGGCCAAGCTCTCTCTCTCTCTCTCTCTCTCTCCCTCCCTCCCTCCCTCTTCCTCCCCATCTCTGTCTCTCTTTCTCTAGCTCTCCGTCCATGCATACAGCAGTTTGCATGTTGAACAATCGAAAACAAGCGGAGGCGTTCGTGTAACGACCGACTATCCGGACGGATTGTTCCGAATTGCTCGCGATGACGTCACGGGAAGATTGTATCGCGATCGCGGGGAGCGCGCTCGGCGGGGGCGTCTTCGGAAGAGGAGGGGAGGAGGGGAGGGGGGAACGAGATTGTTGAACGTTATTTCTGGAAAATAGTCCTCTCGACTTCGGGGGCTCGCGCGACGGATGGACAACGCGCGTGTTAAGGGCCAACATCTGAGTGAAGACGCCTGAAGACACAGAGCAAGTTTGGGAATTTTTTGTAGTTAAATAACAACACAGATGGAAAATTGGTTTGAAGGCCTCTAACGTGCATACCTTAAACTACACGAGACAATTTTTTATTTTGCATCAAGATGGCGGCGCTGAAGCTCTTCCCCGAGAAAATACCACGTTTTTCGAAGTGGCTTGCAGCAGAACTTTAAGAAATTTCATCCGATCCGCTCGAAATTTTTGGCACTGGCTGTTAAACTAAATTCTCTAGAGAAGTACACATGATTTTTACGATCGCGTTTAAAACTTTTGTTATTATAAATATCTTTCCGCTGAATCTCTCGGGTGAAAACTGAAACTTTTTTCCTTCGTGTTCACCATTTTTACAAAAATCAATATTTTAAGATGTACGTGTGTACTTCTCTAGCAGATTTAATGTAGATTAACAAAAATTTTGCTTTCTTGTCCTTCTTGAGAGTGTACGGCATTTCTGGTTGCAAGCCGCGGGGACCCAGGGAGAAGAATGCGGTTTTACTTGGAGAGCTTCAGCGCCGCCATCTTGAGGCAAAATAATAACAAAAAATTGTTTTGTGTAGTTTAAGGTATGCGTTAGAGGCCCTTGAAGCAATTTTCCATCTATGTTGTTATTTAACTGCAAGAAATTGCCAAACTTGCTTCTCAGGCTGTTTTCAGGCGTTCACTCGGACGTTATCCCTTAAGCGCTCGCTACGGCGTTTTATCGATCATCCCGAGACCTCGGACTAAAGTCACGGCTGTGAGAATCGGCGCGAACCGCTCGTGAGGAAGCGCGCGCGCGATTCGCGCAAAGCGGAATACATTACGAATGTCTATTTTTAATTCGCACACGGCGGCACGTGCGCGACCACCGTCGCCAATTACCGTCGCGTAGTACCTCTCGGAGGTATCCTTGAGCGAAGCACAGTCGGGTATTCTCACTGCGACGAGAACACTCCGCTCGTTGGAACTTACGTCGGGCCCGGTATTTCAGACGCTAAGGTGGACCGAAGTTTCAGATTGTTCCAGATGCATCCTCAGCATCCGGGAAGTTCTCCTCGTCGTCGTCGTCGTCGTCGTTGACGAGCGCGAGAGGCATTCGCCTTGGCTCCTCCGTAATGGGCGAAGCAAGTGCGCGGAGCGTTGTAAGGCGCGTTTTACAAAATGTTCTCGCGACTTCGGACCGGAGGAATTTCTATTCTTCAAATTCGAGGAATTTGTTGTTTGAACGCGAGAGAGAGGAGGCTGCAGCGGGAGATCATTCGGCTCGCTTTGATCGACGAGAGAATCGAGGTATTCTCTCTCGGAAGGAAGAATCGAAGCGGAAGAGAGTCGGACGAAAATCGCGGCTCGCCGCTGGGAATTCGAAATTCCAGCGGCGTTCTAGAAACGCTAACTCTTTCTCGACGTTTCGAGCCGACCGCGCCGACCGCCGGGAGGGTGTCATCCGCGACATTTATTTCCACGTTCGATATCGACCCACATTTCTATGAAAATATGTAACTTTCAGCCGGAGCGACGCGGTCGTAGCGGGGGGGAGGGGGGGGGGGAGGGAAACTCGTCGCGTACTGATTGCGAGGCATCGATATTCAAATCTACGACACACGGACGTGTCAATAAGTCATCGCGAAAACGACAAACGGCACAACTGTTGCTATGATATATCGTGCGCTGTTGTTGTTTTATTGAACACTATCGATCGCATTATCGTCGCAGACGACGCTGTAAATGACGTCTACGTACTCTCGTCATGCACGTCTAATGTGCTCTGCCCCCTTTCTCTCTCTCTCTCTCTCTCTCTCTCTCTCTTCTCTCAACTAAGATTCTATAGCAATTCTATAGCACTTAACGGGGCGGCCGCGCGATAAGCGAGGCGGAACACGCGTGAAATTCAATTGGTCGTGCATTAAGCCGGCTACGTTGGACGGTGACATCACTACCGAATTTACTCGGTATCGGATGTAATTATTGTCACTTTGCATATACGCCCCATTGAATCTGATTGCAGGTGATTATACACTTGCGCACGCCCATGGCGCATGCCAGAGACGACTCGGAGGACCCGCTGCTGTTCGCGCGAGCGAGCGAGCGAGGCAAGAGCGAAGGTGAGTTCTCCCCGGCGCGGCGCCAATTAGCCATGTATCTTTCCATCAATGTGGTACTCGATGAGACTCTTTATGTCCGTCACACTTTGCCAATGCGAGACTGCGAGATGTCGATATAAATTTGCGAGATCGCGAGATGCAATAATCAATCCTCTCGAGCTGTGATTTACGTACGCGGCTATTAAAGGCGGCTGCCGAGCCGAACGAGAGTCAAGGTCCGTCTCTCGATCGGGAGGAAATGTTATCGCGGCGAGATTTTTCTCCTCGTCAGGGCGTCGCGTCGGTCGTCGTCAGGGTTATCGCGGCAGGATTTTTCGCCGTCGCGATGCAGCGCGACGCATCAGCGCGCGGCGCTGTGTTAGCCCAGCGAGGAAATTGCGATCGATTGCTCAATCTCGCCGTGCGATACACGCGCGATTACGTTACGAGGGCGGTCTGAAAAGTTGTCGGCCTAACAATGAAAGGAATCTTTTTCGCCGTGAAATATGTTTTATTTTTCGATATAATCATCTGAAACTTCAATACATTTATTCCAACGTTTTTTTCCAATAATTCAATACCGTCATTAAAGTGTGATTCCGGAAGGTTCTTTTCGCTCTGGTGTATAATGGTGGATCCAAGTTTCATCAACAGTTATGAAACGACGCTTGAAATCCATTTTATCTTGCTGAAAACGATAAAAATGTGCCAGACACGCTTGAGAAATACGCATTCGAAATGCGTTTTTCGTCAATTGTTAGCAAAATGCGGCATCCATCTTGCGCAAACCTTTTTCCAACTGGTGCCACTACTCGAATGATTTGACAGATCGAATAAAATTTTACATGGCTTTGTCTCAGGGCCATGCCACTTTCCAATACAATTATAGTTTGACAATTATAGTTTCTAATGTCACGTATGTGTCAGGTCGAGAACTATTCAGACTGCCTACGTACAATGCGACTGAGGTGCGACTCAGTCCGTTTTTTCCGTCCGTTTTTCAAACGCGCGCGCGATATCGATCCCCGGTCAGCGAGGCTCCGCAGCGGTCCGATGAATCCGGGCCTCAGCCGTGCAGAAATCCGATGAGGAACGCGATCCTGCCCGCTTGCAGACGCGGGGACTCGTCAACGACGAGTCCCCCATTTTTTTTTCCGCCGCGCTCAACCCTTCTCCGTCCTTCCACGAGCCGCGCCATATTACGTCAGGTTTATTTTCAACGCCACCACGCACGTGAACACGCGACCTTCGCCCGCTTTGGAAGTGAAAGTACCGCGCTCGAGCCTCTTCCGCAAGGACTGCGAGCTGGAAGTGTCTCGATAAGATTTTTATAAATCTACCGTCTGCTCTCCCTCTCTCTCTCTCTCTCTTCCCGGCGCGTCTGTTTCCTGTCAATCATCGAGAGAGATCTGAACGCACACATCGGTGGAGCCCGAGATGAATTTTCGACGTTCGACGTTTCGACTTATTTTCCTCTTGGTGCGAGCAGAAGCATCGTTCTCTCATTTCTTCCCCCTGCCTCTTCGCAGAAAAATGTTACTTCGTCGAATGTTATGAGTCGCGCGACTCAGAGCGGCAATTTCCGAGAACGCGAGCAACCGATAAAAGGAGGAAGCAGTCCAACACCTCGCGATTACTCACCACATCCTTGCGCGTGTCCGTTGTAAATTCAGTGATGACACGCTCGTCCCTAACGTCTCGGACGTCTTGCACGGACGTGAAGCTCGAAGATTGATCGACCACGAAAGTGGATTGCTGCACCAGCTCGGACGTACGCGTGACATCTTCCGCGACATCTTCGACGTATTTGAGCAGCGTGACGTCCTGCTGCTGCTGCTGCTGCCTCTTGTCATCCGTCGCTTTCCGCGGGACCGGTGTGGGCTCAACCGGCTGTTCCCGCCGACCTGCCGGTTCCTTTTTCGCCTCAGTCGGCTTCCGCTCGTCCACGCTCGGCTCGCCGGCCGCCACTTTCCTTCGCGAGTCCTGCGTTTTCTCGTAAACGAAGGACCCGTCCCAGGTGGAGGCGCCCGGCTTGGACGGCCGATGCGTGCGACCCAGCGGACTCTTCGGAGTCTTCTCGGGAGCTTCCTTGTCGTCGTCCGGACGCTTCCGGGGCGACGACGGGGTCAGTTTCTCGTCGGACGGCCGTCTCGGCTTGTCGTAGTCGATGGACAGTATCCTGTCCTCCTTGAAAGTATCCTCGGTGAAGTCGTGTGTCTTGTCGGTGGAGTCGGTGACGAGCGTCTGCTCGAACTTGACGGAGCTCGTGACGTAATCAGTCGAGCTTCTCACATCCTTCGACGTATCCTCGACGATCGCGACAGACTTCTTGTAATCGGTGACGTCGGTCGGTCTTCCTTCCAACGGACTCGGCCTGGCCGCGGCTGCAGTCGTATCCTTCGGCGTCTTCCTATCGGTCGGTCTTCTCTCCGGCTTCTCGTGCACAAACGAGCCGTCCCATGTCGATGAACCCGGCTTCGTAGGTCGGTAACTCCTGTCCTCCATATAGGACTCCTTCTTCTCTGAGCTTCTAATAGTGCTTTCTTTGACGTCGGTGCTGCTGATTACGTCACCGCCAGGCAGCCTCCTCGCGGGGCCGCTGCGAGGGCCCTCCTGAACGGTCACGGTTTTTTGCGTGGACGTGACCGGCTGGCCGTCGCGGATGAGCACGGTTTCCATGGAGGTGCTGGAGTCCGTGTAACTTTCGTGTACTCTCGACTGCTCCGTGCTGAGCACGGAGCTCTTGAGGAGTTCCGACGTGGCGGATACGCCTTGCGTGACGTCCCGCAGGTCGATAGTGGTCTCGCTGACGTGCTTTCTCGCCGTGTCCACCGGAGACGACGGAGACGTCTTCTGGCTGTCAGCCGCATGCGGTTTGTCCGGCGGCCTGTCATCGGTGGATTCTCTGCTGGATGGTCGTTTTTTCCCCTGCGGTTTCTCCCGCACGAAAGTCCCGTCCCACGTCGACGAGCCGGGTTTCGTGGCTCGGAGGTCTCTCTCCTTGGCTGACTTCTCGGGACTCCTGGGGCGCGCGGTAGGACCGGTCTGACGCTCCGTCGACGAGACTTTGTCTCGGCAAGTATCCTCCTCGATCTTGATGGTCATCTCGACAGGGTGACCCTCGTAGATGACCGTCTCGTAGATCGTGGACGAGAGACTGGCGTCCCTCACGTCCGAGAAGCTCTGCTGACTCGACGAATGCTCGACGACGTAAGAGGTGCTCGTGACGTCCGCCTCGTTGATCGAATTGTCCTCCGTGACGTCTCGGATATCGACAGTCTTGACGACGCGTTTGTCCTCCGAGCTGCGGCGAGTTTCAGGTGTCTGGGGTCGCTCGTAGACGAAGGTGCCGTCCCACGTGGACTGGCCGGGTTTGTAGCAGCGAGAGGGTCCATCCCGCTTGGCCTGTCTCTCGGGACTTCCTCGCGACCTGCCCTTGTCCTCGGCAGAACCGTCCTCCTCCGCGATCACCTCGGACACGGACGTGACCTTCTCAACGTTCGTCTTCTTGTCGCTGGCGCTCGCGTACTCGACGACGTAAGAAGTCGAGATCGACTGGGAGACGTTCTGTTCTTCGCTCACATCTTCCACGTCCACCGAGTCGTGACGTTTCTCCGTTCGCCGGACCACGGTGGCGTCCGAGGACCTCTTCCTCGCGTGCTCCGGCGACCTCTCGTAGACGAACTCGCCGTTCCACGCGGAATCGCCGGGTCTGCCGGGTCCGCCGCGTTGAGACGGAGCGGTCTCCTTGCTCTCCTCCCGGTCGTGTCGCTCCTCGGAGATGAATCTCGTGCTGTCCGTGGCGCCCTTCAGCACTCGCACCGTCTCGGACGACGTCCTCTCGTACGCGCTCTTCTCGCCCACGCTCTTCTCCCTCAGGTCCGTCCGCTGCGTCGTCTCCACGACGACGTCGTCGTCGTCGGCGTCGGCGTGACGGCGCGGGAACACGCTGGCGTCGGAGTCGTTGCGCCGTCGTTTCGTCTCCGTCGCTCTCTCCACGACGAAGCTGCCGTCCCACGCGGAGTCGCCGGGCTTGGATCGGCGGAGCGGCCCTCTCGCGCGCGTCTCGCTCGCCTCGTGCCTCCGCTCGTCGGCGAAGTCCGTCGTGTCCGTGGCGACCAGGTGTTGCGTCGTCGACGATCTACTCTCGCCGACCAGCGTCGTCTCCCGAGTCACGGCCGTGCTCGAAGATACGACCTGGTCGACGACCGACCTGCTCGACGCCTCGGCGCTCAACGAGGAGGAGGACGTCGCCGACGACTCTTGGGTGACTTTAACGCCGGTATCGCCGTCCCGCTTGCCCTGCACCTTCGAGCCGACGGATACCGTTCTGTCGACGGCACCTCCGTCACCGGGAGCCGCCTTCCCGACGGCGCTGTCCGGCGCGCTCTTGCTCTTCGGGGTGGCGTGCTTCTCGTAGACAAACGTGCCGTCCCACGTGGACTGGCCGGGCTTGTTGCAGCGCGCGCTGATCTCTGCGTGTGATTTCTCCGTTCTCGAGTCGTCGGGGTGCGCGCTCTTGCCGTCGATTATCTTGACGTGGTCGCTGCGCTTAACAGCCCTCACGTCCGCCGGCTGGGTCGTGCACTCGCTGTCGACCTCCCGGCTCGACGTGGACATGGTCCTCCCGTTGTCGTCGACCTTCTCGCCGCTCTCGCGGATCCTCATCGTGCTCGACACGGTCTTGCCGTCCTTCGTCAGAGCCTCGCTCGTCTCGCTGCTCATACGAGTGTTCTCGCTCGATCTCGAAGACGTGTGGACTGTGGGAGCCTGCTCGCCGTTCCTGACGTCGTGGGAGACGCGTCTGACCGCGGAACGGCCGCTGCGACCTTCGCTCGCCGACGAGCTCTCCGTCAGGGTGCTCGAGGAGATCGACTGCTGCTGGATCGTGTGCGACTTGCTCTGGCTCTGCATCTGGACGGATTGACTGGCTCGTTGCTCGGTAAGGTCTCCTTGAAGAGCAACGCGACCCTCCGTGAGAGAGGCCGCGCCATCAGCGCGCAGAGCCTCCTGCTTAGTCGCCTTTGATTGCTTAGTCGAGTGCGTTTGCTCGCCGGCGATAAAGTCTTGAGAAGTCTTGCCGGTCTTACGGCTGGACGAGCTCTGGCTGACGGTGCGCGGGGGTGTCTCGATGACCTTGATTACGTTACCTTTGGAGTCCATGATGACCTCGCGACTGCCGCTCGTCACCTCCGTCACGCTGCTCCTCGACTCGCTCTCCGTCGTTTGCCGGGACTCCTCGACCACGCTGGTCGACGACACGACCTCGACGGTCTCCGTGCTCGCTACGCCCGAGGACGTCGAAGTCGTGGCCGCCACCTCGTTCTTCGACGCCCCCTTGCCCTTCGTCTTCGAGGTCGCGCCTTTCTTGTGGATGGTCATCCTGATGGCTCGCGTCGGCCCAGCCTGATCACTTGTTTACGATCCACACAGCGGCGCGTGGGGATGCGATGAGGAAGAGAATGAAGAGGCTGAAGAGTAATCCCAAAACGCACGCATGCACACCTCTCGAGGCTCCGTCCGATTCACTCAACAACTTCACCGTCGCTCGCTCTCTCCGGCTCGCTGCGCGATCTCAGCTCTCGCGGAAACTTTGTTTATCTGCAGCACGCGGTGCGCTTATCACCGGCGCCCGGCGACGCTCTCCCGAAAACTACTTGCTTCTTCGTGTAGGCGCGCAGTCTTACATACAGCACAAGCACGTTACCACACCGTCACCTCGTTCTCTCTTTCCGCTGGGCGCGCACGGCAGGAGGACTCTCTCTCTCTTTCTCTCTCTCTCTCTCTCTCTCTCTCTCTCTCTCTCTCTCTCTCTCTCTCTCTCTCTCTCTCTCGCCGGAGTAGGCTGGTAGCGAAGCCCGTCGCGGTGACCGGCCTCGTTTACAAACTCGTTTCTTCCGATCGCGTCTGATCCTTCTCGCTGGTCCGCACGAATGTATGAGAGACTACTTGAGAGACACGCGCTCTCGCCGATGTTCTCGGCTCGGTACCGCGAGTCGATGTGGCATCGGCGATGTGCGACTCGCCCGTGCTCCGACTCGATCTCTTTCTCTCTGTTTCTCTCTCTCTCTCTCTCTCTCTCTCTCTCTCTCTCTCTCTCTCTCTCTCTCTCTCTCTCTCTCTAGGTGACCACACTCTGCTCACTTCTCCGCCGTGCCTCTTCGTTCCTCTCCCCGTCACTGACACTGACATACACCAAGCATGGACCTTTTATGCCTGGAGAACACCGCCGGTATATCCCTACTTTACTCGCGCGAGCCGAGGCGAAGCCGCGCTGCACGTACGTACATACGCGCGTACGTGGCCCGTTGCGTGGGATGTTGCCACCCATCCTCGCGTGTGTCCCGCGCTGCACACAGCGCGTGGGCCGCGTATTCGCGCGCGCGGTTGTGCGTGTGGGCCGGTGGGCCGGACGCCGCGCCGGCGAGAACACGCGCGCAGCGGCTCTCGCAGGTGTGGAGTGTCGTGAGAGCGCAGGTAACGCGCTCGCGGGAGATTATGTTCCTCCTCCGTCTCTCCTTTTTTTCTCTCTCTCTCTCTCTCTCTCTCTCTCTCTCTCTCGCGGTCGGTTTACTTCTATTCCACTGCTCCTCGTCTTACGCGGCTCGTCTTGCGCGACACTGTAGTCTCGCGGGCACGGCCGACGAAGCTGCGCTTTGCGGCCCGGCCTCGACGGAGTCGGCGGCGATCTCGTGAATAATTGGCGAGATTTTCGTCAATGCGCTTCCGCGCGGGGGGCTTGATGAAGGATCGAGCACGAGCGCTCGGTGATCCGAGTTGCCGGGCGCGACGTTTGATCGTCTTGATCGTCGCTTAAACGCGACGTTAAATAGCCTTGAGGTGTTCGCTCTTCACGTCGCTGTCACTTGGCCGCTCGCGCTCTCTTCGCGCCGTGTGTACGGCGACGGTTAGGATTACTCGATGATATTTCATATCGCGCCGGTCGCCTCGCAGGAGAGAAAGAGAGAGAGAGAGAAAGAGTACGCGCGTAGACACTGGGTGTGCGTAGAGACGCGCGCGCTTCACGCACGTGTGCGCACATACGTAGTTACAGTAGCGCTGCGTATTACGTAACATTCGCGTAAACGCAGGATGTGCCGCTTTTTATCTCCGCAGCGTCGCTGTGCGCGTGCACCTGTTGATCTCTCACACCCATCACACACGCGGATGAAACTTTGAGCTAAACTCGGAACCAGAAACCGGAACTCGCGCGCAAAGTGCGCGCATTTATAAACGAGTCTTTTACGATTTTCATGCAGCTTCTCGCCGTTCTCATGGCTGGCACTCGCGCGCGTTATCAGCCGCTCGAGCTGTTCCTTCCTCCGCGGAGGCTAAAAATACAGGGGAAGGTACAAAAGGCGCCTCTGACTCTTGTTTGCGAGCGAAGTCGACTCCTGAGGTCGACGTTGAATCAAATGATCAGGCGTCTGCGCGCAATCGACGAAAAGAATTCCGACGGGCGATCAGAGCCGACAAGCGAGATGTCGATTGCGACAGTCGGAGATAAAGCGGGAAATTGGGTATCGCCTTCCTCTCCGAGAATCAGGCATTAGGTTTGAAATCGAGCAGCTCGCGACTCGTGAAAAAGTCGGACAATCGCACACACGAGTACGTCCAAAATGGCTGACGAATCAGCGGCGGACGACGGCGGAGGGCGAAGAAGAGGCGCGTTGGCCCCCCGAAAAGGTCTCGTGATACTTATTTCTATATTAGTATAAGCCATGATTCATGCAAGCGCGCGCGCTCGCGCGATTCTTCGCAGTCGCAGAAAAATTGCGGACGAGAGCGGCGTGAACGCGACTGCGACATCGGTGGGGGCACCTCCGCAGAACCGGTCCATCCGTGATGCCACGCTGTAAACCGGGCGATGACGTAGGCTACAAAAGTACGACGACGGAGACCGTGGCCGTTTCCTCCCGGGGTGACCGACAAGTGTCACCGATGTCCATTATTCAGAGGCGATTGAGAGAGTTAGCCGTCGTAGACGAGGCCAACGAGCTGCGGCGACTCGCGAAGGAGCGGCGGCCATCGCGAGTATCGCGAGTATTCCTCTGTTGAGGCGGCGGCTCGCTCGCTCGCTCGCTCGCTCGCTCGCGAGTCGTCCCCCTTCTAATTAACGGCCCGTACGAAAGAGGAAAACATCCGTCCGTGATCGTCGCCGTTCGCGCGATAAGATAAGCGTTGGCACAAGAATGCCAAATATCTCGCGTTTGCGTGATATTTGGAAAATATTGAGTCACCGCGACCGAAGGTGCGATAAAACATGACGCGGACCGCTCGATCCTACGTCCGAATTATGAGACGGGACGTGCCGATTATTCGATTACGCGGAGCGAGTCGGCGGGAGCGCATCGCAGAAGCGGCAAATAATCGTCAGATGAGAAACGTCGTCCGAGTCGCTCGCTCGCAAACGCGATATTCGCCCGCAGCTACACGTCCTCCGCGTCCTTCGCTTCGTAAACGAAGGGGGCGGGCAATTTTTTCATTTGTTCCGAACGCTCGTGAGGAAAAAAGCTCACGTACAGTCAGCCGTTAAAGGCGTTATTAGCCTCAATGAATGCCAGCTTCTCGCGGTGATTGTGGCTCACGTGTGTAATGAAATGTGTTATTAGTTGAACGGAGCGGCAGTTGTCAGAGACGTCGCGCCGGAGACACGCGACGGCGCGCATTGTGCGCGACAAATGGCGCCGGGATCTATTTCATATTGCATGAGAGCGCGCGGACGGCTGCAGCAACAATTGAATTGAAGTTTAAGCCGAGCTCCCCGCCGGCTTTGCTTGCTGGAAGCTTGGCGTAAGCGCACTTTGTGACTAATCCTTTGTCTTCCGGCAAGCGTAAGAACACACTTGCGAGTCTTATCCTTCGAAAGTGCAAAGTATCTGCGTTAACAACTCGAGTAATAGCACTTACCATTTTTCCGTGAAATTATCTCGAAAAGGGTGGCCGCGAGCGAGCGCTTTTCTATTCGTCAATCATCGTTACTCAGTCTCAGAGCTGTCAATCGGAGGGAAAGGAGGTAAAGGATAACGCTTCGGTGAAAACGCCCCCCGAAACGCTTCGGCGCGTCGTGTTGAGTAATGAGAGAAGAAGAGAGAGATCCTCGATCTCCAGTTTTCAATTTCGACACACGCGCTTCTGTGCGCAAGACGTTTCCGATTCACGCTCGAACTAGAATATGTCGACGCCGAAGTGATTGGCGTGTTAATATCTTGAGTAACAGCGCATCTTTCCTCCTCGTCCAAAATTACCCCGAAAAATACGGCGTTAGCAGGTACTTTCCTTCATTCGTCGATCGTCACTACAGCCAGAGATGTGCAGCAGAAAAAGAATGGAAAATTTATAAAAAAAATGGTCGGTAAAAATTCGCAGTGTCATATCGAGTAATGAGAGAGAGAGAGAGAGAGAGAGAGAGGGAGATAGAGAGAGAGAGAGAGAGAGAGAGAGAGAGAGAGAGAGAGAGAGAGAGAGAGAGAGAAACCCCATTTTCCATTTCTCAAAGGCACACGCCTCTGTGTCGAGTCGCAGGACGCTTTCGATTCACGCTCGAATTACAGCGCATCTTTCTTCCTCGTCCAAAATTACCCCGAAAAATACGGCGTTAGCAGGTTACTTTCCTTCATTCGTCGATCGTCATTACAGCCAGAGATGTGCAGCAGAAAAAGAATGGAAAATCCCATAAAAAAACGATCGGTAAAAATTCTCCGAAATGTGCAGCGTCACGTCGAGTAATGAAAGAGAGAGAGAGAGAGAGAGAGAGAGAGAGAGAGAGAGAGAGAAAGAGTCTCTGTGTCGAGCAGCAAGAAGCTTCCGAGTCACACCCGATCTGGCTCGGGCATGGACCATTTCGCTTAAGGAGTGAAAGTACCGCGCCCGTCGGTTCGCGTTATCCCGTAAAAAGCGACGGCGGGTCACGACGTGGGCAGAGAACCAGACGGCTACGGCTTCTCGAGTTTGACTCCGATGCGCCGTATTTGGCGAATGCTACGAAATCTGTAGGCGAACCGGTAAGCGATCGAGCGCGTCATCCGTGAACCGTGTGAGCAACGTGAATGGCTCTGCGAATATCCCGGTGACACCCGAGCCGTATACAAGCTGCATGCATAAACGCGCATCGTTCCCCTCTCGCCCTCGACCGCCGAGAGACGCGAACGCTCCTCCTGGAACCGATATCTGTGCTCGCGCTCGCTGAGTCGCCTGACGAAGGAATCTCGACTCACACCGAGCACTTTGTGCTCGTTTTCGCTCGTCATTACGCGAAATGAGCTGCGCATGCCGATGCTTACATTATCGCGGAGGGAAACTCGCGAAGAGCGAGGAATTTCATGAGCGCGCCGAGCACGAGGTGGATTAGGAGGAAACTTTTGACGGCTCGAGAAATCGCTCGCCTTCTCCGCGGACTCTCCGCGGGACATCTCGATCGCGGAGCCGGTAGCGTCACGGTGAAGCTTACAATCGCAGCGTCGTCGCCGATCCCGTCCTCGCGAGTCGTTCTCTCTTGGCCTTTCCAGGATCGCGCGAGGGAAGGCGCGTGACTCTATTCATTCGTCGTACTGCGAAACACGCGTCGGTCCACTTACGCTTTCCCGATCGAGCCTTCGGCTAGCCGATCCAATTCCAAGCAGCCGGCGGGATACCTTAAGCGGCGACGATCTCGCGAAATATCGATGCGTGCCTCGCGTACCGAAATCCCGCGTCTCCCGCAGAAAACGAGTCCGCGGAGATCCTTATGGTTAACGGGGTTAACTTTATGCGAGGGAGAAAAAAAAGTCAATCGCGCGCTCTCCGTAAATCAGTTTGGCACGGTCTTTCTCTCTCGAGGGAGAATTGAAAGCATGCGCAACTCGAAAGAGCCAGACGAAGAGAGAGAGAGAGAGAGAGGGAGGGAGGGAGGGAGAGAGAGAGGGGGGCTGCTCTGCCTCTCCGTAATGGATAGTGCCATAATGAAGTACGTTGCGCGGCGGACTCTCATTAATTAACGTTAAAAGGGAAACTTTTGTAATTGCGCTCCTAAGACGAAGCGATGCGCAGTCTGACCTGCTCGTCGCGCTGACGCGTCGTTACATCGGCGTCAGAGAAGAGCAGGCGCGTCTTGCGAAATGACGCCCTCCTCCTCCTCCTCTCTCTGCCCCCTCGCTGATTAAGAGTGCTCCGAATTTATTGTGTTAGAGGTCCCCCCCTTCGAGAGTCGGAGACGACGCGCCCCGCCCCGCCCCGCACCGAACCGACGCGGACGCGACGCTCCAATTTCCGACGTTGTTTCAATTAACGCGAGACTGCGAAACTTTCATCCCCGGCGCGGACAACGCGACTCCTCCTCGGGATCAAGGCGCACGAGAGAACTCGATTGCACGCCCCGGTGCCGTCCGGAGTCGCGCGAGATGCTCGGCGCTGATTATCGCCGAATAACGAAGGCGAGTTATATCGGTGGCGTGAAATCATCGGGCGTGCAGCATGTTTGCCCGCTCGCTCGCTCGCTCGCTCGCCGCGAGATACAATCGCGGCGGCCACAACGAACGCGCTGTCCCGCTCTCGTGCGCGTTAGCGAACTCGATCGATCTCGGTGGCTCTTGATAAATCCTTCGAATTTCCTCCCCTCCCTGCCCTCCCTTCGTCGTTCGTCTGTTCGTCGCGACGCGACTTCGGGGCCTCTCCTGCAAGGACGCGTCGCGGTCGCCGCGACCTCAGCGCTGCGCGCGCTCGCGCGTTTGTCACCGGCCGGGCCTTTCCTTTCGAGACGATGACAATACGCGGGTTCTCTCAAGTACGAAGTGCGTCCTAATTGCGCGCACACGCGCCATAAGCGGCCGCACGAATTTCGCGTCGGGGTCGCCCGGTGTGTGTGCATTTGCAGCCTATGACGTCAGGAGCCGTTTCGTTCTGCGTCTGTCGGCTCGCGCCGCGCTCGCGCCCAGTTCCCCGCCGGGAATTCTTAATGCGGCGATAAATATCGCGGATTAAGTCCTCGCGCGCGCGCGAGCTCCGGAGCGCGCACCGGAGCTTGCGCACTTGTGCGCAAGCACAACTAGATCACGTCGCGGGCATCGCGACCGTGACACTAAAACGCACGCGTTGCGCACGCAGGGGTTCTCTCTCTCTCTCTCTCTCTCTCTCTCTCTCTCTCTCTCTCTCGTCGTCTCGTTAATCTCCCGATCTCGGCGATCCTGATCGCCGATTCCCTCCGCGACGCGTTAAGATCGCATCTGCTTCGCATCCGCTTCTTCTGCTTTGAGCCGCCGTCGTCCGTTTATTTCCAGGGCTTCGGAGAAGTCGCCGGCTTGGATAGAGTTTCCGCGACGCGAGGATTTCGACGTCGAGCGGAAAAGCGAGCGGCGAATGTCCGCTTGAACGCTTCAACGCCTACTGGTAACTATAGTTACGAGAAACGCATTTAAGAATCCATAACTTAGTGAAAAGAGGAGATATTTTCGTTTTCTCTGCTTGCCGCTGTAAAGGTGAATTCTTCTTCTAAAGAATGGTATATATAGATTGTATGTAGATTCGGTTTAGTTTGTTTTTAGCTCGGTTTTAATGATAACATGTTTTGTCAAATTCCAAGTAGGCGTAGTTACTGCATTGTTACCGACATCTAGAAGTGCGCTATAAATAAATAGATTGGTATTGTTATAATTTTATACATTTGGAAGCTTTCTCAAAATGGCGAATCCAATATGGTGGACACGAAAATCAAGAAATCAAGCTATCTTCGTGAAATCTGGTGACCTGCAGTTTTTTATGCGGCGAAAAATGAAGAGACGATTGTCTGTCTAAATGGTGATTTGTAAGATATTCTTCTTGAAATAGTAAGCTTGACGCTCTGAATGGTAAACTTCACTCACTCGAATATAATAAAGTTTCAGCTCAAAAATGTCAAGCTAACTATCAGAGTCATGTCGTACAGATCACCCTTCATTTGTCTCTGTATAGGTTGCTCATTTCGTATATCCTTTCAGGATTCAAGTAATATTTATCAGTAAACAAAAAACGAACGATAAAAAAACCAAACTAACGAAACCAACAAACGAAAAGCGGGAACTTCATGTACTCATTTATGATATTCCATTCCGGTGTAAATGAAGATCAAGTTCTGAATATGAGTTTTAAGTTTCGAGGAATTTTTCCGACCATTAGGTGCGATATAAAACTGTTAAAACTAAAGAAAGAAAAATTTAACCGATCAGCCGTACCTTCTGCATCTGGGTTAGTAGTTTCTGCTTGGAGAGGTAGTTTCTCGTAGATATAAAATTCTGATATTTTTTCCGATTATCGCTACTTCTAGTCTTGCTTCAAAAAAGCTCAAATTTTATTCTTAAAACACTTGTTAAAATAAAAAAGTCGGGCGTTAAAAGGTTGACAAGCGACGGTGAGCGGATGCGCGATGCCTCGCGCTCGCCGCTTACAAAGGGTGGAAGCGCCTGCGAGCTCGAGCGCGATTAGAATCTTCGTACTAATCCCGGCGCAAATTGAATCGCAGCCGCCGGGCGCGTCGTGACAGCCGCCGATACAGAGAAATGCAATTTCGGATGGCATGCGCGCATAAGGCGTGACCACGCGACACGGAAAATTGACGCGATTATCGATAACCGCGCGCGCGCGCGCGCGATACATCGCCGTGCATCCGCCGCAGGCATGCACCGAATAGAACGCGCCCGTGGTCCCTTGTGCCTAAACCGCCTTTAGGGACAGTACGTGGTCGATACGCCGCTTTGTGATGGTGCGCGCACGCGGAGCAACGCTGCGCTATCCGCTAATTAATATTTGCAATGCACGTGAAAAAGTGAATATTGCAAATATCGATCGCAGTCGGGATCTCGACCTTCGAGCGGCGCGCTCCGCTGGCGATCGCGACACATTGCGGCGCCGGCGACGTGACAATACCGCCGCCATCGATGCCGATCTTGCCGTGAAATACGAAAAGCGGACCGCGGCGAGTGTGTCCGGGAAAGACTCCGCTGATGTTGGCGGGATAATAAGCACAGCAGAAAATGCATACTGACTCTCTCCTCCTCCTAGAGAGAGAACTCTTTCTTCTCTCTCGCGTGCGTTGAATATCGGCCAGTTTCTTAATAAATCGGCCGAAACGCCGATACGCGCCGATGAAATACCGGTATCACGGGACCCGAAACCGGTATTGTTACCGTTGAACGCAGCACCGACTGACCCGAGAGCGGCGAATAGAAGTGTCGTTGCGATCGTGAGCAGAATCGAGGAGGAATCGCGCAGTGTCTCTCCCTCCCTCTCTCTCTCTCTCTCTCTCTCTCTTTCTCTCTCTCACCGAGGATAAACGATAATACGAAGGTAACGGCGAGCTCGCGTTACCTAGTTGCCCGTGTTAGTATTAAAATATCGCTCTATCCGCATATTACTATTAATATATCATCAACGTCATTATCGATCGGGACTCGTCGGAAGACGCGAGCGCACGGAATGCCCTCGTTCGAAACTTCCCTCGCGAGATGCGCATCTCGGGGGTAACAACGGGCGCTCGCTCGAGCATGCACTCGAGCCTGTGCGCGACCTCGATATGCCAAATGCGGTTACCACGGGCGGTATTGATGAAACAACGGGCAGATTTGTCTATTTGCATTAATGTTGTTGCAAATGTTGCCGCTGCGCCGACGGTCCGCGGTCTCTCGCGTAACAGGCGTGTTATTATTACTGCGCGCGCGCACACACGAGGAAGCGTGCACGCGATGGGATAGTTAGTTTTTCTCACTCTCCTCCCTCTCTCTCTCTCTCTCTCTCTCTCTCTCTCTCTCTTTTATTCTCTTTCGAAACGATCGAATCGGAACGACAAATATTCCCGCGCGTTTGTAGAAACGTGCCAATTAATCGCGCGATCGATACCTTCTTCGTGAAAGACGCGCGCGCGCGCGCGTGGATCTTGCGGTGATCGAAGCAGTTGAAGAGCTGCTTTGTGAGAAAATTTCATAACGTCCTGAGCCCCGGAGAGCGGGCAAACATTTCCGCACCTCGGCGATCACGCGTTACGGTATCATCGGTGCTTTCGGTTTCTCGGAGCAGCGAGAACCCGCCGTCAGCGTGAGAAATCAGCGCGCGAGACCGCGCGACGTGCGTTAATCCTGCGTGCGCCTTGAATGCGTTTCTCCTTTCTTTTCTGCCCTTCTTTCTGAAAAAAAAAAAAAAAAAATTCCTCCTACTCCCGCCAAGATTAGATTTGCCGGCGCATTCGATATCGATTATGTATCGCACAACCGCTTACCCGGCCGACCTAACCGAGAAAACACATTCGCACGGAGCGAGAGAGCGAACGGGGGGGGGGGGGGCTTGGGAAATTATCGAAACGTAAAGAAGTTGTGAGAGTGAGAACTCATTCCGATTTTCGATATGGTCGCGTGCTCTCATACAGCCCTATGCAAACCGCAGCACGTGAGAAAGAATCGTTCGGCTGGCTTTTCTCACGGGAAAAGGAGGGTTTGAAAATCGCGCGCGGCTGATTCTATTCGCGTGTAACTCATAGAGATCCTGTGTTTGTCGCCGGGACAAAGGGGAAAATTGCATGGATATAAGATAAGGAATTTCTTGTGCGCTTTTCAGCCGCTGGCGCCTCGACTCCGCTTATTTTCCACACGGTGCACTCTCATGCATCTACAATGGCGCGATCAGTGTGAGAGAAATGTGGTCAAGCTATACGAGATAATGGAGAAAAAGAACGGTACCGTGATGGGAAAGAGGAAAATGGAGAAAGAGAGAGAGAGAGAGAGAGAGAGGGAGAGATAATATATGTTCGTCGACGATTAAATATCGCGCACGCGTTTTACAAAAGTAGATTGTTTCACGTTCAAACGAATGCTACACGCAAGTCCGCGCTCGCTCATACCGTTAGCCGGCAATAAAGAGGAACAAGAGGGAAAACGAGAATCTTGCGCGTCACTCACCTGCGATCGTGCGTCGCTTGATCACTCCGTGCACTTCAGGTATCGATCTCCGCCCGGGATGCGAGGAACAGCAGCGATTTTCGGCTTTCTCTTCGGCGGGTGTCAGCAATTCGGCATCCCGCGAGTCGGCGGGTCCCGCGCAAGTTTCGCGATTAACGCGGCGAAAGTGCAAATTGTTGCATGTTCGATCGTCGCGACGGCGCCGCGGCGCGGCGCGGCGCGATCGACGGCGACGGCGACGGCGACGGCGACTAGCGCGTCACAGACGCATCGCGACGTCTGACGTTCCCGCGTCTGTCGGCGTCGCGGTGCCGTCATGACGACGCGTATGACAAAGCTCGCGTATGCGCCCTGCAAGTGTGGCAAAACGCGTGCGCGACTGAAAGTTCGGCCGAATCGTTCGCGGTACGCGAGTACACATGCGTCCCCGTGCTCTTCAACGCGCGCCATCGTCTCGTCGCTTTCGAGCGAATACTTGAGATTAGTGGGAATAACAATCAGCAGGGACCTTCGGGTTTTGAGGGACGCTCGGGAAGCGAGAGGTTGATGGAGAGATTTTCCGTTTATTTCGCCGTACGCTCGGAAACAAAGCGCTGCCCGAAGCAGCGCTCATTTAATGTTAGTCATTCTCTTCTTTCCCCATTGAAGATATATTTAGGATTACATTCGGCATTTCGGTTTGCTTTATAAACTCGCTGTCGAACTATCTCTGTGAAATTCGTCTCAATGCCCAAGGCATTTACTTATACAATTTTTAGAAAGCATGCGCACGCATTACAGAGCACCATTCAGAATAAAGTATGAGGAATGTTCGCGCATAGGGGAATTTTCAGGTTGAATAATTACGGTCGTCGTAAAAAAGTAATATTCTTGTTACTGTATATATGTAACTTCCACCGTTCTTATTAGCATCGGCTTCGTTGCGTAACGGAGATTACGAGTAATGTAACAACGAGGTGAGCGCCTCGAAACCGAGAATGCCGAACCCGACGAAGAAAGATATAGCTCTTAGGGGCTGTTGCGGCATAACCGCGTACGACAAAGTGTGGACTATTCGGGAGAGCACGAAGGTACGTATCAGCACCTTCGCCAGCACTATCGAGGGCTCGGTGCACAACCAGATGTACGTGATGATGAACCACGGCACGATGTTCTCCAGGTCGTTCAAGTGCGCCCTTCGCACGCGCTCCACGTCCGGATCGTCATATACCACCTTCCCCTTCGGCACCGAGTTCTTCAGCATGGTAACATCGCCGGGATTGGCAAATACCTGCAATAAATATATATTTTATTTTCAAGGCTCAACAACAGCGTTGACAAGTTATTGCAATTAGCAGAAGAAAAAAGAAACTCATGGTCAATTACGCAACAGCAGGTTTGACAGGATTGTAAGGAAACGTTGACGTTACCGACTGCTGTGGTCAATTCATTCGTATATGATCAGCTTCTCAGGCGACTTATACGTCTTAAAGGCGTCAAGAAAACATTTTAAAATTCCTAACAGGTTCTAGAAGGTTGCTAGAAAGATACTTGCAACAAAACGTCGAACGCATCGAATGAATAAATATTCATCGTCTAATTATAAGCTTCTTTAAATTTTCCATACTTTTCATACACGAAGCGCGCAAAAAACCAAGAGATTTTTATAAATCTATCCAAATAGAATAGTAAAATTGTGCTGATGTCAAAGTAAAAATAAAATGACCGAGTCATGATGAAAAAGTTTTCTTCAACATCTGAACTGTCATCATGACTTTTTGTTTCGTCTAAACAGATATATGTGCATATATCGTAGTCAATCACCTAACCTTAATGAAAGCGAAAATATCTTATTAAAACATCTGATATAAAACCATATATAAAATCATTTTATATAAACTAAAGTATAAAGTAACAAAGTATATTACTTCGAACGCTTCAAAGACGCCTATTTTAAAACGTCTTGTCGGAATTATGACGCACAAAATTTAACGATTTTGCACCCGAATGCGTAATAAAAATCTGCATGCATAGCGGCGTAGAATGCCTTACATGTCTATAAGATTGCGTGTCCAAAGTTAGGTAATTAATTAAAAATAATTACTCGCTATGGAAATTTTAGAGAACAATCTGAATTCTTATAGAACAGCTGAATTTGTAAGATTCGGCAAAATGCTTCCAGCTGCGGAAACATCACATTTATCATAAAAATACCGTTCCGTAGTATTCTGTCGTGTTATTTCGTTGTGTGTGAACCACATGTGAATTATAAGGCATGAGTTGCACAATACCGCTTGCAAGATAATAGTGTATACATTTAAACAGTCACGCGATCTCCCGTAAGAGGCCGTTGAGTCTCGAAAATTGGTCGATACTCCGGACATTCAATGGAGTAGGCAATCATGGTTCACGATTCTTCATGGTCTCATTCGACCTTCGTCATTAATGCAATTCATTAATGGTTTTAGCAGCAATTGATCTTGCTTTCCCGTCAGATATTAATTACGAAGATTGTACAAGCTCCAAGTACAAGCCGATTTCACATCGCCACAAGTACTATCGCAACGTACATTCGATAAACGTATCTTCAATCTATTTTTCCGGCTCAAAAAGTTCGATTATCTCCTTATCTTTCGTCGCTCGATTAGAGGACCTCTCGAGCGCGAGAATTATAATATATTACGTAAGCTAGAAGTCAGAGACGTAAGCAGGAAAGACCGATATTCGGATATCTCACTGTGGAGTATACCGTTCCGATACATATCAAACTTGTTACGCACCTGTTTTCGAAAACGCTGACGTGCCGTTAATGGTATCATCGCCAACATCTTCAGGACTAGTATACTGCCCCAAAAGCCGAACACCTTGAGGATCTCCGGATTGATATTCGCCATCGTCGTCGATTTCTCTCCTTTCGGATACTTCACTAGCAGAGAAATAATAACGGTGACCACGTATGCGTCGTATCACGCGTTAGAGCAAAGAGTAGCAGAAGAGTCGATGGTCACACTCGCGCGTTTCGCATATATCTGTGCGAAGGAACGCTTTGCCGGCCCGATATATATGCTCTCGCCTACGAACGATAACACGTATGCTACACTTGTACGATTATGCAATGAAAATATCCCGGCGATTTTACATAGAGATAATTATGATTCGGCGAGATACATCGTGAAAAATAAGGAGGAAGGAAGTCTCGTCATGATTTATTTGTCGATAAGTATTAATCTGATATCACGACTTAATTTATATCAACGTGAGCACATGAATAAGATACAAATGATTATTTTTGCAAAATGATTTGCGCCAAAATAAAAATAATCATCTGTTATATATATTGTCTCTCAATTGAAAAAAGCGGTATTTTCTTTCTTATGACATTAACATACAAATCACGCGCGTTTGCACTTTAACCCTTTAACGCCCGACTTTTTTATAAGTGTTTTAAGAATAAAACTTGAGATTTTTTTTAACTGAGACTAGAAGTAGTGATAACCAAAAAAAATATCAGAATTTTATATTGGATTTTTTTATCGTTCGTTTTTTGTTTATAGGTATTATATAACTTGGATTCTAAAAGCATATACGAAATGAGCAACCTATACGGAGAAGAGTGAAGGGTAATCTATATGACATAACTCTGATAGTCAGCTTGACATTTTTTAGCTGAAACTTTACTATATTTGTGAGTGAAGTTTATCATTCAAAGCGTCAAGCTTACTATTTCAGAAGAATATCTTACAGATCGCCATTTAGATAGTCAATCGTCCCTTCATTTTTCGCCGCATAAAAAACCGTAGGTCACCAGGTTTCACGAAAATAGCTTGATTTCTTGATTTTCGGGTCCACCATATTGGATTCGCTATTTTGAATTTCCGTATTCTTCTAATGTCACATTTTGCATCTGAGAAAGCTTCCAAATGTATAAAATTATAACAGATACCAATCTATTTATTTATAGTGCACTTCTAGATGTCAGTAACTAACTATGCCTACTTGGAATTTGACAAAACATGTTATCATTAAAACTGAATTAAAAACAGACTAAACCGAATCTACATACAATCTAAATACCATTTTTTAGAGGAAGAATTCACCTTTACAGTGGTGCAAAGAAAACGAAAATATCTCCTTTTTTGATCAAGTTATGGATTTTTAAATGCGTTTTTAGTAACTATAGTTACCCGTAGGCGTTAAAGGGTTAAGATAATGAATGTCAAAGATGTTAACACGATGTTTCGTATGTATTTTAATCAACTGATTCTTAATTACACATTAATATAAATTATATATCATAAAATTGCAGATAATTTAATGTACATTATATATGTAAGTATACTTGACCCCAGAGTTCATGTTATTTGAAATGAAAGATCTGTTATTTGAAATGAAAAAAGAAATTAATTGCTCTTTCAAGTTCTGAAACAGAATTTTAACAACCAATATTTTAAGTCAGAGCAAAATTTAAAGTAAAGCGGGTCTTTTTTATGAGCGACAATTTCTTTTGCAGAACGCAGTGATCATTCTCCCGCAAAATTTCCTTCACAAAGACTCAGTTCTCCAAATTAGGAGTCTCACAAGTAAAGTACTTTTTTTTCTCTATTTTCCTTTTTCTCAAATTTGACGCGTCTCACAAATGTTCCTTCATAATTTTTTACAAATATCCGTTTGCTTTGCTCACGTTATTTCAGCAAACTGTGATGTAATTTTTATTACAACAGCGAGAGTTAACGCTTGACCTCCGGGGTATCATTGTTAGATAGTCATGTAGATTTGTAAAACGAACGTAACGATCCGCAATGATAGGCAACGATAGTCGACTTAACGAGTGTCACACGTGCCGCCGAGTAGCCGGCGCGAACGGTTGGATGTCCGTTCGCCAATCAGCGGTCGGAACACCAGACGCCCGTTGAAAACGCGCTGCTACGAACACGCGAGGTGAACGCACGGATATTACCGAAGAAGGTTCTCGAAGCGGCCGCGTGCAAAGCGGAAAACGTTCTGCTACGCTCGACGGTGTAGAGTCTCGAGCGATGATTCTGCCGATTCGCCATCTTAAGTCGATTCCAGCTGTTCTCAATCGAGCAAAAGTAACGCTGATCATTCCCCCCGTACAAGCGTGCGATCATGTGCCAACGGCTGCGGCATTAACAGGCTGAGAACGAAAATAACGAAAATATCCGCGAGTAAACGTTCCAACTGCGCTCGGGTGAATCGCAACGACGCGTTACAGCACGTGTCGCATCGTACTCAAGCTGTACATTGTAATAATTTTAATAATCCATTACTAACAGTCGTTTGACAATTAGCCAAGACTTTGATCTGACAGCATCGTGCTCTCTCTCTCTCTCTCTCTCTCCTCTCTTTGCGCAGCCTCCCCGTTACTTTCGCCGTCATTTAAAAACCCGTGTCTCTTCAGCTGCGGCGTCTCTATCCGTGGGCAAAGAGCCAACTGCTCGCACGAGCGGACTGCGCATGCGCGACGATCAGATCGCTGACGCAGAGAGTACGTCAGCTGTTTTGTTAAGGTTCTCGGCAGAGGTGCGTGCGTGTACCCGTCCGTCGTCATCGGGAATGGTGTTGCATTGTTGACTCGGAGAAGCATTTCTCTCTTGTAACTGTCGTTGTAGCAATCTCACGTTCCTTTGTTCATCGGGCGCACGACCAGAGAGAAGAGAGAGACCGAGAGCGAGAGCGAGAGCGTGAGGCAAAGCGAGAAAGTGAGACAGAGAAGAGAGTAAGGGGCGAGAGAGAGAGAGAGAGAGAGAGAGAGAGAGAAAAAGAGAGCGAGAGAGAGGGAGACAGAGAGCGAGAACGAGCGAGAGAAAGAGAGAGAGAGAGAAAGAGATAGAGAGAGAGAAAAAGAGAGAGAGAGAACGCGGTGGCCTGGCGCATCGCTCACGGGCGGTCTCACGCGCGATACCAAAGTCGCAATCGTTCGTCGCGTCGCAAATCCGCGACTCGCGCCGCTCGCCTCGCGCATTTCTCCGCCGAACCTTGCCTGTGAGCCTCGTCCGCGTCTCGCAAGTCGCAGCATCGTCGGTCGTGTCGTGGTGATTCCGTGAGAAAAAGGACGCGCGCGCGCGCTCCGGCATATCGTCGCCGTCGTCGCCGTTGTGTTCGGCCGTTCGTTACACGGCGGCGGCCACACTCGACCGAAGAACGAACGAGTGACTCTCTTCGCTCGTTCGCTCGGGACTCGCCGGGCGTTCTGTGTAGTGCGATCGCGCGAGCCGACGACAAGAGAGAAGAGAAGAGAGAGCCGAGGCGGTCAGGATTATGGCACAGCCGACGAGCAGCGCGTTACGGGCGCTAGCCCTCGAGTACAAGAGCCTGCAGGAGGAGCCCGTCGAGGGCTTCCGCGTCAAGCTCGTCAACGAGGACAACATGTTCGAGTGGGAAGTCGCGATCTTCGGCCCGCCCGACACGCTCTACCAGGGCGGTTATTTCAAGGTACGCTGACTCTCTCCCTCGCGCCGCACTGCACCGCGCCGCGTATAACGTATGCTTGGCGCGCGAGACTCTCGCCGGATCGAGCGACGAGTATGTCCACGTTATCGATGCTTATATTATTGCGCGAGACCATCGTCGTCGTCGTCATCATCATCACGGTATCGTCCGCGGTTTCTTGGTTATGTCCGGACGCGGTGCTGCGCGACACGACGCGACGCGACGCGACGCAACGTGACGCGTCGCGTAGCGTCATGCCGTGTCGTGTCGCGTCACCTTGCCCTGCGCTCGATCCGTTCCTTTCCCTCGGCGAACGGAATAAAAGAGTTAATCATTTCCGGTGCGCGCGAACGAGACGCGGGCGGGAGCAGTTGATCGTCCTGCCTGCTATGTGTGTGCACCTTGGCGAGCGATTCTATCTTTCTCTCTCTCTCTCCCCCCTCTTTCTCTCTCTCTCTCTCTCTCTCTCTCTCTCTCTCTCTCTCCCCCTGCTGATGGCGGAAAGCGTAAACAAAGAGATCCGCGGCGAGTTCGGGGCGAACGCGTGTGCCCCTTTGCGGAGAGCCGCGCGATCATTTCGCACGGCTGCGATTTCTATTTATGCTAACGCGAATAACGTGTATCTCAACCTCGCGCATAATGCAACGGACCGGTCGATGTTATTGACGAGCGTTTCTTTTTGCCGCCGAGAACGTACGACTTACGAAGTCGGCGAGCGATGTTATTGCGCTAGTGCGATGCGGAATATTATCACTGCGTGATATCACGGACATATTTTCGATATGTTTCTTCGGTTCTCGGCTCTCTGCGCATATCTCGCAGCTCTCTCTCCCTCTCCTTCTCTCTCTCTCTCTCTCTCTCTGTCCTATTTAATATATAATATCGAGGACGAGACGGAAGAACGACGAATTAATCTATTTTCCGCACGATTGAGTCGCGTCCAAGTTCTCTCCTCGGCGAGCGAATTAAGCGCAATTAAACGCCAAGTTCAAACGATGTCTATCTCTCTTCTCTCTCTCTTTCTTTCTTTCTCTTTCTCCCTCCATGTCTCGGTGGTACATTGTAGTAAAAAATGATACGTTTACATACTCGGAGCACGGCGCGGCGGCTTTGTGTGTGTGTGTGTCTCTGTTCGTACCGTTGAAAGTGGAATCCGTTAGCGTTCTGTTTACCGGAGACCGCCGGGACTTAAAACGCATTTCAGAGCGAATTTGCATCATAACGTAACATCGTGTTTAACATTTAACTAATAGGACAACGTTCATTATTGACACCCCGGCCCGACCAAGCCGATAACGAAATGTCTGAAATAGCCGCCTCTATCGACCGTCTAATGTCGCCGAACACGCGCGCTCGCACGTGCGTACCGTTGCGGAATTTCGAGTTCACCGCATATGGCCGGAGCGCCTTGTCTCTTGTATCCTTGAGCCAATGTTTATCTCGGAAATTTGAGAGTTTCTCTGCCAGGCGAATTGTGACGATCATCGCACGCGAGAGACATTGCGACTACCTTGACCGAACGAGCGACAATGGTCGCGCTTCGCAATGTTGCTTCGCACTTCGCCTCTCTCGCTCGCTGGTACATTAATATCCGGAATCTCGCGAAATTAGATAAACGCGACGACGACGGCGCGATCGCGTTCACTGCAAACATCGCGTTCGCGCAGACCGAAAAAGCCACAAACTTCATGGTGTGCATGCAGACGACACAGACGCGAACAATCCGCCGGAACCGCGGCGGGCAGACTTGCCGCGCAAGTTTTCGCCTTCCTGACGTTAGCGCGCGATACAATACGATAAGGGCAGGACCGGTAATCTTAACGACTGTGGCCGAGTTGCTGAAGTGGCAGGCTGCAAAATGAGTGTCGTCATTGCCGGCGCGCGGCTGTGTGAACTTTTTTTGCATATCCCGCGCGCCGTGTCGCGTCGGCCCGGCAGCCGCGGTCGTCATCGCGCGCGCGGCCTGGCCGCTTTCTAAACCACTCTCTGCCTCATCGTGAACGACGAGTGAACGCGCCTATTCACGTAACGCGATGTGTCTTCCCACAACGTAACCGACGGTAACGAGCGCCGCGTGCAGCGCGTAGTTTCTCGCGTAGAGAGAGACCGTATCACAGCGTACGCGTACGTGTGTACGGTACCCGCCGATGTAAATCCGTCCGCGTGGCTATTTCGAAAGACCCGCCGCCGTGGATTAATCTATTATCCACTTTACCGTAATCACGTTAGCCCTTAACCGGCGAACGCTCTCGCGCCGAGATCGGCTCTCAGGTAGATGCTCTCGCTCTCTCTCTCTCTCTCTCGCTCTCTCTCTCTCTCTCTCTCTCTCTCTCTCTCTCTCTCTCTCTCGCTGCTCGTGCTTTTGCAGATGAGTAACTCTCTCGCCGCCCGCGTCCGTGTTGTCTCTCCGATCGGCCGCGCGATTTATGGAGCAGAAGAGAGACCGCCGAGAGAGAGAGAGAGAGAGAGAGAGAGAGAGAGAGAGAGAGAGAGAGAGAGAGAGAGAGAGAGAGAGAGAGAGAGAGAGTCTCGGGTCTCTCGCGAGCCGTTGGATATAAATGACCCCGAGCTTCGGAATCGCGGCGCTTTCAGTCGCAGCGCGAGAAGGAGATAACCGAGGCGGCTTCGTTTGCGACTCGAGGTGAATCCAGACTTCATCGCTTTGTCGGTTTATTTAGTCGGCCGTAATCGCATAAGCGGCGCAAGCGAGTCTCGTCGAGAGAGAGAGAGAGAGAGAGAGAGAGAGAGAGAGACGGACCGAGATTTCCGCCGGCGATCGCCGTCGCGAGTCGCCGTCGACTCGAAGACTTCGGTGATATTCATGCGGCCGCACGAAACGAATCGCGCATATGTATGATATACGATCAGGTTACCTCCGTCTCGCCCTCCGTTCATTTTCGACGTTCGTCACGTGCTACAAGCGAAATGGAATATTTCGGGCAGAAACTACTTTCGATCTGTAACCGAGTGCCGCGTCGCTCGAAGCGACCGTGCGACGTTGGCATTCGTGACCGAAGAGGCACGTATGATGACGCGCGGATGACAACAGATATTGGGCGAGAGGGGGAGGGACGATTCTATATACGCGATGAAAATATTATGTACCGCGTATAGGGGCGTTTGATTCGATACGTTGCGAAAGGAACGGAAAGAAGAGCGACACACATCGACGAGCCCGAGAACCGGCGCGCATTTCTCTCATTCTCGGCCCTGAGATCACAGCCCTGAAGCGCGAATGGGGTGTTCTTTATTCGCCGCGTCGTCGCGCGGTCATCTGATTTTGACGTTTCGATAGCCGACGTCTCACGGCACTGCAATTGTTTGCAATTTGTTCGCGCGCGCGCGCGCAGCAGAGACGTGAGAGAGCTCGTGCGCGTCGATCGTAATCGGCGGTTTCATCAAGCCCTTACGGGCGTCGCGTTCCACGAGAAGGCCGCGAGGGGAGGAAGGCCCCCCTCGTGGTCAGAATTTATGCGCGGCGTGGTAAAAGCGGAGGCACAGCTTGGCGGCTGCCAAGTTACATAAAATACCATCGAGCGTTGTCTCGATTCTATTCCTGGGCGAGCGAGCGAGCCCTATGCCGATCGACACGGCCAACTTTCACCGAATCTCCTCGTCCCGTTCGGAAATGAACGAGCCGATACGGAGGAGAAGCCGATCTCTCTCCTCGTGGATATCTTGATGAGCCAAGCAAGCGTCTCGACGCGCCGCGGCCCGCTTCGTCGTCCTGCCAGGACTCCTCGTCGTTTCATTTTCCGCGGACGAAACTCGCCGGCGCCCGCTTCTCCATCAGACTTTATCCTTTCACCTCGTGCAGAGAGAGAGAGAGAGAGAGAGAGAGAGAGAGAGAGAGAGAGAGAGAGAGAGAGAGGTGGAGAACAAGATGGACATCTCGGCTCTCGCGAGCGCAGGACTTTCCGCAGGAGCAGCCGTGAGAATCGATAGTCGATACACAATGTGCGGCAAGGAGAGCCCGGTCGATTCTCGCGGCGGTCCTTTTCCTGTTCCTTTTCCCGGCAGGAAGTGCCGTGTCTTGCGCGGCCCTGGAAGCGGTCGAAAATGATCGTCGACGTTTCCTCCGCGGTAGAAGCGCCAACGACAGAGCTCATCGTCACTGAACAATACGATCGCGAAGGGGACACGGTGGAGATGTTCGGGCAAATTCGCCGGCGCAAGGATCAATATTGAATTTCATCGGCGCGCGGCGGGACGACACAGCCGCGCGACAGGCAGGTCGCGGAGAATCCGTGCTGCCGATACACCGCGGAAAATCCGACGAGCGAGCGGCCCGACAAATTGGAATCTGAAACGAAAGATTGACTCGGCGATTTATTTTCACACATCTGGGCGCGTTTCATCGGGCCTCTCGGTTAGCCGCGAAGCGTTTACCGTTACATCCGGTCGTTACATTTCCTCGAGCGTGTGTCTCGCAGCTTCGCGTTCTCGGGTTTAAAAGGCCGTGGACCTCCTCTCTTCCCCCCGGCCCCCGCGCGGCGATTCAAGTGACGGATAAATCACAGAGGCCAGGCGGCACTCGCAAAGACGACGTCGTCCGGTCGAGTCGATCTCCCGCGGAAAAGCTGACTTGATTTCGCAGTCTCGCTCGTTCGTTCCACGACACGGCGGCTTGCGGGCGATGATGAAGCGGCGCTTATTGCCGAAGTGGGTCGCGAATATTTCTAGGTTGCGCGCGCGGTGTAGCCGCTGCGACGGAAGACGACAGACGACGGGGTGATCGTTCCGGAGCATTTCGCGAAAATCCTCGTGAATCTTGCTTAGCCTCGACAGCAAAAGCGACCTTCGGCGGGCGCGCGCGCGCGCATCTTGACACGCGAAAACTCCAGAGAATTCCGGCGTAAAAACAGAAAGCCCGTATTATGGACAGTTCTCGGAATATTAGCCGGGAATGCCATGCGAGATCACGCGCTGATAAGCGCGATCGATACTGCGCTATCACACCGGGAAGCTCGGTTTCGCATGTTTCTACCGGCAAACGGCAGATGAAACATCGATATTTGACTTTACTCGGATATTTCATTCAGCCCGTTCATCGTCGCAACGAGCGTTATGAAACGCGCAAGGAACAGCGTGGGCACTTCGATGACACATCGAATGTTGTAATTCTTCGCGGGAAGAGACCCCGACGAGGGCGTCGGAAGCATTACCTATAATTACATATAATTTTTCATTATATATAAGTTTGATTGATCTTCATTATATTAGCCATCTCAATTTTATGTATACCAAAGGGTGTTCACCCGTACAGCGTCAAATAAATAAATAAATAAATAAATAAATAAATTACCGGTCGTCGCGTTGCCGAGTCACGTTAGATACGTTATTTTCAATAACGCGTCAATTGCGACGCCGTGGCGGGCGTTTCGGTTGGATTAAAAATGCGAGGAAAAACGAGCGACCGCGGGGAAGTGCCTCGAAACGATGCGCGCGACGCGATTTCGAGTAGATTTTTCGCGACGCCGTGCGCGAGAGCGTGTAGCCGCCGGTGGAAAGTAGGTTAATTCTAGAACGCGGTTATCCCGGAGGACGAGGTGGATATTTGGGCCATGACCAGGTCGCGATCAATATAGCGTCCCGACGGCGAAGCTTCGCCGAAGCCCGGCATCGAACACAGCCAGACGTCCCTTTCGCGCCGGAATGGAAATCGATATCGTCGCGCAATCCTCCGGTGGACGGCGTGCACCGCGATCGAAACGTCGAATTTCACGTCGACGTCGACTCTCTCCCGCCCCTGCGCGCGCGCGCGCGCGCTCCGGATTTTACATGTTGTCGGTCGTGTTATCTTGGCTACGTTCTAGACGGCCATGTTGTTCCACTTTCGCAGCATCGTGGAACACCGATGTCTTCATTCATGCCTTGTACAGGGTGTCCCACTTCTAGCGTATCGACTCGGCGGATATATATAAATTTTTTCATCATTTTGCATTCACGAGTTCTCCTCGCGGCGAAGGGACAGGAGAAGGCGCAGCGCCGAGCCGAGCCGGGGAGAGAGAGAGAGAGAGAGAGAGAGCCTATCGTTTAACGATCCAACGACAAGTTAATAATTTCCAATATCGCGTATCTTCGCGTGTGAACGGACGGCACATCCTGCGCACGTGTTTGTGTGTTAAGCGCGCGTCGTTTGAGAAAAGTCCGCTCGGGAGGCTCGCCGAGGGCTCCCCTCGTAGATATCGGCCGGACTTGGCTGTCAAAGTCGAGATATTTTCGGCGAGTTTCAGATGTCAACATCGTTGTTAGGCACACGCGAGCGAGTTCCCACGTTTAATCGTGACAACGGAACCGCGGCGACTGACGTGACTCCTGTACACGTGCATATTTTTTCTCCTCCGCGCGCGCTCCTTGCGCCGAACGTTGAACTCGCCGAAATTATAACGGTTTCAATTCTCGCTTCTTCGTCGCGTCGCCTCGCCTCGCCTCGTCTTGCTTTGCCTCGCGTTGCGTTGCGTTATGCAAAGACGTGTAGAACACGTTCTCGTGTTCGCTCTCTCTTCCTCTCCCTCCCCCCCTCTCTCTCACTCGCTCTCTCTCTCTCTCTCTCTCTCTCTCTCTCTCTCTCTCTCGCTCTCGCTCTAGCGTACATAGACAGACTCTACGCGTAGGCGTCGAATCTCCCGACGAGTCGGCGAGCCGCGTACTTTGAGAATGCACGCTGACGAGTTTGCTTTACTCTGTTACAGGCACACATGAAGTTCCCGCCGGATTATCCGTACAGTCCACCAAGCATTCGTTTCATGACAAAAGTTTGGCACCCGAATGTATATGAGGTGAGTGAATACAGGAATTATCGATCCCCCGCATGCCCTTTCTCTCTCTCTCTCTCTCTCCCCCCCCCTCCCTACCCTCTGTCCTGCTTCCCCACGTTTCGACCCTTTACCGCGTGTGTGTATGTGCGTGTCCTACCCCGTCCCCCCTGCGTCCCTTCCCGTTCATTCGTCCCGCGTTCTCTCATCCCATTCTCTCCGCCACCTCCTCTCCCCCTGCGCCGTAAACGACTGTCCCACTCTGTTCGTCCAGCGCTCTCTTTATCTTCCACCCTCCGCCATAGCGCTTTTACAACCATCAGCTTTTACGTCGTCACTTTCAGCGCTTGTGAAACCCGGGTCGCTTCCCCAAAAAACCCCTCGTCGCTTCTATCGCGGAACGCAACGCGGTGCAGGTGGGTGGGGAAAGGTTAGAGCAGCGTGGGCGGCGGGGAGGGAGCGAGAGGGTTGTGGGTGGCGGCGGCGATGGCGATGGGGGGTGGGAGGAAAGAGAGAGAGAGAGAGAGAGAGAGAGAGAGAGAGAGAGAGAGAGAGAGAGAAAGAAGAAAAATAATGACAAGAGGAAAGCAGAAAACAGAGCCAAGTCGAAAAATTGCGCGCTCGCTGAGTTAGCCAGAGGCCGTAGAGCGCGCGCGGTCGCGCTCGCTTTTGCATTCATATTGACGTATCACACCGTCGCGTTCTTGCTCTACGTCCGGCCGGGGCGGTACTATATTTATCGCGGCATCTCGCGGCAAGCGCGCCTTCGACGTCGTAAAAGCGAGTTTGTCCGCGATTCCGCGATTCGCGCGTTCTTCTTCCGCAGCGCGCGCCGTTCCGCGCGACGCGACGCGACGCGACGCCAGGAACGACGGTCGGACGGACGACGGCTAGCCCGCGATCGACGCAGGGAGAGACCAACACGCGGACGGACAGAGATGGACAGAGCGGGTTGGCATGCCGCTGATAATCCGCGCGACGCTTTCCGCCGAGGGCTTCGATCGCCATCGATTAACGTCGTATGCTAATCCCTCGTAGAAACACACACGAGCAACCATGGTTAAACGCCGTCGTGTTGCTCGCGCGCGCTTCTAGAACCCCCCTCCTCCCCCCTGTCCCGGCTGCGCGACGACCGTTTCCTGTGTCCACCAGGTAGAAATACGATACACCGCGGTATTTAAACGTGTTCGCCCGCCGCTGCGCTCATTCGCGTGTACAGGCCGATGTCGTCGTCTGCGCCGACCGGCTCCTCTCCCTCTCCCTCTCCCTCTCCCTCCTGGGGCTTTACATTTGTACAAACGAAACATTAATTCCGAAATGATGGGCGCGCGTGGAAGCGTCGGGAAATTAGCGCTAGTCCAATTACGAAGGACCGCGCGCGAGCTAACTGCGTTGCTCGCCGATTAATCGGAAACCGCCGGGAAGCGCCGACCGGCGATAAAACGTAACGCATCTGCGGGGCCGAAAACGTAAACGAATCGCCAGCCGCGGTCGCCCTTCTTATATCGATATCGCGGCGATTAATCGCGAGTGTGTTCTGTCAAGTTGTTGCTCGTCGTCGATTAGGGACGTGTTTCCGCGCCGTTTCTTTGACTTTCCCCCCGTCCCCCTCCTCTCTTTTTCTATCCCGCCCTTATCGTTTTTATCCCTCCTTGCTAGCGCGCCGTATAGTGGCGTAAACTCGCGTTTGCACAAAGTATCGCATTCCCACACGCTTATCGACCTCGACCGCGCATCTCCTGCTCGCTCGCTCGTCGTATATGACCCTTCGGCGGCTAGCGAAGCGAAGTCAATGACCGTCGAAAGCTCGTGGACATCCGTGTCCACTCGCCCGTCGATAGGGATGAGGCGAGAGAGCGTGTTATGAGTAACGAGGCAAACGTGAGATTACTCTTTCTTTTTTTCGTTCCCTCTCTTGCTCCTCCTTTCTCCGCTTCTTTTTTCTCTCCCCTCCCTCTCTCTCTTTCTCTCTCTCCTTCTCTCTCTCTCTCTCTCCTTCTCTCTCTTTCTCTCTCGCTTTTTATTTTCATCGTATGTGTCGAAGAGAGAGAGAGAGAGAGAGGGAGGGAGGGAGAGAGAGAGAGAGAGACGTTAGAGCCTGCAGATACAGTTAGTTCCGCGCGCGCGAGACTAACCAGTTATAGACGACAGAAGTTATTTACGGGCGCGTTCTCTCCTGCTCTATGAAAGTGCGCTAGTTAAAATAAAAATTGCAGCATTGCGAGAATATTTTTGTCTCGCTTTCGTACATGCGACGCGATGGCGGCCGGTCAGCGTTTTCCTTTTCGAGTGACGCGAGGGACGCGGAAGTCGCTGCGATTTTCCAGGCTTTTCGCCGAGCCACCGCCGAATTCGAGTTCTACCTTCTCTTGACTCGCGCACGCGCGACTTCCGTTTCCATTAGTGTTTAATATTAATATAAATACGTTACACGGTGCACCGTTAATGGAAACACGAGCGCGATTGCAAAACCGCGGTCTCGCGCTCTCGCGCGTATTGCGAGTAAATCGGAGTAAATAACATTCGCCGGGGAGTCGAGCCGCGCGAATTCCGCGCGCTTCTGGAAACCATTCGACATACGAAACGATCGGATTCGGAGGTCGGCTCGTGGCTGCGCGCGAATTCACACCGGTGGTATCGCTCCTGCCCTTTCTATCGCTCGCTCGCTCAAACGGGTCGAAACGAGCTTGACCTTTTTGCCGAGCGGATTGATAAGCCGAGCGGCTTGCTTAATTCCTTACGTAAGTAAGCGAGCAATTATTATGCATTGCGGGCGTTAGTTCCTATTTCCGTCGCATGTTCGCCTCACACCGCCGCGCTTTAATTAGTTCTACGACGTACCCCCGGCAAAACATCACGCAGCCCTCGACCGGCCGTTCCTCGTGCCGGACCGATATTCGCAGTCGACTCACGAACGAGAACACGGCGAGAGGCGATCTCTCTTCGCCTCTCGCTCTCCCGCCGAATATTGGATAATTACTCTTCATTGCGGGAGAAAGTAAACGCGCCACGAGAGCGAGAGCTCTTATCTCCGCGCTCGCGGGGCATGCGATCAAAATCTCAATGACAATCCGCGGATTGCGCAAATTCTCCGAGGAGCAGCGCCCGCTCCGATATGTAGAGAATCTTTCGCAATCTGAAGCGAGCCATCGTAGAAAGGTTAGCCGATGTGTACATACATATATATATATATATGTGTGTGTGTGTGTATAATATATGTATGTATACACACACATACACACTAGCCGAAACGTGCAGCAGGCTTCGTTCTTCTCGCGCGGCTCAACTTTCCCCGCCGTGAAATTCATATTATTTATACGTTTATACACCATGTATCACACGCGCGAGGAAAGAGAGAGAGAGAGAGAGTGAGAGAGTGAGAGAGAGAGAGAGAGAGAGAGAGAGAGAGAGAGAGAGAGAGAGAGAGAGAGAGAGAGAGAGAGAGAAGAAACTCCTCGGTCTTCCAGGCGCGTGTACGCGCTAAGTGCAACCGGTGGAGCGTCACAATGAGCGGACGTCTCCGCGCTATCACTCCGGGAAGAGGATACCGTCACAATGGGAAAAAGCACGAGGGTAGGAAGCGAACCGTCGCATTGTTCGAGCCGAGCGAGTATACGTGCGCAGATCGCACATGCGGGTTAATTCCGTATTAACCTACCGAACTTACCGAACTATGCGAGCGCGTTGTATCGGGTGAGTGCGAAAGTTCTGATGGCTCTCCCGAAGACGTATCGACTCGGTTTCGTGGCGGCGCTTACGAATATGTCGATGCACGATGTGTGGACGAGAGACGACGAGGAACAATGGCGGAATTAGCCGCCGGGACGAACAAATCGTCCCACCCCCCCCCCCCCTCGTCAAATTTTAATACTTGGCCCGTTCCCCCATCCATCGAAAGTTTTGCACTCACCTTAGTAACTCCACCGATCGGCAAGCGCTCTTCCGTCCCGTCGCGCCAGCGTGACGTCCTCTTCCGCGCGTCGTCGACGACGACGACGTCGACGACGGCAGAATTGGGGAATAATAAGTCGCTCCTAGGTGAGCACCTTCCGAGTACACTGATAGAAAAATATAGTTGAATTGACTATGATCTCACTATATTTTAAAGTTCATTTTGGCGTCAAGCATATTTTTATAGTTCGTGGAACCTGCGAAATATAGTAGAATAAACGCAAATATATAGTCAATGATTGTCTTAATTGCAATTGTTTAGCTACTTTTACCACATGTATGGTAATTTCTCATTCACGAATATAGTGAGATTTAATATTCATATAGTTACATCTGTCATCATTTAGCAAATATTCTGGTAATATTGACTATATACAAGAGTTACTTTACCTACCATTTGATATTTGTATTCATACTTAAATAATTTTAGTTTAACTTACTATAATTCTTAGTAAAAATATATGGTTGGTTATACTATACCTATATCGTAATTATTACCGATATTATGGTAATACTTACTATAAATATGATATTTCGGACTATAATTTAGTTACTGTATCATTATACGTAGTTCCAAATATCATATACTTTCCTCTCAGTGTACGCGCTCCATGTCGGCGGCATCTCGAGGGGCCGACAGGGGTGGTGCGTGTCCTGAACCTCGGTATTGCACCTACCTACCTACCTACCTACCTACCTACCTGGCCCCACCTCATACGTACCTCGATTGTACGCGTCGACACACTCGCCGGCGCTCGTACACAGATGCATGTGCAAACAACGATGCTATCGGCCGGCGCGAGAGCGGCCGTGTCAAGTGCCGAGCGTTTACTCGACGAGGAGAGCAGCTCGCCTTCGCCTTCGTGGCTTATTACGAAGGTGTTCTCTCTCGGTGCCGAGCCGCGGTGAAACCACGGCGATGCGCCTTGTCCTACTTGCCGAATCGCGGAGGAGCCGCGACGCGCGGTTCGGAGAATGAGAAGGCTCGCGGCTCGCGCGTGTGTGTGTGTGTGTTGTTTACTCGCTGCTCGTTTTCGGGGACGGAAGCGAATTATTTGCGCAATTAGTCGCTCGCCTCGGCCCCCGTACATCCTCGTGCGCGCATGAGACAATTAGCGCTCATGAAGAGCTATTTCAGCTTCCGAGCTGCCGATTGCGTCCTAGGACTTTAAAAGATTGAATAGCCGGCTGTACCTGAGGTCGAAGTGCCAACGCCGTGTTCTCGACGTTCTTCTTGTTATTTTTCTTCTCCGAGTACTACACTTAAACTTTCCACGCGGTTATATGCATTTAAATATACGCGCGCGTATTTTATGCCGAAAGTTTGAGCGTTCGTACACTGATAGAAAAATATAGTTGAATTAACTATAATCTCACTATATTTTATAGTTCATTTTGGCGTCAAGCATATTTTTATAGTTCGTGGAACCTGCGAAATATGGTAGAATAAACACAAATACATAGTCAATGATTGTCTTAAACAATTGTTTAGTTACTCTTACCACATATATGGTAATTTCTCATTCACGAATATAGTGAGATTTAATATTCATATAGTTACATCTGTCGTCATTTAGCAAATATTCTGGTAATATTGACTATATGAAAGAGTCACTTTTACCTACCATTTTATATTTGCATCCATAACTTACTGTAATTCTTAGTAAAAATATTATATAGTTGGTTATGTTATGCCTATATCGTAATTATTACCGTAATTATTATGGTAATACTTATTATAAATATGATATTTCGGATTATAATTTAGTTACTGTATCGTTATAGTTCCAAATATCATATACTTTTCTCTCAGTGTATGAAAAGACCAAAACAGGATCCAAAATTAGCCACGCGTATCCTAACCCGGCACTGATATTTTTATCCTGCGGAATTTTCGTCGCGCCTTTGGCAGATACGAGCGGACGAATATCTTCGAGTGGCACACGTATGGAAAAATATATTTCGCAATAACGATGTATTACGGTTTCCCCCCGCGCCCCCCGCCTCTCCTTTCGGCGATATCGCGCTCGGAATTGAGCTCGCTAGAGCCTCGCTCTCGCATTTTTATCATATCTCCGGCAGATCGCTGTATCAGCCGTGTTTCCTGCGTATACAAGTTCGTCCCCGAATACGGCGCAGAGTCCTCGGCGACGTTTCTTTCGGCGAGCCCGAAAAGGCGGTCCGAGGTCCTGTCCTTCAAGCAACGATGCTTTCTCAGGGACAACGAACGCGGAACCGCCGAGGCCGCGTCGCGCGTTTTGCGTCGGCGAAAGGAAAACGGAGTCGTGAACTCCACACACGCGTGCACAAGCATGTGCGAATTTGAACTTGTGACCCCAAGCTCCAACGACGCTGTATTCCCCCTCCCCCCTTTCCCTCGCACGCGTGGGCACGTGCAAAATAATTATAATAGATTCAAACGGCGCGGCTACAATAGGCTCGGAGAACGTTCGAGAATACGGAAGATGAATCGTACATATAATGCGTGACTGCCGTTTCTGTTTTACTTCAAGACGATACAAAATAATGCAAAATAATCACGGGAGCCTCGGCGACGCTGCTCTCCAAATATCCACTTATTCAGCGCGCGCGATTGCGCGAGAACGCACAATGCACTAAATAAAGCTCTAAGAATGAGACGCATGCGAATTTCGATCCGCTGCGTCAGCAAAACAAAGCGGCTGATACAATACTAGCCAAGCTCTCTCTCTCTCTCTCTCTTTCTTTCTTTCTCTCCCTCTCTGTGTTTCTCTCTCTTTCCCTTTCTCTCCCTCCCACGCACGAAGAGAAGGCGCTTTTGACGGACGAACGGCTGGGGGAAATTCTCTCGCGGTGATCTGAAACGCCGGTTCTCCTTGTCTGTGCAGAACGGCGACCTGTGTATATCAATTCTGCATCCACCCGTAGACGACCCACAGAGTGGCGAGCTGCCCTGCGAAAGGTGGAATCCAACGCAAAATGTCAGGTGAGTCGCGTTGCGCGCGGTAGTCGCGTGGCGGGAAGAGAGTTCCCGGGGGCCGTCGGATTTGCGCTCTTACCCCCCGCCCCTCCCTCCCCGCTGCCAAAGGTGAGATGATTAATCGCTCTTGTCTCTCGTATCAGGACCATCCTCTTATCGGTAATCTCGTTGCTGAACGAACCCAACACATACAGCCCTGCCAATGTCGACGCCTCCGTGATGTACAGACGCTGGCGTGACTCCAAAGGCAGAGACAAAGAATATGAAAATATCATAAGGTAAGAGAGAGAGAGAGAGAGAGAGAGAGAGAGAGAGAGAGAGATAGAGAGAGAGAGAGAGAGAGAGAGAAAGAGAGAGAGCAAGAGTAAGAGCATCGATAACGCGTAATCACGTCATGCGGTCACGCGGCGAGACCTCGCGAATTATCGCGGAAGAGTGTGTGTGTGTGTGTGTGTGTGTGTGTGTGTGTGTGTGTGTGTGTGTGTGTGTGTTAACCGTGCGAAATGCGAATATACGAATATGAGACGGTCACGAGTCCGCGCGCGAAAATGCATATCGTCGTCGATCCCCGGCTTCGAGAGCCGCTCCTCAAGCAGTCCCGGAATCAATAATACGCGATTCGCGAACAACAGTCGGATTTTGCCGATCGATACACGGCACAGCGGGTCTCTCGCGCGCGTTCAAGTCTCCCGATAGCTTCCCTCTGGTATCGACGGTGCCGTCAGAATTGACGATCGCGCGCGGATTACAAGGCTCTAGCCGATGGCGAAGAGAGGGGAATAGTAGCGCCGCGTTCGTGACGTTTCTATCGCGGGTACTCGGTGAGTCTTCATCTTCGTCCGACTTCGTGCAGCAGCCCGCGCTGTGAACGCGGCGAGCCGCTACTGACGAGCGAGAGCGTGAGAGGTAGGTAGGTTTTGTCAATGTATACCTTGCACTTGTTTTCTATTTAGGAAACAAGCCCAAGCTGCCAAGATGGAAGCCGAAAAGGAGGGTATCGTCGTGCCCGTGACATTGGAAGATTACTGCATAAAGACTCGGGCTAGGCCGGCCGAGCAGCAGCTAGATATGACGGATTTCTACGACGATGAATATGAGTTGGACGACGACGAGGACGAGCAACTGAGCGCGACCGACTACGAGGACGGCGATGACAGTGGCAACGGAGAATCGTGATCCATCTCTTAGATGATAATGCATAAAGAGAAACTTGAGACGCTGAATATTATCAGTTCTGTATAGATTAATAAATTAATGAGCTTCTAAACCGGACGCTCTCTCTCTCTCTCTCTCTCTCTCTCTCTCTCTCTCTCTCTCTCTCTTTTTTTCTCTTTCTCTTTCTCTGTCTATCTATCTATCTCTTTCTATCTCTCTTCTTCTTCCGTCTCTTTGGACGTGCTACTGAAATTTGAAGTGAGCGTTTCTTTGCTCAAAGAGCCGATACGCCACGGGTAATTGGATTAGAATCGCGTACGTCTTTAGAAGCCATTGTCAATTATCACACGCGCTTCTACCTGAATGAATCAATTGCAATCTGTTTGTTACAGTCACATGTTCCTTCTTCCGTCGGGAAGTAACGATGAGAAAGCGTCCTTTGTCACTCCCGCCATCCGTGTGTCCTGCGTATACCGCGCGTATTTCCGCGATCTACGAGATTTCATTGCGCGAAGTAATGTAAAACCGCCGTCCGCTCGACGACGGTTCACGCAACGGGACTGCGGCTTTTTAAACGGAGAAATTCGAGCGTTATCGTCCAACGACGGACAACTGTGTGTGAGGGTTGATGATCATCACATTGTATGAAATTGCCGAGAATTCCGTGTTTACAAGCTCTTTAACTTAAGCAATATGCTACGGTATGCGTATAAAAAAAAAAAAAGTACTTCGATAGGAGCACTGTGCTTGTTGTGTTGTGGCTGGCACCTCGATCTTTCAAACCAGGACCAATTGATTTACCTAGCAGGGACTAACGTTCGATAAAGACGATCATAATGTAAGTAAACACGATGATTGACTTTGTATTGGGCAGTCTAGTTTCACGTCATGTTCAAAGTTGTAAGTGTGTGGGTACGTCAATTGATCCTAAAGCGCAAATATACCTATCACTGTGAAATTTGCATTGAATAACAGAAAATCGCGTTGTTTTGTTTTATAATTATTTATATTGTAACACCGCGAGCCCGCATTGGAAGGAGAATTCGACGTAGAGATAAGGGAAAAGAAGTAAAAACGCGCGCTGCCGCAGAAGACCCGCTCGAGAGAGAGAGAGAGAGAGAGAGAGAGAGAGAGAGAGAGAGAGAGAGAGAGAGAGAGAGAGAGAGAAAGAGAAGAGAGAACAAAATCAAGATTATCACACACAGCGAATCATGCCATCATCACACGCGGGAGAAAATATGAGTCGTCGATATCGATATCGCGAATTGCAATTACTCGTCCACGTATGTGCACAGAGTCGTATACCGTATCGGCATATTTTTCTCGGCAGTAGCTTCACGTCCGGGTTAGAAAAGCGGTAATCGCACGATCAATGTTAATCGCTGCTTCGCGGGTCTTCGACGGCGGACGCAATCATAGTTTTTAGAGTTATTAGACACATGTAACTTTTGGTACAAATATCCTAATTTTGACTGTTAACAACACTAAATGTTTCCCGAGAGAAGCAACGGAAGCAACGTGTGAGAGAAAGAGAAAAAACTTATACGCGCATAACGTTACAGCCACAAAGTTAGTTTAGCCTGTAACTTTCGTTAAGATCTCTTCGCATTAAGTATATCCTTCACGACGAGGGAATAATGCTTTTCGGAGACGGTTCGGTTAAGGTCGCGGTTAAGAAAAAAAAGATACAAAACAAAAAAGTGACTACTTAAGTGGAAGGTATATCCGGATACAGCTAATCGACTCTGTGGTAGTGTATCTGTGCTCGTATGACTGAAATTGTAAATAGTAAACGAAACTCAATTTTAAAGATACGAGATGTATAAGTGGGTACTTCTACTTATTTCTTTATTAGCCATTTCATTGAGAGACCAAAATTGAGTGTTGAAAGTGTTTCATAAACGGTAAAGGGCGAGAGGACATTTAAATTCCACAATAGCGTCTAAAAAAAAAAAAAGAAACGTATACTCTGCGCTTGTAGTGATGTAGCTAAAGTAAATATCCCCCCTCTAGTTCCTTCGATATATTGTAAAACCTCTTCTCATTTCATGTTTTTCTTAGCTATTTAATAATAGAGAAGGTGTGCAAGATACTGAGATATGAACATTGATAATTTGTATACTGGATAATTCTTTCCTTCTTTTTTTGTACATATCATCACGAGAGCAACTTCTTCGTACGATTATTAATAAAATTAGCATACTACTATCAATATGCTTTGTCGATAATTTAGTGACTATAGGTAATGTCAGGTAATATTAATCATTTACTATTAATTACGACCTTTTTCACGTGACGATAGGCTAATGCGAGGAAATATGTGTAAATACATTTTATTATGGCAAAATATTGGGCTTGTGTATCTTTTTACTACTACTATTATTACTACTACTGCTGCTGCTGCTGCTGCTACTACTACTACTACTACTACTACTACTACTACTACTACTACTATTACTATTACTACTACTGCTACTACTATTATTACCAATACATTATATATATATATATATATATATTCGGAGGACTAAGGACTACGCAATGCGTAGAAAAATATGGTTTATTCTTCACACAACTCGACATACACATCAATTGTACGAGATAATGAGATAATGAGATTATAAACACAATGTTTCCATATCGTCTTGCAGGATTCCACAACGAACTGTAAAGCGCTATAATTACAATACCGAGCATTACATTAATCGATAACGGTGGAGGTAGACATGAGTGAAGATCTTTATCACGGTGGTATAATAAGGGAGTATTATCGCTTTTTGTTCCACAGATACATGACAAGCCTTCCGCAATAAGCCGTTAGTCTTAAGCCACAAGCAAACTGATTTGATCAATTACAGTCGGTTGTTCCAAACAATGATCGACCGTGGCTGGTCAATTTGTTTACGATTTATGACCAACGGCTTGTTGTAGAAAGCTTTTGATAGAAGGCACGTATATACATCGAAATTGCGCAAAATTCAAACGTCTTTGAAACAAAATATAACTTAACCGTTCCCTGAGTACGCTAAAACGAAGAAAGGGAAAATTTGTTTTCTGTATCACTTTGGAACGCTGAGATGTGCACCACAGATACGTCAGTACACACACGTATGTCGTTTAGTTGAACCCTGTGTATCTGATATGTTTTGCTTTCAGATGATAAATGTTAATAAATAACGAGTAATACAACAATAAATACTTTGCGACGAAAACAAAAACGGAGAAAGAAAAACGAAAAGAAAAAAGGGAAAGAAGGAACGAAATTAAAATTAAAAAGAAGCATAATGATACGTTGGTGGGGTATCTCTTGTAAGCTTTATCTTATGGCTAGCATGAAGTCTACCAATTATGTGGTAGTTTAGTTCGAACGAAATCGAGATTATTGTCATGTGTATAAGGGACGGCCGTTTAACGATTACGTCGGTTAGCCCAGCATTGCGAGCAGTAGTATTGATTTTCCGCTGATCCAAAGAAATGGCAGTGTTCACTGCGACACTCCTTTACGGTATCCTACAAACGTCATCCATCTTACAGAAATCTTACAATTCGGAAGAGCTTATTTCCCGCGACATTGATCGAAATTTACTCGACGTACCTTCGAATTGTTACTATTATTCCAATTCTCCGGCTCCACATCACTTGTCGCTTGATCCTTGTAAAACGTAGATCTGCGGGGCGAAAATATTTATCAAACTGAACACAGTAGCGACTTTTTAACGATCGAGCGTGAACGTGTACCTTGAGAGATAAAGCGTATGGTCCTTGTTCGGATTCGTAGGCAATAACTTGCTGACGCTCGCATGACTACCGCGATCGCTGGCAGCGTAAAACTTGGACTTCCCGGCGCCGTAGTTCAGTTCGCTACCTGTATCGTCTACCTGGTGATCCTGCAGATACCTAAAACCCACAGCAAAGCTGTGAAACTCACCGCCGTGTAAACTCTTGGATGCATCGCCAAGGTTAAAGTTGTAGGCAGCCGAGAGATATACCTTGAATGCGCATACTGAAGATAATTCTGAAGCATTTGGTCCACGTACTGATGACGTCTGCTCTTTATCCTAACACACAACAAGCCTTCCGTGGAAACACCACCGCCCGCGACGGGCGGACTTTTTGGTCTCTTCGTCACATTAAGCCAGAATTTCTTGCTAACGGATCTGCCAATGGATCCGACTTGCTGCAACAATTGCTTCGCTGTCTTCGACAGAGAACCATCCGTGTCCCCGAATCTGTCTATGTCTTCAGTTATGAAGCTTTGGTACTCGCAGTCCAGATATTCCCGTAATAAGATTTCCATCTGCACGCAAGAAGCAGAGTAGAAACGACTTTGCGCTGGTTCACAACCTTGCTTTAAGCCGTAAGCAAATTAATCGACTATAGTCGATTATTCTTGTGACAATCGGCTGTGATTGGTCAATTTGCTTAGAGCAAGCGCTTGTGCTCCACCACGGGCTCGATTCCTGACGGCGTGCGAATTAGATGCGCGTGCGGAAATCTATATTACATGTAACGTAAACTGCACACTTTCGCATACGCATCTCACTCGCACGCCGTCAGGAATCGAGCCTCAGGGCTTTGTCACTTCACTGATGTCTCAACGCCTTACCAACAGGCTCGACGCAAGAACCCTCCACCAGACTGGCTGAGGAATATGAACGATGATATACGTACGGTATCCTGCTGACAAGACAACAACTCGCGTGAACCGTCCACCCAGTCCCAATCAGGGCCAGGATCCACGGCGAACAGAACCGGCAACAGCTTGCCTGTGTCTGGATCCACCAAGGGTATACTAACTCCTTCGCCGCAGGCGCTACCGTAATCGTTGCAGCCATCTACCGTCACAAGCGGTGAAAAATGAGCAGAATGATACGCCAGGAGCAAGGGTGTTCGGTGGCAACGCGAAGGCGGCACCTCCAGGGGCAGATACACACCGCCGAACGGAATCGGCGCCAGGGCTATTCCCTGGGCGTCTTTCAGCATGGTTTCCGCTATGACTATTATGGGCCTCTTTAAGGCGTGAGCCAGGGTCAAGACGTGTATCTGAAACGCGAAGGTGAAGGTGTGAACTCCGCGGAACGACTTCGACTGTTTACGCACGACGAGAGGTAAGAGTGTCACACGATACCTCTTCAAGGCTCTGGTAAGAGGTAGCAGTTTGGTTTCTGACTGTGGGAGAGGCCATGTCTACTATACTTTGCCATTCCGACAACCACTCCGAATCCGTGTACGACAATCCAGCCGCCGCGTTCAAACCCGTCTGTCTCCACTTCCACCGCCTGAGGATGAGAGCGTGCGATGTACTCTCGGAATTATTCAGCGATTACGATATCACCAGCTTGATCGTTACCTGAAGAGAGCATGCCTGTACTCTCCTTTCGTCAAGGTATTATGCAGCGCCTCCCTTAGCGTGAGCAATCTGTCGTGGAAACCCCACATGCCAAGCGACGCAGCGTGAAGCAAACAATTGCCGTCTCCGGACGTTGCCAGTGGCCAGAGGATTCTGGTGCTTCCATTCTTGTACCACCAGTTTAGACGACCCGCAGCCTCCAAGGAACTCATGCATCCGTTCTCTATCAGATCCTTCTCCAGGAATTTCCGGAATGAATCTAAATGCAGGATGTCAACAATCGCATGTCAGCAGAAGCATTCGCAGCAAGGTACACATGTTACACTGAAGCATACATGGTCTAAGAGCTTATGAGAGAATGCTACCTGGATACACAGACAAATCTGGCAACGAAAATGTATATTCCGGTGTGTCCAGGACTCCTAGGGATGCCAGTTGCGAGCGTGCGTAGGAGACAATCGCGGCATTCTCCGTCGCACGGGAGATACCCCTGGCCAGCTTCTTCGTAGTACTCCCATTGGTCTCCAGGCCATTGTCAGGAGTACTCTCGTTCTCCAGGCCATCGTACATGGATAAGCCAACGCTCATAACACACAGAGCTGTATCCTGCCGGGACTGCGAAAATATTCTACTTTAGGAATGAGTCATCGTCCGCATCAATCAATCGGTGCTGTAAACTTCAAAGGTATCAATAGACACAATCCGCTGGTGCATCATTGCGGATGCCCAATCCATCGTGCGGATAATTAATTCAAGTGTCGGTATTATTGCGAGCAGGTTGCAAAATTGCCCGAATGAGTCATGAGGCTAATTAAAATTAATTAGACGCTCGGGTGATGTAACTTTGCTGGTCGTTCTGAAAACCTCTCGCGAAACGCGTCTAGCAGATCGCGAGCGCGCGAGCGTCGCACGTTGGTGGCGTCCATATAAGACGCCCGATGAATATTCAATCGCGCGTTCAATTTTCATGTCTGTCCCGTGTGCAAGTATAGTAAACAATGCAATGGACAGAGCGACATGGAGATCGAGCCGTCGGTCGGATGTCACACTCATTTATAAGGCGTTAACGAAGCAGCAACTTTTTCCGCTCAGAGGTCGCAGGTGGACAGACAGACACGTGGTTCGTTTGTTCGGCCGCAGCGACGAAATGCACGCCGCCAAGGTCACGAAAGATTCGTAACCGCTCGCGATTACGCGCGGCGAGGCGAGTGTCAGTTGTCGAGTAATGCGTCGTTGTGTTATGCGCGCACATATACACACATATGGTTGCGCGAGAGACGTGTATATACGTACGTACGTACGTATGTACATACACACACACACACACACACACGTATATATAGCCGAACCTACGGAAATAGGACAAGGTTTCGCACGACGGCCAGCGCTTTTGGCGAAAAAGCGTCACGCATGAGGAGATCGATCGACGCACACGTCCCGTCCCGAGCGTGGAAAAACGCGCCAAGCAACACGCGACTTTCGCTCTCGTTCGATCGTCGCCGCGCGTCGAAATTCGCGTGGGAGGCTCTCTCGCGTATGCCGCGAACGAGAAAAAGAGAGCGAGAGACGAGGGAATAAATCGGGAATGCGGAACGTGAACACTTACGAGCCTTGGACCGTTATCGAATTAGCTCACGGACGCGACGCAATAATCTGGCTGCTGGTCCGTCCTGGTCGTCGTCGTCGTCGTCGTCGTCGTCGTCGTTGTCGTCGTCGTCGTCGATTCGATCGTGCGTTCTCCGTATATTCTTCTCATATTTCGTTCAGCCGACCCGTTTGAGCCCGTCGGCGACACGACGGACCACGCGTGAGTGCGTGCGCGACACGAGATAAGTGCGAATTAATCCGAGAGCCGCCGACAACGATGTAAACACAACGACATAACCTACAGAGCCGTCTCGCGGATTCGTAGCTCGTGAGTGGGAGGCTGAAATTGCACGACGTCCGATTGGAACTGCACAGTTGCGCTGATCGGTCGGACAGGCGGAGGAACGAACGAACGAACGAATGCACGGTGAAACTTTAAACGGGTCACATGTTCGGCGCGCGTGACGAGCGAGCGAGCGAGCGAGCGCGCGCGCTCCCTCCGCCTGTCACGCTTCGAGCGAGCTTTCGACGTCCCCGAGACGAGGAAAGTGAGGAAGGGAAAAGAAGTCTGTGGGGAGGCATACCGCGAAGCGCAATCTACGATAAGAGCTTCCATGCGAAAGTATTATACATGCGACGGTGCTATCAAAAGTTTCCGACGACGATGACAGATAAGCTGCGATAACGATACGAACGATGATTCATCGTGTAATGACTCGAAATTTTTAGGCTACTTTTAAAGTGAAATTTTCATCGTAAAAATACACTCGACCGGATGAGTCGGCGTTTATTTTTTTCAAAAACATCGATCGTTTCTCCGATAGCTTTCAATCAGATAGCGAAGTAGAAGTTTGTTTGTGTAGTGGCTCGCGTGGCTTCCGATGGAAGGAGAAACTCGAGAGTGGCTCTGCCTTGTTTAATTCAACAGGTATTATTAAATGCAATTCTAATAAAGGTTTAGGAAAACGTTTGGTTCGGTTACGATACCGACGAGATACCAATAAAAATTGTTGGTCTTACGGGATTTGGAGTATCAGAGAAATCTCGCTGAGCGCTATCGCTCTCTTAGGAATATCGTGGCTGGAATATGAAACCGAATGGCCTGGAGGTAATTTAAGAATAATGATAATACCGACTGAAGCCACGCGAGCCAGTACATACACAAACTACACCGAAGATAACACGAACGTTTGTATCTCTGCCTTGTTTCGATGCCTTGTAGGATTTAGTTTTCAACGCTGAAGCAGAGAGAAAGGGGGAGAGGTAGTCCCTGAGAGTTTATAAATAACTCTCTTAAGAAATATTCTTCTGGTCTGCGTATTTGCTTCTGTGTATTTTATATTTTTTAATTGTAGTAGTAATTTTTAATTGTAACTTCTTATGTTTTATTGTATTCTACAAAAATGAAATATGTTAGACACTGATTTCTTTTTATAATTATAAAATATACGACATAACCAGTATACTTTATGCAAACGTGTCTGTCTACATCTTCACATCTACATGAGCATTACAGTTAGTGTTAGTGCTACTATGAGTGCAACGTCGGAGCAACCAAAATACTGATCTGAGAAACCAATCTATTGTTCCAACAGATATAAAAAATAAATTTCTCAAAAATAAATATTTTGAAATATATTATAGAATTATTTTATTTAAACACCCTTTCCTTTAAACCGTATCTTTGAAAATATTCATGTTACCTCTTCGGTCATTATATTCCCCTAATATAAAATGCGAAAATCGGGAAATTAAATAAAATTTTTAAATTTCCCAATTTCCCGGCAGAATCCGAGATGCTTCTCCAATTATTATATTCTCCTGTTACAAAGTGCGAAAACCGGGAAAATGAGAAATTTCAAATTTTCCGCCAGAATCCGCAATACCTCCTCGGTCATTATATTCTCCTGTTACATAGTGTGAAAATCGGAAAAATGAGATATTTAAAATTTCCCACCAGAATCCAGAATACCTCCTCGATCATTATATTCTCCTGTTACAAAGTGCGAAAATCGGAAAGATGAGAAATTTCCAATTTCCCGCCAGAATCCGGAATACCTCCTCGATCATTATATTCTCCTGTTACAAAGTGCGAAAATCGGGAAAATGAGAAACTTCCAATTTCCCGCCAGAATCCGGAATACCTCCTCGGTCATTATATTCTCCTGTTACAAAGTGCGAAAATCGGAAAGATGAGAAATTTCCAATTTCCCGCCAGAATCCGGAATACCTCCTCGGTCATTATATTCTCCTATTACAAAGTGCGAAAATTAGAAAAATGAGATATTTCAAATTTCCCACCAAAATCCAGAATACCTCCTCGATCATTATATTCTCTTGTTACAAAGTGCGAAAATCGGAAAAATGAGGAATTTCAAATTTCTCGCCAGAATCCGGAATACCTCCTCGGTCATCATATTCTCCAGGTACAAAGTGCGAAAATCGGAAAGATGAGAAATTTCAAATTTCCCGCCAGAAACCGGAATACCTCCTCGGTCATTATATTCTCCTGTTACAAAGTGCGAAAATCGGAAAGATGAGAAATTTCCAATTTCCCGCCAGAATCCGGAATGCCTCCTCGATCATTATATTCTCCTGTTACAAAATGCGAAAATCGGAAAAATGAGGAATTTCCAATTTTCCGCCAGAATCCGGAATACCTCCTCGGTCATTATATTCTCCTGTTACGAAGTGCGAAAATCGGAAAAATGAGAAATTTCAAGTTTCGCGCCAGAATACGGAATGCCTCCTCGGTCATTATATTCTCCTGTTACAAAGAGCGAAAATCGGAAAGATGAGAAATTTCCAATTTCCCGCCAGAATCCGGAATACCTCCTCGGTCATTATATTCTCCTGTTACAAAGTGCGAAAATCGGGAAAATAAGAAATTTCAAATTTCCCGCCAGAATCCAGAATACCTCCTCGGTCATTATATTCTCTTGTTACAAAGTGCGAAAATCGGAAAAATGACAAATTTCAAATTTCCCGCCAGAAACCGGAATACCTCCTCGGTCATTATATTCTCCTGTTACAAAGTGCGAAAATCGGAAAGATGAGAAATTTCCAATTTCCCGCCAGAATCCGGAATACCTCCTCGGTCATTATATTCTCCTGTGACAAGGTGCGAAAATCGGAAAAATGAGAAATTTCAAATTTTCCGCCAGTATCCGGAATACCTCCTCGGTCATTATATTCTCCTGTTACAAAGTGCGAAAATCGGGAAAATGAGGAATTTCCAATTTCCCACCAGAATCCAGAATACCTCCTCGGTCATTATATTCTCCTGTTACGAAGTGCGAAAATCGGGGAAATTAAAAATTCATATTTCCGCATTTTGTATCAGGGGAATATAATGACCGAAGAGGTAACACGTATATGCGACGGGAAGTTAAAAAAATTGCTATTTTTAATAAGGATGGGATTCTCAAAAGTACGGTTTAAAGGGAAGAGTATTTAAATAAAACAATTTTATTGTATATTTCAAAATGATATTTATTTTTTGCGGATTTATTTTTTACATGTGGTGAAACAAATACAACATAACGCGATGTAATATATAAACAATAAAATATAATATATAATCGGATACAATAAATATTTTTCGATTTTTTAAGTACAATGAAACGGTGATATTTTTATGTTCTTATAATATTACGAATTGATGTATGGGAAGAATAATATAATAGTATAAAATAGAAACGACGCATACATTGTTATCTACAATTATAAAGTTATGAAAGTACCATTTTTTTCTGGAAAAGTCGTAGCTACTTTAATAGTCGGTTTGTTTTCTATCGCTGAACTGGCTGCACTAACTTGCACTTATTCTCTTCTTCTCTCCTTTTCGCTAACTCCTAGATGTATTTCTATTTCTTTTTATGTTCCCTGAGTGTAAACTAGTTCAGCGATAAAAAACAGACACCTATAGTCTCGTCGGTGGCGTAACTAAAACAGTTGGTATTGCCGTTGTTCTTCAATTACCGCCAAGCCTCTCTCAGGGCCACCTTCCTAATATGAAAATTTACCCAGGGCTGAGGCTGATAGTCTAGCTACTTTAGTTCTAAAATCTCCGCTACGAGGCGCTACCGCCTTCAACGACAAACGACGCAAGTAATACGACTCAACGACAAGTCGGACGGGATTTTATTTTAAACCGTACCGCAGCTAACTGCTTTAGTCTTTCAGCAGCTCGAATATGTTGTCAGTTGTCGAGCTTTTGTTTGATTTCTATCAACACCGAATGAAAGAAAAAGTTCGCATTTTAATTAGATATTACAAGATTTATTAGTATTACAGCTAAGTAAAGTGGACGAGGTACAGAGATACACTTGCTCTGCTCTCCTGTATTAAGAATCAATTTCCCTACAATACAAATATTATGTTTTGAGAACACAATCGATATTTTACAATATAGGATTCTTTTCAATTATTCTTTCTCGTGTGTGACGTGAAAAATTCGTCCTTTATTAAGTTTCATGTTAGATTATCGCGTATTTCATATTAAGAGTAGAAATCAAACACGGCACACAATTCATTGCTCATTAATACCGACACCTAAATCTTTCTTCTTTTTTATTAGCGCGGCAATCAGTTAGATCTCTCGTTCCTCAGTAGCAAATTCAACTGTCTCAATTATATTTCGCAAGATTTCAGTAGTTCCTTTACTAGAGATGCGAGGCTAATGTTACATTAAAGAAAGGAATTGTGTTGAGTACTGTTTGGACTATTATTAATTGGCATAGAATTGAAGCCCCTTTGCGCCGGTGGTTGATAGATAGGTTGAGTACTCCGTTGCTGACTTCGTTTCTTATTGTATCCTTTATTGCTACTAGCAGTACCGCTCCCACCTCGTCGAAATTCCATACCTGCTGTCAGTCGTAATTCATAATTAAATTAATATCTTCGAAATATTAAAGGATCCTCTTGGAATATTATTAAAATTTGGTCTACAAGTGGATTACTGTTTCCGCTTACCATTTATGTGATTGTGACTCTGATCGTAACGTGGCTGCCGATTGTTCGAACGTTGATCTTGTCGTCTTACGTCTATAACGGGCTCTTGAACCTGATGATACAGCAATCAAGAATAAAAGAAAAGTTATTATAAAGTAAAAGTAAAGTACAAGTACAGAGAGTATTTGTAGTACGTTTCGCTGTGTAGTTGTACATACATCTACGGTAATTGGTATGCAATCCACCTGCAGGACCTCTTCATAGTTCTCGAATTCTTTGAATTGTACTACGCATGTCCTCTCGGAGACGCCAGTGACTTCGGCATTGTAATACTAAAGTTTGTGCAGAAAAACTAAATTATTTCACACGCACTATGGTGACGAGATCGCGCGTAGCAATGCGAGAAAAACGATACACACCCTGTTATCCTCCCAATATTTAGCCATGCACTTGTCACCTATTCGCCATACCCACATATCACCACTCGCGGAAACGTCGGCGTTTTGAATGCTGTAATTACTTTCACTTCTTTGCGCATTGAGATTCGTGGGCATCCTATTGTCGACGTTATGATTTGCCTGATACTTAGGTTGATTCTTGAAAGTTTTTTCAGTCGCGTTAGATGAGTATACTTTAGAAGCCCCGTCTTGTGGCGCTCGATTATGCCTACCGTAAGAAGCATCGTAAGACTGCTTATTTCTGCTTACGTCAGGCTCGACGTGATTATAGTTTCTGTTACTACCGAGGTGATTTGTTTTTCCCAGTGAGTCAGTCTGAGTCTTGTTATAGTTCTCGTTACCACTATCACTGGTGTTTATGCTACTTGTGCGTGACTGAGCGAACGTGTTTCTATAGTCGTTTGGTTGAGAAGGCTTCTGATACGCTTCCCTACCGCCGTTGTGTTGGTACTGATGCTGAGATTCCTGATTACGCTGAAATCTCGGAGGTTTGTTTTGCTGCACGTTAGCGCCGCTATTATACTGCGAGTACGAAGACGTGATGGAACTGCTGTTTGTCGCTCGTTTGTTGTTCCTATGTTCTTCCGCGTGTCTCGGAGGTGGTTGATATCCCCGTCCTCCTCTTTGGCCCCTGTGTACGCAAACATGTCGATGTTAGAAGAGAATCGCTGCTTTGTGTGACATTATTAATTTATCTCGCGAAGCAGTTACGTACCGCACACCTCTCCCAGTCTGCGCGTCGGTGTTTCTCGATTCCAGACGGTCTTGATTACTTTCGCTATTCTGCGCGCAGTTGTTTTGAAATGAACTGGTTGTATCTACGCTTTCGGGCTGTATAGGTAATTTGTCCTCCAGGAAATCGAAAAGAGATATCTTCCCACTACTAGGTTTACTCTCCTCCGTTTTCTTCTCGAATCGCTTACCACGTGGCTCTCGCGGCTCTCTGGAATCCTTGGCGCTGCACAAAGAGATTACAATTGGATGATGATCAAGTGACAAAAGATACAAGAGAGATGAGGTTGATACGTACTTATGTTTACTATCGGTTTTCTGCAAGCTCTTGAGAGCTTTATCTACATTATTTCTATTCACCCTTAGAGCATATTCCGCTTGTTCTATGGTGAATCCACGATCTACGATTTTCTGTACACTATGATCTAACAACTGTGGGGAATACGAATAAATTCTTAAGATATGAAAAAATAATGTTACATTCGCTCGGAGAGAAAGAGATAGAGATAGAAAATCAACCTGCTTATTTCCACCTCCAAACACTTTCTTGCTGCCCTGTTTAGCAGCCTCCGCGATTGCGTCCTTACGTTGAGCCTCAAACTCTGAATTTTCTTTACTAGGTTTTTCTTTCTCTGCCAGAGCTTTAAAGTTCTTATCTTGCTCGGAGACTTTTATGATCTTTCTGCCAAATGGTATCCATGGCGGAGGCCCACCTTCTTCGGCGGATCTTACTCGAGTGTGTGAAGCTAATTTCTACAACAAAAGTGCTTATGTATTCTTGTGTTTGATAGATGGAATTATTATCACTCATACTATTATCACACACACACACACACACACACACATATATGAATATAATTATCATCATTTAACTGTGATGTTTTACTAAAACTTAATAATAAACTTTTCACTTCTTCTTCTTCAGATTACCTTACCTTATTTAATTCCCATTTCTCCACTAGATTGGCAACCCTTCCCCCAAGTACATGAACTATATGTGATGGTCTTAATAAGATAATTCCATGCGACACAGGTAAGATCCCTGATTTTATTAATATTTTTGTACCAGGTGGAGTGTTCAAACTGAAATGGAATGTAAAGTTGATCAGAGAATGTAGCACAATAAAGTAATTATAAATGAATTTAATGAACAGTAATGTATTTTGATGTTTGCTTACCTTATAGGTGATATATGTTCAACTTCTAAGGCTTGAAAATTATTTTTGCCATCTGTCAATGATAATTTTAACATTCTTGGAGCTGCTCTGGATTCCTCATTTCCCTTGGGCGCAGCAACATTGCGTATCTTTTGTATTTGTAAGATAATATTGCCTTGATTAAGATCCCCATTACCACTGCCAACTTCTCTCAAGTCGATCTGTAAATATTTCGACATTTTTTTTTCATACATAACTCCTTGGCGTTTTGCATTATTGATGTATCTGCACGGCACCGAGAAATACATACATCCAACAGTCGCTTGACAATCCTCTGTGTGTCGGTTATATTTCCTGAATCGGTTGCTACATTATAACCATGATCAGACAAGTACCTAATAACAAAGTCCGTATAAATAATCAGAAATATGCATTATAATACAGGAGTAATCGCAAACTAATTAATCTCCAGGCAGAAAGAAAGAAAAGGAAGAAAAGAATTTAATCTTCAGCACTGATTCTCATCTCACTCACCACCCCAACGTCTCCAATTTTTCCATGACTTTGCTGCCGAACTTTCTTTGCTATCCAAACGAATCTGCCACGTCTCATTGAATCGATGCCGAATCGCCGTGTTCTTCGTAAGGTGTTCTACCCTTACAGGTACCTGTCCTTCGCGGGACAATACCCCTTCGATAACGGTAGACTTTCTAGCGCTTCCTAGACTTACTCAGCGCTCTTTTATCATACGCTTCAGCATTCACGAAAAAAATACATGAATAGCCCAGGAGATCGACAAGACTGTGTCACGTCGCGGAGCTTTGTTGCTTGTCATCCACGGACTTTCCGACTATACACGCGATGTACGCAGCAACGCGCGTACACAAACAGTTGTCAGCTGACACGTAAGGGCAGAATCGTAAGGGTTGCAGCAGGGCGACTCTCCCACGGTGACTCGGCCGAATATCCCGACCTTCTCGAAGCGTTCCTACACGCGTTGTATCACACGTCGGTGTAACGTCACGCTAACGCGACAATTTTAACCGCTCCGACGGCGGAACCGCACCTATCCGACTCGCAAACGCTCGCCACCATCTTGCGCTTCTGGAACATCGTGCGTTTCGATTCGATAGATATCGTTGCGCGATCAGCGTGCGAGACACCTATCGAATCGAAACGTTCAAATCGGCCCTTCTCGGGGGACATCATCGGTACGCAGGCAGAAATTAAGATCTATTAATGAGCAGATCTTCTCCATTTCCTCGTGTACCCTGCGATGCGAGGTGTTCCTGAGGAAGAGGAAGGTCCAGTCTACGCGAACGAAGTAAGAACCGTTGACCGTCCGGCGGTCGTGTCGAGCATCTTTATCGAAAAGAAGAACCCGACTTCGTGGGGCGAGCCACGATTACGAAGCGTTTCTCGCCGTGCAGCGAAATGAAGAGAGAGAATTTATCGCGCGCCGGCGGCTTGATTAAAACCCTTATGCCTCGAGTGCCGAGTGCTTCAATTAGGGTGCGCGATTATTACTTGGGTGGAGCCCAAGCTAAACAAACGGTAGAAATTACCGCCAGCCAGTGCGAACTAACTTCGGAGGTGACGGAAGCGTGGGACGCGCGATATGCGTGTTTAAAAATGGCCACGACCCACCCACGTGGAAACACATCTCGTGTTTTTACAGCACCCTCGTTAGCCGATGGAGTCTACTTTGTGAAATTCTACGGTAATTACACGCAACTGCGCAAGCACTGGACCGAGAATATGGTAAGAAATATATCGTAAAAGAGAGAGAGAGAGAGAGAGAGGGAGAGAGAGAGAGAGAGAGAGAGAGAGAGAGAGAGAGAGAGAGAGAGAGAGAGAGAGAGAGAGAGAGAGAGAGAGAGAGAGAGAGAGAGAGAGAGAGAGAGAGAGAGAGAGAGAGAGAGAGAGAGCGGTTTAGAAGTGAGTGGAGAAACATCGACGCAGCGATCAGCCGAGTTAATTAAGCGCTGCGAGCGCGCGTGTGATAATTACCAGCAATTATTAAAACTAAACGCGCTCGCGCCAGCATTCTCACGGTGACGAGAAATGTCCTATTTGGAAAGTTGGGCACTTCTGCACTCTCTGCTTTCAGGAACGTTTGAACACGCGCGGACGAGAGAGCTTGACTCAATTTTGCGGGAACGAGTTCCCCCTCGGATCATCAGCTGCCTTCTGGGTCCATAAAGGAGAGCGTTCAAATTGTGGACTAGACCAACCATAGACTAATACGCACGTAGACCTGACTAGACAAGACTGGACAAGAACCAGCCTAGATTCAAGTAGGAGAGGTAGGAAAGAATGCAGATATTTGTCAAACTGGACTCTCATTGGAGCTAGCTAGCTCTCTGCTAGACAAAGATCGAAAATACCTGAGGATAATGGGAGGGGAACATAGCCGTTCCCCCCGGACCTCTTCAGCTTGCTCACAAGAACGCGCATTCTACGTGTCCAAGTCCACGACCGAAAGCAAGAGCCGTGCCGAGCGGACAGTTTCGTTCCGGCATTCCGATGTGATATTTGCCGGTCCGCCTGACTTCTTCAGCGGAACGAGATTGTTGCGTGCTATCAAGGTGACGTGGGATAGTGTAATAATTATTACGGTGTAGCGAGCGCGAGCTCGGAACAGAGAGGAGCCGGCTGAAGGCTTTCTCGAGCCAGGATCCCGAGCCGGCGATCGTAAGAGTCGTCATTTTCCAAATGCAGACCTCGGCGAAGCCGAGAGCGTATGGCGCTCTCGCCGGCCGAGGATTCCGCGTGGTGAAAGTGAGACATCAGTCCGTGCGCACTCCCGGGGACATATGCGTCTCCTGCGACTGCAAACGCGTTAAATCACCGGACATCGGCGGCTTCATTAGCACCACGTCCACATTCCGCGGCGAAAGTGGGTCCTCCAAAAGTAGTCCCTCGTCTCGAGGCGCGCGCGCGCGCGCGCGTAGCTGTGTGCGTGCGTCTTACCTATCCGCCTACCTGGCCGATAGGTGCGCGTACGTACGCGCGGCAATGCGGTTCCCCACTTTCGTTTGGCCCCCATCGCGGCTTTTCCTCGTGCTCCGCACCGGCTCGTAGCTCACAATGGGCTCCACGCTATAGTTAGACTACGATTGCTATACGAGTACGCAATATACGTCAGTGTGTACAGTAAGTGATGGCTCGTTGTGGCGGAGAGAGAGAGAGAGAGAGAGAGAGAGAGAGAGAGAGAGAGAGAGAATGAGAGAAAGAGAGGGTAAGAAAGCAAAAGAGAGACCTCGCCAGGGGAATGAGGCAAAGAGAGAAAGAGAGATGGAAAGGGTATAGGAGAGGGAAACAGAAAGACGAGGGCAGACAAACAGAAGGGGGGAGAGAGGGGGAGAAAGAGAGAGAGAGAGAGAGAGAGAGAGAGAGAGAGAGCGAGCGAGCGCGCGAGAGAGAAGCAGCGAGGTAGAAGTTCAGTCGATCTTACCATTTCAGTTTCACTCCGGCTCAGCCTGAAATCGCGCGCGTACGTCCACGTTGATCGTCCGCAGCTCGTCCCGCGGCGGCCCGCGCCTCTTACGGACTTCCTCGCGAGACGACGCGCCTCGTCGCCGCGATACACCATACGCGACGCGCGCGTTTTTCGCAGCGCGTGACCGCAGCCGCAAGCGATTATTATTACCTCGCGGTTCGCGCATCTGCCAGCCAAGCGCGCGCCAGTCAAGCAGCCTGCTTGGGGGCGGCTTCCCGCAGGAGAAAGGAGCCGTTTGTCTCTGCTCCGCGCGCACCGTCGTCTGGAGAAAGGAACCTGTCCCGGGATCGACGTGAGTAGCGAGCGTTGAGCAATCGACCGCGCGAGGTGCTGGCCTCCAGCCGCGCGCTCTCTTCGTGGGCGAACGCTTCTTCTCCCTGGATTTCGATCGTACGACGAGATGCGCCGGGCGTGCGAGCACCGTCGTCGCCGTCGCCGTCGCCGTCGTGTCGCGCTGATTCATCGCCGAACTTTCCCGCCGTTTGTGATTCTTCAACGGCCGCTCGATACGCGACAACTTACGCGCGCACCGCCCTCGTGTACGAACATCCCCCCCCCTTCCTCTTTTTGCCGTCTCTCTCACGCTCTTGATCTCCCGTTCTTCTTCCTCGCGCAAAAAGTAGGGCTCCAGCGAGAAGAGGCTGAAACGGGAGCGCCTGATGGACGACGGGACGTAAATAAAGTCGTTAACACGCTCCGGCTAATCGCGCCTTGAAAACAAACGGACAGCAGTTTCGCCGCGACGACGTGTGTTCCGAGGGCGTGAGGAGGGGGCAGAGAAGGAAGAGTAATCAGAGATGATCTGCTTCGAGGCGTTATCGAGGCGATGCATGAATCGACGTGGTCTCGCCCATGTATCTGCCGAATAATTATCGGGCCAGCGGCGCGGGGACGGTGGCCGCGGTGAGAAGATCCTTCCTCCTGATCGTTAAGATTATGTAATTTATGCACGAGTGACGAAGGAGGAAGCCGTGGAAAAATACAGGCGATTCCCGCCGCATTAGCCCGCCCATGCACTTTGATAAACGCGCGTGTCGCCACGTCGCTTTGTCAGATGCAGCCTATTAGTCTCTTCCTTCCCGAGGAACTTCCTCAACACATTGTCGCGATATAAGCCAGAGTGGAGCGAAATACAATATATAAAAATTCCTCTCTCACCCTGACTCATTGCTGTGGTGTATGTTTCGTGAGAACGTTCCAGTTCATTTCTTCCAGGGGAAGACTCTCCAGCCAGAAACAAAAACTTGTAAATCCCGCTTATCAGCAGTCCTCGCGGTTATCGCGCGACGCGTTTATCTTCCCCTCGCGGCGAGCCGCCGTTGATAGCGTCGAGAAATCGTCGGGCGAGTCAGCGCGCGATTTCGGCAAACGCCGCGCTTGCGAGTCTCACGAGTCGCCGTCGGTTGCTCGACGATGCGGCGTCGACGAAGAGTACGCTACGCGACGAGCGACGATCGCACAGCCCGTGAGCGAGAAAGCACCGGCTCGACATGGTTAAGCGACGGTTAGACACACACGGGAACGAGAATCGCGGTAATACGGTAGTATCTACCTGGCAGAACAAAACCCGGCGACCTCGACCCCCCGAAAGCGCGGCTTTCGGCACGTCGAAGGGCCCAGGTGGTCCCCGCCTGTTCCTACCTACTTGGCGGTCCCCGCTGTGTGGCGCAATTCAAGTTCTCCAAACCTTTGTCTTAGGCTTTGTTTATAGCAGATAGTTGATAGTTTGCCCCCGGGTATGGAAGCTCTCTCTCTCTCTCTCTCTCTCTCTCTCTCTCTCTCTCTCTCTCTCTCTCTCTCTCTCTCTCTCTCTCTCTCTCTCTCTCTCGCAGCCGAATAGATATTACAATATTTTATCGCAAGTATCTATATTATAAGTACCTATGATAAATAGCTAAATCTATTATAAATAACTATGATATCACGATCTAGATGTTACAAATAGCTAGAAATAATGCGGACACCAAAGATACTACTTTTACCGTAATTACGGATCGCAAGGATCGTAAGTAAATGACCAAGCCTCCCGTTGACGCACTGAGAGAAAAGTATATGATATTTGGTACTACGAGTAATGATATAGTAACTAAATTATAGTCCGAAATATCATATTTATAGTAAGTATTAGCATAATATCGGTAATAATTACGATATAGGCATAGTAAAATCAATCATATGATATTTTTACTAAGAATTATAGTAAGTTAAACTAAAATTATTTAAGTATGAATACAAATATCAAATGGTAGGTGAAGTAACTCTTGTATATAGTCAATATTACCAGAATATTTGCTAAATGGTGACAGATGTAACTATATGAATATTAAATCTCACTATATTCGTGAATGAGAAATTACCATACATGTGGTAAAAGTAACTAAACAATTGTTTAAGACAATCATTGACTATATATTTGTGTTTATTCTACTATATTTCGCAGGTTCCACGAACCTATAAAAATATGATTGACGCCAAAATCAACTATAAAATATCGTGAGATTACAGTTAATTCGACTATAGTTTTCTATCAGTGCGAAGAAACCAAGAAAAACGTTCCATACTCCAGTCCGACCCCGGCCAGTCGTCGCTCGTCGCTCTTGGGAGCAACATCTCTGTCGCGCGGCAGTCCGGAAATATAAAGCACTCGGCGCGGAGAATCGCGAGTTAAATCGTTTCATTCGTCACGTTTATTAGTACATCGCGGCGTCGCTCCCGTGACAGCTCGCGCTCGCGCTCCGCCCCGACGTCTCTTCCGGTGATTTTTCCGCGGGAATTGCCGTCGCAGCCAGCTCGAAATCATCGTTCACAGGTGTGCGACGCATGCGAGCGCGTTTATTTTTAACAGCGTATACATGAGAGAGAGAGAAAGAGAGAGAGAGAGAGAGAGAGAGAGAGAGAGAGAGAGAGAGACATTCTCGCCTACGCGTCGCATCGCGAGATAAACGCGCGATTGTTCGTCGCGGGAGATCGACGCGCGGATTGGATGCTGATTTCTCGCGCACGGGAAGAGAATCGCTCTTCGTTCGGAGGCGGTAAACATAGAAGCGCTTGAAAACGTCTGTACTTGATTTTCAGCAAACATTACGCGACTCTCTCTCTCTCTCTCTCTCTCTCTCTCTCTCTCTCCGTCTTGCACTCTCATTCAGTAACTTTCAATTTCACCTGCAGCTGTAGTGAAAGTAAAGTCAAAGCAAGTGCGCGCTGATTTCAACCGCTGATATCGCTCGTCCGACGAGCGAATGAACGGCGTGTTCTTCATTGCCGCGACGGCTCGTAACAGGACGAGCGAACTGCATATTACAGAATTCCGCCGAATGATCGCGCGGCGCGCGTTCGCAAGTGATGATGTCAGAAACTCGGACACATTTTTTTGTCCGAGAGATTGCATCAATATGGCTCTTGCCGTGATTAGATGATTCATTGACGAGCGCGCGTCCGTTGTCGTAAGCGCTTGGAAAATATCGCCGGTTTCGCGGCACTGTTGAATTGCAAATTGAGTCGAGTCGCGCAAACACCGGCGGCAGAGTCGCAGCGCGACCGAACCATCGAATTTCCCGACCGCTTTACGGATCTTTGAATGGCCTCGGGGGAAGTCCAAGCCGCGGTCCGCAGCGCATTCATCAACACGACATCCTCGCTTCTGCCGGCTCGTCGCATTTACCGGACTCTCCGAGTGACATGGAAGCGAACAGCGATCGAGCAACGCTGCTCGTACGAAGAAGACGCGGTCGAAGAGTTTTGTAACGCAAAACGCGGCTATCGCGTGACGTCACTCGCGAGCTCCGCGGCGTCATTTTTACGCGGCTCGCGCTGGCCGTGGATTACTTAATGCGAAGGGAGCAGCGGCCACTTTCTCTCTCTCTCTGTCGGTGTAACGTGTTTTCGAGGCAGTGTGCCGGTGCGTGACCGAGGCTCCGTGAGCTCCGCTTACACGCGCACACACACACACACACATGCGCGCGCCTTATAAAACACGCAACCTTACGTGGATACGGTACGCGTTATTATTGTGCAGGCGATAGCGCGATCGACGCGCGCTACCTAATTCTAGGTCGTAATCGGGGCCCGTCGTCGTCGGACCCACGCGCGTTCGACAGGTGGGACGCGTCTTCCAACGAGAACAAGAGAAGCGGGTTATCAGGTGAATATATGCCGGAAATCGCGCACTCATCCTCTCAAATCGACTCCGTCGACAGCGACGGGCCCCGCACTCCGTGCTAGAGTTGCGCATCTCCAGCGGATCGCGGGTTTTATTGCGCGTTCGATAAATAACGGCGGATAAAATAATTGAGCCACGTGCGCAGCACTTCAGCTTGGAAGCAGGAAGTCGACCTCGCGTCTGTTTCCCGAGCCGTGAAAATTCACGTTCGTCATGTACGCCTGTTTATTTTTTTCCGTCTGCCTCGTGAGCGCAGCGCGCGAACGTCTCGGACCAACGAGCGCAAGAACCGTCGCCGCCGCGAGCGGGACAAGCGTTTAATGAAATTAAAGAGTTCCTTTTTTCTCTTACCTTGAATTGAGTTTCCCCGGTGTGATGAGAATGCGCCAACCTCGTGGCTGGAGTCTCGCGAAATTTCATCTCGCGCGCCCGTCGATATACGCGGCCAGGGCCGCGGTGAACGGTCAAGGTACTGCAAACTGGACCAAACATAAGCCTGATGTCATCGAGACGCATGGACATAATTATGAGGGCCGTACGTGACTCCAATGAAAACTCAAATAATTGCGTCTCGCTCGTGTGTGACCTTGGCGCCACTTAATATTATTACGTCCGTGATGAGGGGGATAAAATAATTTATCGGATCACGGCAATTACTGCAAAAAGCTTTTTCGCCGTCATCGAACATGCGCGGCTCAAACTTGCTCGCTCGTGCGGAACCGCCCGCGCTGGGATTTCCGAATACCCCCGATATCGTCGAGTTTCCTCGTTCGTTCCACCAGCCCAGTGTCTCACTTGTCCCGCGATTTGCCGGCAGGTTAACGCAAAGGAAGCGGGATGGGATACGGCGAGATGGACGGCTGCGGTCGCTTCATGAAGTATTCCTTGTTCTTCACGAACTTTGTCATCTTTGTAAGTTTCATTCCTGTGTAATCTCGTTGCATTTTTATCGGACGACACGCTACGTTGCGTAACTGGAGCTTTAGTTGCAGCGTAGTCTAAATTTGTACATTACAACACAGCAATCGGTAGTTTCGTTTCTATCTTTTTATTTTTATTCCTAATTTTTTTATTCTTTATTTTTTTTTCAAACTTTATTTTTAATTTCATTATTAATTTTATCTTTTTTATTTCTATTTTTCATTTTTCTTTTAATTATTTTATTTTCAATCTTTTTATTTTTGATATGAAAATCTACATCATAAGTATATGCATAAGTATAAAGTACTTCTATTTTTTTTTTAAATAACACGAATATATTCTATCCCGGAGCAGTTAATACACTTTGTGAGAGAGTGTGCGAGTGTTATCTCCCCGGAAGAGACAGAAAAGAATCGTATCATCGTTTATTTTAACATGTCTTGTAGTTTGACTAATTTCTACTTACACGATCGACTGATCGAATTTCGTTTTAATTCACCGTTGAAATCGATTGACTTGAATTTATTACTGATCCACATTGCAGATTGGCGGGCTCATCGTAACGGGCTTAGGCGTGTGGGCGTTGGTCGACAAAGTACCGTGGATAGGCGAGCTCGTAGGGAATGATCTATTGACAGGGTCGGTCTACGTCCTGCTGGTCGGCGGGATCATCGTAGCGGTGATCGCCTTCTTCGGGTGCGTCGGTGCGGCGCGAGAAGTCAAGTGTATGCTTTTGACGGTGAGTCCCGAGGATTCGTCAGCAACCGGAACGGAACTGGGTCAATTGAAATTCTCACTTTCGTCATTTTCTGCTATTGCGTGTCTCTCTCTCTCTCTCTCTCTCTCTCTCTCTCTCTCTCTCTCTTTCGCCGGTCGCGAACCGCGGGTCAAGTTCTCCGAGAGAACCCCGCTGCCAAATTCAATCGGTAAGCGCGCCACTTCACCGCGCATCGTTGATTCTGCCGTTTCAGTATTTCATCATTCTGTTCTTGCTGTTCGTGACGATGCTCATCGGGGGCGTCCTCGGTTACGTTTTCCGCGAGAAACTGCTGAGCACGGTCGACAGGGAGATGCAGAGCTCGCTCCGGCTTTACGATCACCGCAAATCCATCCGGGATGCCTGGGACACCACGCAATCGACGGTGAGTAGCCTCGGAGAATTTTATCAGCCGCGCGTCGCCTTGATCCAATTCCTCCCCGCGGTGCGTGAACTTATTGCGCGCGTTGCGCGCGACTATTGTGCAGACCTCATGGTGTAATTGCCGACTTGCTTTATCCGTGCTAACGCTCGCGCGCTTCTCCTTCTCTCCGCCAGGCAAGTGCCTCGCGTACAGGTGCGTAAAAAGCGAGGGTCGTTGTGAAACGACAAAAGCGTTGTATCTCCCTCCCACACCTCCCTCCCCTCCCTCTCTCTCTCTCTCTCTCTCTCTCTCTCTCTCTCTCTCTGTGATTTCGTCCAATTCACAATCGGGAGCGAGAGAACCCTCCTCTCTCTCGTCGCGTCGCGCGAATTCGCGAATCTACGGCTGAAAAGAGTGCCGAGGCACTCGCACTAATTCACAACTCTCGAATTTAGCTCCACTGTTGCGGCGTTAAAAACTGGAGGGACTGGGGAAGCTTCGGGCTCAACGTGCCGCAGAGCTGCTGCCGAGAAATTCAGCCCGGCCAGGTAAAAATCAATTACGTCGACTTGGCGGTCGCGTCGCGTAGGTTGATGAAACAGTTAGGCGGCGCGTAAGTAATGACGGCGATTCGCTCGCCGCTCGCAGGTGTGTGCACGATGGCACACGTTTATATGCGCGGCGACGGTTACGAGACAGCTCGTTTTGTTGCTCAACGACGCCCGCCGTCGGCATTCATCATCGCGCGCGCGCGCGGTTAATAGCGCGCGAGATCCGCCGCGGCGGCGGTTTTTCGCGCGCCGCGAGACTTCGGCGACGCGCGCGCGGGCCGCATTCAAATGGCGCTCGGCGATAATTATTCGCGAGGCTCGGCATCGCGACTCTGAGCGCTCACGACTCGCCGATTTCGCCGTCGGAGACGGCGCCAATCGGGCCGCAATTACTTAATCGGCCGAACGCTAACCGCCCTGTCCTCTCTCTCTCTCTCTCTCTCTCTCTCTCTCTCTTTCTCTCTCTCTCTCTCTCACGCTTTCACTCCGCTCGGCTCTCTCGCCGACTCTGACGAGGGGTGATCGCTTCTCACGGACGTCCGTCCGATCTGCTCGTCTTTTCCAGCGATTCCACTGCAACGCCGGCCCGGACACGGTGAATCCCTCCAACGCTTACGTGGACGGTTGTATCAACGGGACGCGGATTTACATGCAGCAGCACGCGGCCGTGATGGGTGGCGCCGGTATTGCAGTCGCATGCCTCATGGTAAGGAGCAGTTTGCATTTTTATGGATCCGCCCGCGTTGTTGTTGCGAGTCTGAAGGAGGGGCCTCAAGTCGGTCGTTGGAAAATCGAGCACGATCTACCGTCGCCTGCCGAGTTACCGAGTTGATTCTACAGTCTCGCGCGTCCTCCGCTTCTCTCGCTCGGCGGCGGCGGCGGCGGCTCGGGAGCTTGTTGAATTGAAAACAAGCCCGATAACGAGGAGACTTCGTTAATATCCAATCGATAGCCGAGTGGAAAGAAGAACCAACAAGGGCCTGGTCGAAAGTTCCGCGTTGGTTCGCTTCACTCGAATTCTTTCACAAGTTTACCGTGCGAGCGTCGGAATTACCCAAAGTACATGCTGAATCCCAACAAATTTCGGCGCTGCAATCAAGAACGTTGGATATTAAATTGAAAGAAAAGTTCGATGTGCTTCTCCCGTGTAGAGTACAAGTTTCATAATTCCCTCGCAGAAAGAAAGAGAGAGAGAGAGAGAGAGAGAGAGAGTTCTTTTTCCGAGCGCACGACAATGAGCCTTTATCGAAAGAATATTCGTTGAAGGTAAACATTACTCAGAAGGGGGAGGGGGTAAACTGAATAATCGTTATTCTTAGCAGCAGCAACGATATCTCTTTCCGCGCATAGATTTCCAAACGTAGCAGCTCTATGACGAAGAGACGCGCCACACGCAATACGTCATCCCTGAACTCTGTTGCAGTTTCTCGGCATGATATTCTCCTGCGCGCTCTTCAAAATGATCGAATGACGCCGCAAGGACAATGCCACGGTGTGAGCCTGCTCCCGTGTTCGGGCGAGGAGGCGGGACGAGTGTTCGAGGATCCTCAGGGGATTGACGCAGTTTCATCGGAGTTTCGGTGGAGTCGCTGAGCGCACTTTTGATTAGATACCGCGATAATCAAAAGAACGAATCTCTATGTAATTGTACATTGTATTATCACGCGCTATTTTGTTACGTATACGTAATGCTGTCTCGTGTAAGGCGGTAAACACGGTACATCATGCACCGCGTGTACCGTACTGCAGCTCCATACTTCTCGAGAAAAATCGTATTTAAGGCATTTAAGACGTCTTCGCTTAGTCGCATGTGTCATTAGTGTGACCACGCATCGTGTACCTTATGTATGTGCCGTAATAAATGCGATACGCATATTATTTACCGTCGCAACATCCTCTCTCGATAATCAGTCGTCGACACGCACGCACACATACAGGTCGCACGTGGAAGCGACGTGTGAAGAGAGTTAATCTACCGTCGCTTCCTCCTAACGTCTCGCGCGCGCTACATTTTTGCGCGGCGATTTATCCTTCGGGAGCTACATACGATGCGTCAATTTCCGTCGGAGAGACGAGAGACAAGAACGCGTCTGGGGTGTGCTCCCGTGAGAGTCACGTGAATTTTCCCGCGAGCGTGCGGTCGTTGTATAATTTCCCCAAAATTGCCGGCTTCGCGCGTCGCGCGCTTTTCCACGTGTGACGCTGTAAGCACAGCGCATCGCGTGCATCGGATTAACCCGCTCCCCCCCCCCCGCTGGTTTGCCCGGGCCTTGCCCGCCCCTTCGTCCCCCTCGCGACCGGCCGGCTCTCGCTGCATCGAAGCACGACGAGTCACTCTAATCCAGGCGTCTCGCTCAAGCAAAGTGAACTACCCCGTCGCCGTAGTCCGCCGATTCCCAGTCTCGTTCTCCCGGCGATTATCGATCGTGACGATCTGCGCATAACGGCGCGGTGCGTATACAATCGCGCTGAAAAGTCCGCGTCGGGATCGCGTGCGCGCGCTTGACGCGATTGACAATTCAGCGAGAGACTCGCGCTGAAGCGTAACAAGACGCCGATCGATCGCTGTGAAGTCGCGAGAAGCTCCTGCTTTCTTTCGGATCGTGTCGGCCGATGAAGTAATTTTAGCCGACTTCACGACGGACTGACTCGTCGGCGAATCTCGCGTTTCCGCAGCATTGCTTCGCCAACGACCGGTTCGACCCACTCGGCTCGGCTCCAGTCCATCTCAAGGGGCGAATCACGTTATGTCTCGCGTAAAAAAAGAAAAATCCTGCAGAAAGATGCGCATTCGAACGCAGTAGGACGGCGGCTGGCGAGTCAGCAATCGAATCGAATTTCGCGGGCACGAGGAAGGCAGAGAGCTTTCGCCGACCCGCCAAATCGACAAGGCGCGGCTAGGTGAGGTCGCGTGTCATTTTCCGCGAGTGTATCAACAACGTGATTCTCTCCGTCTCCCACCCTCTTTCGTTCGCCACAGCTATCCCTTCAAGTTTATTCATCTCCCCCCCCCCAACGTGCGTCAGCCCTACGCATGTAACCTCGCGACCGAGGCGTGCCTGCCATTCCGCAGACGTCTCATCGAATCGTGCCGGCGCGTAATTTTCCATCGTCGTCGACGTCGCCGCACGCGCACACACACACACACACACACACACACATTCTGCCGACACCCGTTCTTTTCCTTCGTTTTTCCTTCCCTCCCCTGCGACGCCCCTTCCCGCCCTTCGCCCCGTCTCGTTTGCTCAGGCGGTCTGCACACACGGCGTCATTAATGCCCGAACATTTGGTAGATCAATTGTTATTAGACATTTCGTTCGTCCAGACACGCTCGTTCTTCGTCGTAGCTTCGTCGATCATCTCGATTAGAATTTTATAGCGGTTGTAACATGACCGACCTAAAGCCGAGAAGAATGTTAGAGTTTCGCGGGGACCTTGAAATCTTGTACTTTGGGATTCTTGAGGTCGCGCTCTCTTCAATGGCGGATTCTACAAATAAAAATTCACAGTGGCGAGTCTTCGAATAACTGATATAGATCGCTAAAACGAAGTGTTAATCATATATTAACAACTTATTTATGTTGTAAATAATATCCTCCTTGCTTTGTTCGTATTAGCCTTGCCCCGCTGTCTCTTTCCCACCGCCTCTCTATTTGGTCTCTCTCTCTCTCTCTCTCTCTCTCTCTCTCTCTCTCTCTCTCTCTCTCACTCACTCGATGATTCGCACCGGGCGCGATTATTTATTATGTTATAAATAATATGATTCATTTCTTCGGTAGTTTGTTGCTTTGCAGACTTGGATAAAAATATTCCGTATCCTTCCCTGCTTAGCTTGTTCTCGCAACAAACGTTCACCTTTATCCCGACGAAATAAAATTGTACCAGTCGCTGTGTCCAAAAACCCGCAATTTTGAATATGACAAATTTTCGCTTTATATTCGCAAAGAGGAACCCTCGGACGCGACAGCTGAAAGAGCTAAGCCGCTGCTTAGCTCTTAAAAATCCATTTTTTGCCAGCTTTAGCACTTTTGCGAAATCCAGCTCGCTAGTCAAGGGTTTAATGACGCAGTGTGTACGCGCGACGGCTCGAAAGAGGGTAAACAGAGCGCCGCCTCTCGCGCGCTCTCCCGCCGCTCTTTCGCCACGTGAATGATAAATCAAGTGGATTCTGACTTTCCGCGCGAGGTTACGTCCTCCTGGACACGCGCGTGTCTGTCGCCACGCGGCTTTTCGCTTCATTGATCTCGGTCGCTCGCTATATTCCTTCGCTCGATCAGCCGCCAGCGTGTAATCTCGCGCGTCTCCGAGGAGCTCGGAGAGCTCGCTGCTCGTCGGCTAGCTCTCCGAAAAACCGAACGGAGCGCACCTCGCGGGCACAGGTCTCTCTCTCTCTCTCTCGCGCGCAGGGACAATGCGCCGCGTGCATCGCGCACACTTGTGTGACGATTCGCCGGTGAATAAGTCCCATATGCCTCATACTCGTGTAACGTTACAAAGGGACGCCGGACAATGACGAATGAATCGCTACATACCGCGCGAATAATACTGCCCGTTCTGCGCGCCGATCACGATGAGCGCCGTCCTTCCAGAATGCTTTTACTCCTTGCTTTGTTCGTATTACCCTTGCCCCGCTGTCTCTTTCCCACCGCCTCTCTCTCTCTCTCTCTCTCTCACTCGATGATTCGCACCGGGCGCGATTCTATATATATATATATATATGTGTGTGCCTCGCGTCGATATTTAATAAATTCGACGTCTTCATCGGCGCAACGCGGCGCGGCGCGCCGTAAATGTTGCCATTGTCTCTCTCCGAGAGATGAATCGCGATCTTTATCGTCGCGCTGTATTCTCCCTCCCGGCGTCATAATAATAATAATAATAATGATAACATTCCACGTGGATCCCGTGCGCGACGCGGAAAAATGGCCGCGGGGAAGTCTCATCTTTTCCCGCGGACTTGCACGCCGCCAGATTTCATTCCACGTCGCCGAAGGAGATTAAACAGCGGGCAAATCTAATTCCCCCCCGGCTCTGCGACGCTTGTCAATATATCCCTCCCTTCCGATTCCCTCCTTCGTCCTTTCTTCTTTCTTCCTCCTCGGCACACTTTGGCGCACGGCCGGGGGGGGACGAACTTATTACCGGAAGCGGCGCGCCGTTCCACGTGGGGAACGGAGAGAATAGCTGAGGCGCGCGGTATCTACACGTATTGATTTCGTCTCGAGCTTTGAATCCAAATGCGCCGGAACTGGGGGGGGAGAGAGTCGTGTCCAGGTGAGACCGAGAGGACTACGGGCCACTTTACTCCGCGTCGTCGCTCGTCGACGATAGTAAATAAATTAAATTCCACTCCGCCGAGCGCTACCAACAGGCCAACGCAATTAGCCCGCGGTATAACGGAACAATTATGCGAGTTAGTCTCATTGGGAGCGCGTCTCCCGGCAAACATCGTCAAAGGACGATCAATGTCGCGCGCGCAAAGTGTCTCAATGGACGCCGCGCGAAAAGCCAATTTCGCGATGGGAACTCGTTAGCCGCGAGCGCATGCAAGTCGTCGTCGCTCGCCGTCGGCGCGAGCGATCCGCGACGGGACGAGACGCGATTATTCGAGCGTACTCGGAGAAAAATATTTATTACCCGGAGATACTCGGCGCAGAAAAATAGGCACAAAACTCCCTCCCGCTATCCTCCCCCTACAGAATATAGAAAAGAAGTCGGGAACTCGTCCGGCGAAAGACTCGGCAAATATTTGGCGTTTTGCCGCAGTTCCTCGCTGTTCTCGCGTCCGCGAAAGAGCGTGCTGCGACGGACGGCGACGTGGACGGCGGGAAAAGAGTCGTGAAAGCCGGGACGTATAAAGGAAACTCCCGCTCGACGACGACGGGAGACATGCCGGACGCGCCGCGGCAGGAAGGGGGCCGGGAAAATAGCAATTTCCAGCGGACTTGTCTCTCTCTTTCTCTCTCTCTCTCTCTCTATCTCTCTCTCTCTCTCTCTCTCTCTCTCGACGCTGCCAACTCGTGCCAACATTTCGTCGAGCCTCGCAAGGGGACGAAGCGGAGTGTCCCGTCGCTCGAGAGACTCTGGCGAGACAATCGGCCGGTCGATGAAAAACCTACGCTGCCGCGCGACAATGCACGGGGAGGCCGCATCCTCCTCCCCGGCTTCCTCCTGGCGGCCGCGCCTTCGTGATGAAAGTTCGCCGGGGAGATGCATTACTTTCCTCCGCATCCTACGGCGGATGATGACGAAATCGTCAGCTCAGGGCGACTCTCTCGGACACACATACACACACACAGAGAGAGAGAGAGAGAGAGAGAGAGAGAGAGAGAGAGAAGCTCGCCGCGGAGTCGCAAGCGGAGAGGAAGCGAATCGATCGCACGCGCGGCTCGTCGTCGCGTCTTCCTCGAAGAGACGACGATCGGGGTCGATTCCGCGAGGGGATCGTCGTTACCGTCAGCGAGGAATTTCGCGCGGTCGATGACGCGCTGCGGCGAATTCGCGACGCCGGCCGGCCTCAGCGTGCGCGTCTCTCTCTCTCTCTCTCTCTCTCTCTCTCTCTCTCTCTCCCTCTCTCTCTCCATGGGTGTTTCTCGGCCGGCACCATGGCATGCGCGCACAACGCCTTGAGGTCTGTGCCATCGCCATCAGCAGCAGCAGCAGAGAACGCGCCGCGCAGACGGTTCTGTCAAAACCCCCACCATCCTCGGAGCTACCGAACAACCACCACCTCCGCCGCCGCCACCGCCACCTCCACCTCCAGTTCTTCTCCAGCTCTCTCCTCCAGCAGCGCGACGACCACCACCATCGGCCCACCACCATGGAAACCGACCAGTGCGCATTCTGACTTCAGTCTGGCAGACGGTCCCAACCTGCCCGGTCGGCGCAGGTGTGTCCGGCGAACGAACTCCACGCACGTACACACACACACACACATACAGTACGCGCGCGCATACACACACACACAGACTCTGGTGGTCGTTGTTGCCAGCCGCGTTCGGTCGGCGCCGCGTCCACGTCGTCGTGCGGATTCCCTGGAGGTCGTCGTCGAGGTCGCGCGCGCGCGGTGTCGTGCGTGCACGATTTATACTTGCAGAGGTGACGGAGAGAAGCTGGGAACGCGCACGAGAGTGTCGAGAGGGTCGCGTTGGCGGGGCCGAGCCAGGATTTATGGAACCACCCCATGGATAGTAACATGTCAACTGCCGCCTTCATGCACCGGTATGGGAAAAGAGCGTTTTAGATCGATACTAGCGACGAGCAGCGAGGCGCGGCGAGTCGAGTCGAGGCGAGGTGAGGCGAGGCGAGGCGAGGCGGGGCGAGGTGCGGCGAGGCGAGGCGATGCGCTTCCCCGTGTCCCCGTCCGCGCGATTGGGCTTTCTCGTGGTCCCTCGCGGCTTTCGAAAAGCCGCCTCCGTGTACGTAGCCGATCGATGAGAGTTCGTTGCTATGCAGTGGCCCGATAGAGCCGCACGAAGCGGCTCCCCGCGCCTCGTGCGAGCGTCGAAATAAGCACGAATTAGTTACGGCGAGAATAATAGTTTGCTGCCGCTCGAAATGGAGGTTCATCGATCGCGCTACGGCGAGCGCGATCGCGCCCGTCCGGACGGGAAATCTCGCGCGCTGTGTTATTTCGGAGAGGCCGCAGGCCGAACTTTCGCGTCGAAGAACGGCGCACGATCGAGGAGGAATCTCGTCGCGAGGCCGGCGCGTTGGCCGAGTTGAAAAAATCGTCGCTCTGCTCGGGATACGAGCGATAGGGCCCGTTGGAGTGGATTTATGAAGAGAATCGAGTGCTTACGAAAGACTCGGCGAGGCAACAATGAGATTTGTTGCCTCGCCGGGAAACAATCGGCATTCAAAACCGCTCGAATTCGTAATCAGGCTGTACGGTTGTTTGCGCGAGTAATTATCTTCTCTTTCTCTCTCTCTCTCTCTCTCTCTCTCTCTCCTTTTTTTTTCGTTTCGTTGATATCGGTGTTGCTCGAACGAAAACAGAGCCGAGATCCAATCTCCGCTTCTTTGGGAATCCTCTGGGAGCGAAACTCCTATTTCGTATTCCGACCTTGTTCGATCTAACGTTAGCAAAGTTGAAAAACGCGGAGGAATCCGAACTCATGTCTAAAGACTCGAACGTTCGTACGGCTATTTTTTCCGACGACGTGTAATGGTAAAAATGAAGTCCGCCACTTCTGCGGAATCAATTCCCGTTCCATTAGCGCGTTGTGCAAACAGACTGCGGGGAGGAACAAGCAGGGCGCCCTCGAGCTTGACGGGCTCGCGTGTACTTCGCGCCTGTAAATCCACGGCCGCGAGAAGCATACACGCGCGCCAAATAACGTGGCGGAATAAATCGCGCGTACAAGTGAAGCGTCCTGCGATAAATTCCACACGCGTCGTACGTAACGTCTTCGACACTGGAGCGGACATGGTTCCCCGTCGGGTCGCCGAAGCGTGCGAGTCTCCCCGGGAGAATCCGGTCGGTAATCGTATGCAGCCGCAGCAGCGCGGAGAGGCTACTTAGACGGCATTCCATTAACCTGCATTTTCGCAGACGCGTCACCTGTTCGGTTTCCCCGGGAGCGACACGATGTCGAATCGGACCAGCCCGGTTTCCTTGAACCTGCGGATACCGCAGCCATTGACCGCGCGCGGTTCTCTCGCCTCTCTCGTCTTGCCTCCGTGACGAAAGGCCCTAAGTGCGCGTACCGTCTCACTCTTTCTCTCTCTCTCTCTCTCTCTCTCTCTCTCTCTCTCTCCCTCTCCCACCTCCCTCTTCCTTTCGCGTCCTTCTCCATCCGCTTCCCCACCTCCGCGATCTCTTTCTCATCTCGGATACCGGCGCGGGACGGATCCGTTTCTTTGCCGGTCGCGCTAAAACGTTAATTGCGCTCCGCGAGGCGATTGCGCGCGCGCGCGCGTTCTTTTTATAATTTATGACCTCGCCAGAGTTGCGTTGCAGAGCCTCTCTCTCTCTCTCTCTCTCTCTCTTTCTCTCGCAGCGACGACGACGACGACGACGACGACGACGACGACGACGTGAAAAAAATACACGTGGCGGCTCGATAATAATGGGGGATACTCTCATCCTCGTTTGCGCGCGGTTATTAATTGTCACGATCATCGGGCTCGATAAGAATAATTATTAATTATATTAATTATCGACGCTGCGCGTGCGCGCAGCGTTCGTACACGGACTCTCTCCTCCGCGTGCGCGCGCGCGCGCGCGCGCGAAGAGACGAGCGTGGTCTCTCGAGAGCGCTCGCGAGAGAGGCGGCGCACACAACATGCATGCAGGACTACGCGCAGGAAAACGCGCAGCGGCGCGCACAACACGCGAGAGTTCGTGCACACGCGCACGAAATCTAAAACGAACACTGGAAGAGGTATATATCTCCCCAACGCCGCGGGATATATTTTATCAACGCTGGCGGTGCATAAATCCCTTTTCCCTCGCGCGACTACCAGCCCGCTTACTCACTCCGCATTAATTCCGGCCGCGTTACCCTTCCTCTATCTTCCAGCAGCCCTCGGACCGTACCGACGCATCCAAGTGCATCCCCGTGTTCGAATCTTTATCTCTCTTTCTCCCTCTCTCTCTCTCTCTCTCTCTCTCTCTCTCTCTCGCTCTCCTCTCTCTGAGCTGCGAGCAGCGCGGCCACGACGACCGCACCTCGTCTCGCCTGCGAACTCGTACAAAAGCGAGACGCGCGAGAGCAATCGATACATCTCGGCTAGGCACGTATATCCTGCGGCTATCGGATGACACGGTGTCGATGGACGAGGAAAGGACTCTCGGACATGGCGTGGTGTTGGCCTTAACGAAACGAATGGTCAAGATTGCGATCTCGGTTCGCGAATCCTCTCTCTCTCTCTCTCTCTCTCTCTCTCTCCCCCCCCTTCTGTTTCTCCCTCTCCCTCTCCGTCCTTCTTGCAGATCGACGCTCGTGATAAAAAACGACCGGACACGTCCGAGCGAAATTGCGAAAGCGATTTGCGAGCATGTAAATTACAACGACCGCTTCGGAGAATCGTCGTTCGCGCAGGTATCCGGCGGATATTCTCGGACATCCGTGAAATATTCAAATGTCCCGGGATATTCAGTTTTCTGGCCTCTCTCTGTCTCTAATAGTCGTCGTTGTTCGCTCCTTCGCAGAGGAGGCGAGATTTACGGAGTTTCGCGCGAATCCATTCTAGATAAATCACGCGCCATCGGCGAGCGACGCGTCGTTGCCGTCTCTCCCTCTTTCGCTCTTTCTCTCTCTCTCTCTCTCTCTCGAGACGGGGAAGAAATTCAGACGGACGCGCGATAAACTAGTCGCGCGCGGCCGCGGCCGGCCAGGCGCGAAGCGGACGGAACGCACTTGAAACTTTTATCTCGCCTCGCACATCACGCAGCGCGGCGGAGAATACGGAAAATAGGTGGGACAGGCGAGGACGGGCCCCGCGTTCTCGCTCCCGTGCCCTTTTCCCAGCCCCGCCGCTGTCTCAATTATGCAACGCTCCGTGCGGCCGAACGGCTTCTGCCCGCGCGGAACACGCGAGCGGACCGGGCGCGGCGGAGAGTCGGAAGTGGAGCGGCCAGCGCGCGCGGAAAAGCGCGCGGAAAAAGTGGATTTTCTCCGAGCGGTCGCCTAGACTCGCCTAGAGATGAGTGTGACACTTTGCCGTGCGAGAAAGAATAAGGTCACGGAGTCGCTCTCGCATCATAGACCGCGAAAAGTGCATTCACACTCGATGCAGGCGCATCTATCGCGCGAGCGCGTGTGTGAATGCGTAAGGCCCCGCAGGGCCCATTGCAGGCGCGAGATCGCTCACCGGCGTCATCGCGCGGAGCCGCGTGACACGGCCGTATCCGTGACGAGGCAGCGAGCATGCGGACGAGCGGTCCGGGGTAACGGAGAACTGCAAAGTGAAACTCGCGGAAGGTTTCCTATAGGGTTACACGGCCATCCGCACGAGCGAGCGAGCGAGCGAGCGAGCGAGAGAGAGAGAGAGAGAGAGAGAGAGCGAGCGAGAGAGCCAGGTCGCTCCCCGTTTACCGTATCGCGCCGAAACTCGTTTTACCTGTGCCCGCCGTCGCTGAACGATATCGATTACCGGCTACGACTACGCGGGCGTTTACCGCTCACCCGGAAGATCCGACTGCCGGAAGTTCGTCCGCGAACTTCGCCCTTGCGCCCGATAGTCATCGCCGCGCGACCCCGTTTACCGCCCGGGTTCCTCCGCGCCGTCGCGCGTCGGGAGAATCCGCAACGGAAGGAGTCGACGTCGGAGGATGTATGTATAGTCTCTCGTGCTCGGAAGCCGTTCTTGTGATTGTTTGATATAGGTGGAGCGTTGTGAGATGAGGGCTTTATACATGTGTGGCGCAAACAAGACGGAAATATGAATTTTTATGTCGATCGCGAGTATCGCGCGCGATAAATGTCGCTTTGGAATTGGAGAATCAGTTATCGTTAATTGTTCGAGTTACTCAGGCGATACTCAGGCGTGAGTTAGTTCCCCGAGAGAGTTCAAGCGCGCGTCCCCGAGAGAAGAGCACCTCTTCACCCGGGAGGTTCAAGAGTCGTCGCGCTTGAATCCGCGAGACCTTTTACCCGATTTTTCGGCCATTCGCGACCATTCGCGACGATAAGGCACGCTCGCTCCCTCTCGCCGCGGTGTATCTTCATTCAAGTGTAACACGCGGTGACGATGGTCGCCCGGGCGAGGCCTGGGAGGGGATTAATGCCGGGACGATAACCCGCGGCAAGATCAACGCTGGGCGTGTTTCGCCGTTCGCACCGGTATATGCATGCCGTTCATGCGCGCATCCTTGTTGCTTTTAGAACAATGCTCGTTGCCGCTCGCAGCCGCGGCGGAGAACGCGGAAGATCGATGGTAACGGAAGGGATTCATAAAGCGGCGTGTCCGTGCACGAGACGCATCTCAAAGTCGGCGATCGTTTCGCAGAAACAGCCCCGCGTCCCGCGGCTAAACGGTTTCCTGCGCGCGAGTAGCGCGACTCGTTCGAGCGCGTAAAATTCCGCGGGTCCCCGTGCAATCGGCGCTTAAACGGCCGAATGAGACCGCTGCTTGCGTTCGTCGTCGGCGACTCCTCATCTGCCGGGACACTCGGAAGATCGATGGCGGGTTTAGTGAAATACGCGCAGGACAGCCGTTAATTTCGCGCGCCGCGGGGCGGCCGGGCCGCGCGCCGCTTCCCTCCGACCTTTCGT